AGCAGCGAGATAAGCATGTTATCATACTTATTGTAGCTATCGCAAGTGAAACCGATAAAGAAACATATCAGCACACTTTCACGACACTTTCAGACGTTAACTTTTCAAGTATAGCCGATTGATTTTCGGAGCGGAGTCGTCGTATTCGCTGCTTAGCGGCTTCCGGCGTAAAATTTCAAAATTAATACAAATAATGACAACTATGCGAACATATTAAACAGGCAAAAGCTTGATCCGACATTTCCGGTCGATCCAAATCGGCATAAATGTGAAACGCACAAACGGCGCACAAATCTCAATTCGATTTGAGCATACATCTCTCTCGAAACTGTTGTCGTCTGAATCCAATCGAGTGCAAGTTGGCCGCGCATAGTCGGGCGACTCGCATTTATTAGATTCCCCTTTCAAACCACCTGTTTCAATGTGATTTCGTGACCAATAATTGGCAGCCAAAACAGCTAACTAAGGGAATACAGTAGACTACATGAAAAATTCCTCCCCAACGTTTGGTTGCTCGTACGAATATCCCTATATCTTTGATTACTACACCAGGTTTGTCCCGTTCATCAGTTTTCCGCTAGCGTTTTTGTGCTGTTCCTTATCGTCAAAAAAAACTATGTAATAAACTACACCTATGTAATTCGCAGGTTCGTCCCCAACGTTTTCAAAACCGGAATTTAGGTGATATCAATGTGCTTCGAGGCGGTAATCCTCAGTATTACCCCGGAACTGTATTTCCCGGCATGGGGCGGCCGGGTTCTCGGACCCTGGTATACGATCCTTGGTTTTGGAGCCAATACGGCGTTTGTAAGTTGATTGTTTTTGATAGGCATAATCTTTCGAAAGACAACCGGATCGATTGGCGTCGGCCTCGTCTTTGAAGCGGTTATTCAAACTTTGTCTTATAAGCATCAACGTCTGCTGCCGAAGGATAGTATCTGGAGGTAGGCACGACTGCTGCTAGAAAGGGTGGTTCGGATTTTTCCGCGGCCTCGGTATTGTCGAAATTTTGTCCTAATTGCCGAAAATTCCAAGAAACTGATTCCATATTTGGACAATTTGAACCGCGACAAATACAGAAAAACTATTTTGAATGAATAATGCGACGGGGAATAACGCGCCTTTTTAATCGTACATTGAATAGGTTAAAGCCAAACGTTTGGGTGCTTTTGATTATCTCTCTCTACATCTTCATCGTAAGCCTATTATTTTACGGGCCTTACCAGATGAATATGGATATTGGCTATCACTCCCGCGGCTTTCAACTAATGATTGAAGTTGGTTTTGTTCATATTTCTCGTTAATAATGGTTTAGAAACATCCTTGCATAGCTCTGGTGCCCGATGTTCCCGAACAGACCGCAATTTCATTCGGAGGTACCGAAATCATTGCTCTCGCGATGATCGCAGTTGTTTGCGTTGTCAATTTCATACTGGTGAGGCCATTTTTCTGGTTTTTAAAAATTGATAGTGTGCCAGCTTCACCTTACACACTATCTACATCCTGTACGGCAATCGAAATCACATGAGCAAGAAGACAAAGCAGCTTCAAATCACGTTTTTCTTTAGTATCTGGGTGCAGGTAAGGCTCGACGTCTGGCTCAACGCTGGAAATTTCAGCTAATCGTTCCATTCATTTCGTTAGCCGCACCCTGGGTGTGGTTTATCTTCGTTGGACTTGTTGATATTGAGCCGATTCTTGGTAGGACTTAGGATCTTTTTTTAGTTAAAAAACTATTTGTAGTTGTCAACGATTTCCTGCTGAGCGGCTTCTGCTCGCACGGTGTTAGGAATTCACTATCGATTATCATTATCTATCGGCCCTATCGTATCGAAACCATTCGAATATTATTTGGGTATCGATTTGAATTTGGATGGCTTCACCGATCTTTGCTATTTTTTATTAGGAGTTCTTATTTTTTTAGAGAGTGTCGCGTAAAGTGGACAAAGGATGCGCCGTCGGTTATTATGGTCAGAGACTTGTCAAGTTTTACGGCTATGCGATAGAGAAACAAGCCTATTTTTCAGATTAAATAACTAAAATGAATAAAAGGCATTCGAACCATTTTATATTATGCATGTTTCAACGCATAGCTGCGTGTTTGGACGCGTCTGTACAGGGTCCGCGTAGCTAGCGGTCCGCAGTCGTGTCCGATTTTTACGTTTTAGGTATCTGTCGAAGGCAATTAGTAAATAGCACCCGTTTGCGTAGCAGCCCACCCACGCGCGCGGTAGCTGGGCTGCTACGCAGAGAAATGTTTGCGTGGCTGCCCACCCACAAGCAATATGGGCTGCTAGGCAAACGGGTGCAACGGGTGCACTGGGTGCTATTTACAAATTGCATCTATTGAACGCTCTCGAAACGGCGAGAAAACAAGGAAAGTTGATTTTCTATATTATGTATTTTTATTCGCTAATTTCAGGTCCAAAAACCATGAAAGCTCCTGTTTTATGCAAGAACCGCTTGCTAATTGCGAAATTCCTGTTGAAAAAGTAACAGTTTTTCAGAAAAACCTTAAATATCGATGGAATTAGATGAGATCTTAGAAACGAAACCCGCTTGTTTTCTCGCCTTTTCAAGTGCTTTTGATCGATAATCAAATCGTCAAAATCGAACACGACAGTGGACCGCTTGGTGGGGCGGTTTTTGGGACATTCTGTAGGCTTTTCCGCCGTGCATAATTTAGTGTACTGTAAAGACATTTAAGAGTTTCTAATATTTTTATGAGCCCTTGGGAATCACATCCAGGACAAATATCGCCGATTGCTTCTTTGCAGTTTCCGACCCGAGGTTTCTAAAAGCATAGCGTTAGGCCTGCCCAATTACTTGGTGATTATCAGGAACGTCTCCATACGATAAGGTCGATAGATTAGCATTATCGAAATGGAGTTTAACAGGCCATGCGAGCAAAAGCAGGCCATTAGAACGTCGTTCAAACCTGAAAGAATTGGCTAGCACTTCAAATAGCTCAACTTACCGATGCTTATACCAATTTTGAACACCGTTGCCAAGGTAAAATAAAACCATGGAGATGCGAGACAAATGAAGGGAAGCATAAGCTAAATTCGGGGTTCTACTCGCGTTTCGAAGTTGACAGTAGCATGAAGATAAAAGCCACCTGAACGATCAAACTGCCGAAAAATACCCGCTGTAGTTTTTGCGTCTTCAGGCTGGCGTGGCTCTGTTTTGTGTACAATAGAACAAGTGAGTGAAGGGAGAAAAACGCGGCCTGAACCGACCATCAAAGCGAAGAATCGACCCACCAGGCTGCAATTCATGAAGCAAACGAATAGAATGCAGCAACAGGTGACCAATTGGCTGCCGCCGTCAGCTAAGGCGTAAAGATTTGGCGCATCGCCGATCGCGCCCAAACAGGGATAATCCTGGATATATCATGCTGATCTGGTGCCAAAATTTTAAACATACTTTGAGCAGACGCTGAAATCCGGCTGAATAGTAGCCCTGCGCGGGTTCCAGTTGGTACGTCCCATAAAAGAGCGCAGATAATGCGACGCTATACCCCAGCACACAACAAGTTATCCACAGCCAAAGGGGCAGTCTGGAGCGAACCTTGCCTTGCGAATAATTTGAAAAGGTACCCACTTGAGGAAGCAATGCTGGGGAAGCAATTGCCGATGTTTGAAGGCAAGTATCTGGATTACAGCCTCGAGAACGAGGCCGGCGCCAACTGCGCCGATGATCTAAACGTAGGAACCGGCCTGTTGCAATCAAACGCTGTGGGAAATTGGGTAGGGATTCTTAAAAACTTACAAACCCCGAGCGGGCTCCAAAACCGAAAACCGGATCCCAGGGACCTGGTATCCTGGCAGCCCACGCCGGAAAGTAGACTTCGGGCGCGAGGCTCAACATGAACGTCTCGTAAAACAGCGAAAATATCTGAAAGTTCGAAATCATCACCAATTCTTCTTTCTTCACCCCATGCTCTGGGCTTACAGTTTCGCTCTGTAACTTTCTTGAACACATCGCTAGCTTCATTTTCAAAACTGCTATTTTTATTCGCCACCAGCAGCGCTAGCACGTCACAAACGCACCTGGGACATGCACAAATTCATCCGATAGTCCTTCATGTAGGGTGGAGAGCGCTGGATGATCAGCCAAAGCACAAAAATGGCTATCGGGAAGCTGATAAATGGGAGCACCCGCGTATAGGTAATATAGACATAGGGATAATCATATGTACAGCTCGAAAAGCCAGAAAAATTGCTTAGAGTCGTCATACAGGACTTAATGAGCAAAATGATCGATTGTTGCCTGCCTAGCGACGCGACCGTGAGGGCATAACGTGCTGAAATGATGTTTTCATTCAGGAGCAGGTGAAAACCAATCGGGGGAAGAAAGGTTCAAATTTATTGGCTATTTCGCAATTAAGGAAGGAGAAGTTGGTGGCGGAATTTTAGCGAAAGCGGAAAGGCATGATTTTTACAGTACGTTCATTGTATAAAAAACGAGGGTTTAACAAAGGTATTGGGAGTGGACAAAGTGCTTGATGATGATGTTGATGTACTTGCTATTGTTTTTTTGCTTTCACGGGATAAAACACTTTATTGATCCGGCTTTTCTCGATTCGACATGCTGGTGCCCAGGTCGGCGATAAGAATCGGTGTCGTCTTGTTCGTCCATTCACCCCAAGTTCTCCTGAAAAATACACATGAGAAGTGCCGCAACAAACCGAAAATCAAAATACTGAAAACCCCCCACCTCGATATCACACGGAAGAACTCTAGTCGGTATGGGCGGTAGATCATGATGATCGATAGCGAATTCAAGAAGCCATGAGAGGAAAAGGCGGCGAATAACAGGTTGTTGAGGCCTAGAATAATTTTTGCAGCGAGATATCAAAGATTTTACCGATATCGGGAGGGTAGCTGGCGATAAAAGCAAATATGAAGTACAGCCAGGGGGCGGACAAGCAGATGAGCGGCACGATCAGCTCAAAAGGTTTTATTGTTTTTAAATACCATGTAAAGCCTTTAAACTTGAGCTTTGAAAAAATTGCGGACAATGCAGAAAGTCCTATAAACATTGCACAATGTACTTGTGCATTTTCAGAAAGACACGCGTCATTTTTGGTGCGCTTTTTTTGTTTTAACTCGAGAATCACTCTAACGCCAGTATCCCATTTTGCAGCTGGTCTTTTTTTGTGATTCAGCGCCGTCGTTGACGTCATACAACGTTTCACGTTTTGAACCCAAGCTACAGGCGACCATTACTGATTTTACTAGCAGGTGATTATTGCACTGTATAAATGCCAACCTGGACCATCATGTCAAAGAAGAAGGTCTTTTGCAGCGTTCGAGTCTTTGTGCTCACGCGACTTCGTTTTTTGAATAGAATTATGCTGCAGTGGAGGCCGATGAAAAAGCACTGAAAAGTATCGGGTTTCTCGGAAAAGAAAGATCTGGACAACGAATAATAAAAATAAAACAAGGTTTACCACGGTTCCATTGATGCAGGAGACAGAAAATATCGAAGCCAAGGTGCTAAATTCGGTGCCGAGCGACACGGCGTATAAATTCGGGACGTCTCCAATCAGGGCAACACAAGGAAATGCCTAAATGAAAATTATAATGAATACATTTTACCCATCTATGACAAAGGTAATGACTTTTCCATTTCCTTACCTCAATAACCCTCTGAAAACTCGGCGTCCCAAACCCGGCCTCAAGTTCCAGCTGGCAGGTACCGAGCAACAGAATCAGAGTATCGATCAGGCACAGGGTGAACAACAAGCACATCCAGGTTTGCTGTGAAAATCTCAAAAATCTCACAAGTTAAGCTAAGGATCCTTAATGTACCTCCAAAAATTCGTATACGGAACGATGCGTTGATGTTTGTAAGAGATGATTTGGATGACAGCGATAAGCACAGGCATAACGCCGATCGCGCCCAAGATCTGAAATTATGCTTTATAACCGGCGAGTTTTTCGCATAAAAACCTAATAAAAAACTCACAAAAGCCCATCTGGCGCCCAGACCGAAGACGGTATCCCAGGGCCCAAGTATCCGTAGACCCCAGGCAGGGAAGTATAATTCGGGCACAACGCTCAAGATAATCGATTCATAGAGGAGAGAGAAGCTCTAGAAATCTATGCTTGATTTAATATTTTGAATAGATTTCTTAGCGCTGCCCAAAATTCTCCGTGATTCTCAGTCATCGTAGTTAGGATTTTAGTAATGAGCTTTAGAGTTATCGCTTTTCTCTTTTATTCATGTTCTTTCAACAGCGTCTGTCCACCTTTCAGTATAGTTTTTGGGGCATAATCGCGTTTTGCCGCTACCAAACTAGCTAATATCGATTTTTGCAATTTCCCGTAACCGCTTCTGCATTTCTCAAACTAATCCACGCTCTTCAAAATCGTAATAAACTCACCAGAGAACAGCACAAATGTACCCGCAGTCCATTCATATGCGGTGGTGATTTTTTAAGAACTACCAGCAGGGCAAAGATGCCCAAAGGGTAGCTGACAAGCGGCAGCGCCTTCGTATACCATTCATACAAATAAGGATACTCATATTTGCAATTAGAAAGCAGTGATGTGGAATTGCCAGCCATACGGTATAGCTCTGGTCCGAATTTTGACTAGGTCAGAATAAGGCGGCAGACTCGCTGACTTTCCTCATTACGGTTGGGAGGGACGCGGGGGCCAAACGTAAAGTTTGCCATGACCTGGACGCCGGGCAGGTGATACTTTGATTAGACACCTGAACGACGAGGCCCAGCCCGAGAACTTGTAGTCTATGCCGAAAAATGTGAAGACGAGGGCCGTGGGCGTGGAGAAGCCATGGATCTTCGATGATATGCTACGACAGAGAATGGTGTCACATGGCTAGACTAATTTTTCAAGGTTCAGTCCAAGGTCTTTTACGAGGAATCGTTTTAGAAGCCTTTGGAAGTTTGAGAAGTGACATAGCTTACTCTGTAGAGCTTTTGAAAGTCTGAACAAATACTATCTCTCAAGAACTGCCAGGCAATAGCGATCTTCGCGAAAAATGGGCTTGAATTTCACATTTGTTCGATTGAAAAGCTAACTACTCCTCTCTACTCTAAGTGTGGCCCCGTCGGGTAGGCTCACAGTGATATTATTTCCCTCATGTGTATTACTGTTATGTGATACTATTAGATGTACCGTAAGGTTGCGGTTTATTCCTATTACAATAAGACATAAGATAAGATACTTAATATATCCTACTATATATAAAAAAATAGTGTTTGTGTGTGTGTGTGTGTGTATATTTGCATGCACTTCCGTTAGGATGTTCCGCTCCCACAGCCTCGAGGAAGGGTTTTTTGGATAGAGAAGAAACGACAATAGGTTTAGAATGGTCCGGAATCGACTGCACACACATAAAAATTTTGAAAAATTGTGGCTTTCGCTATTAAAAATAGGTTATTGTAAAACCCGGTTTGTTAGGGGAAATTAGCATACGCCGGAAGTAGGAAGAGCCTATATAAAGGGACAGAGGAGCCGTTTTTCACTTTTTCTTGCTAGAATTCAGGAAGAAACATGCAAATTAAGCACTTTCACCGGTCCTGGACGGGGCCAGGGTTGAAAAGCCGCGAAGCGGTTTTTCAACCCTGGTAATACGATAATAATAAGAATTAATACTTAATATATAAGATAAGATAGGGACTAATCGTGGTTCTCATTGTCCTGTGGGACGAGTGAATGAAAGAGGCGGACTCATAGGAAAAGGCCCCATCCCAGATAAGATAATAAAGGGATCGCACAGGCTGCGACACTAAGGTTTTCCAACAATACCTTTAAAAATATGTTTTGTAGTGTTTGAAGATCTTAATTTATCGCTAGTATTAGTAGGCTTCTCCGATGCTTCTCTGCGTTGAGCGTTGAAAGCTCTTTAAAATGACATGTTACAATAAGCTCCCATATCAACGATTTTCTAAAAAGCACTTCAAAGCCAAAACCGCAAGAAATTTCTTGACAACCGAATAGAATTGTTTCGTCAGCTGCACCAAAAGGTCCCGCCAAATTCACCAAATCCCAGGTACTCTACAAACCTTTCATCGAATTTTTTCACGCTCTTTGCGCAACACCTATCCGTTTTCTCACCTTTCACACCGAAATGCTGCTCAATTTCTCGGACAATTCGTGATAGTATGGGTTTTGATCAATCGCCTTGTCGGCTGGGGATGATGATGCCCTTTCTCCTCCCGGGGGTCATCCCCAAATTAGCACCCCGATATCTGGTGTCGTGTTGACTCGATAATTTCGAGTGTTTTCATGGTCGACGTGTGGTGCGTCGCAAAAACAATCATTTAGCAGTTCTAGCCGACCAGTCATGTCGAACGTCTGCTTTGAAAGGATATTGTCGACTATTTTGTTGCTAAATATTGTACTACTACTTTCGAATACTCTTTCATGTTCAGGTTGGTTGTTTTGTTTGGAAATTACTATGCAGAGGCTGGGCTTGATACGCAGATCGATTATCGAATAAAGGATAAAAATTTCTTCGATAAACGGCAAAAACAAAAAAATCTAAACAGAAATAAACGGGCAAATCAAAAAAAAATTACAACGAAGAAAGGCGCGCGGGATTTCCGAGACCTTTACGATGCCTAATCGGGCGGTCGCCAGGAGGGGCTACGGTGATAAGGGCGCGCTAAAGGCGAGGGTGACCAGAGTCTAGCCGTAGCCACAAAATTGATCTTTATGAATTCTAGGCGTCCTAAATGTCTATTTTTAGCCGCATTGCTCACTTCGAAAGTGCTAACGGCAAATTGTGAAGACGCACCACTGGATTGTTATCATAGTAAGTACGATTTTCATTTTATAATCGGTTTCTCCTTTTTCAGCCGATTTCTTCAACTTTATGTTTGCCGGATAAACCATGAACAACTCGTAGACATCCCTGGATCTCACTTTATTTCGTTTTCGACAAATACATTTTTTTTTAATTGCTCGAGAATTCTAAAAAAACGATCTGATTTTATTTTACTTCTGGGGTTAACGCTTTCCAACAATCTGGCACGTTGCCAAGTATCAGGTTGGAAGGTAAGTCCTGTCGCCGAGATTTCGAAGAGCTGCCTAAAATCGCAGATAGCATCATTTTTGACATGCGATATGTCATTTGGTAGCCCTCGACCTAAATTTCTTCCGGAGGAAGGTCCTGGGCCATTAAAATGAAGGGGGGTCGAGATACAGGCCCGAGAAGTTTTTGGCGAAATTTGGGAAAAGTGTTTTTGCAAGTTATCTCTGCATAGAGCAATTTGCATGCGATACCTTAAGCGCCAATCGATAGATCTCGAAGAGTAGATATCGATGGATGTCGAGATTTTCAAAATTGGTCACTGGACGGCCGAGATATGGGCCTCTGAAATTTAGCCCATTTCTTAGAACTTTTCTCGAAATCCCATACATCAGGCAAGAACCAGCCAAAACTTGCCGCTCGATTTTTGAACACCACATGAGGATTTTGATAAAATGTATAGGATTTCGAGAAAAGTTCTAAGAAATGGCTCAAATTTCAAGGGACCGTATCTCAGCCATCCTGTTTCCGATTTTGACGATCTCAACATCTATCGATATCTACTCATCGAGATCTATCGATTGGCGCTCAAGGTATCGCATGCAAATTGCTCTATGCAGAGATAACTTGCAAAAACACTTTTCCCAAATTTCGCCAAAAACTTCTCGGGCCTGTATCTCGACCCCCCTTCATTTTAATGGCCCAGGACCTTCCTCCGGAAGAAATTTAGGTCGAGGGCTACCAAATGACATATCGCATGTCAAAAATGATGCTATCTGCGATTTTAGGCAGCTCTTCGCAATCTCGGCGACAGGACTTACCTTCCAACCTGATACAAAAATAGTTTTGCCTATCTCTTTCAACAAAAAAATAGCCGAACATCATTACCATCGGCTTACCTCCAAAGGTTCGGAGGTCAACGAAACCGAGGTACGTGATGTGAGTGGGGGGGGTGCAAAAAATAGACCGACGTTTTCGAACGACCAATGATTAATTTGGGGGTCGTGCAGCCTGCCCCGCTTTGAAAGCCCATTACCGTACCGTTCGAGCAATAATGCGGAAATAAAGGTGGGCGGTGCGTGGAACGTTTAGCATTGTGCTTTGCGCGGGTCTGTCAGATACCGTACATATGATTATTCATGTAAATTTCTCAAGATCATCTTTTTCGAAATTTTTGCTAGCTATTTGGTTGAGTTGGTCGGATTTCGGTCTGCGCCCATGAAAAGCAGCTCGCACTTTCGCTACCCACGCCGCGTTGCGTAAACAATTACAAGACATCACGATACTGCCTGCGTGCGCGTTGCGTTGCGTGTCGCGGGACAGCAAAAAAAAAGTGCCCCTAACCAAAAAAGTATTAAAGTTGCTGCTGGAAAGTAATATTCACGCCCTAGAAGGTCAATTTTGGGGAGTAGAAAGTTTCTGGCGCCGATCTCCCACCTACATTTACGTATCTACTAAAGCAGCATAAATCAAAATACCGACTATTTGGCCCACGCGCTTTTATAAAACTATAAAGAGCCTCTCATAATGTTTTCCCGCTCATTGAGTCCCGAAAATCAATTTTGCATAGTCTGCAAATTCTACAATGCGCTGGCTATGCTCTGCTCACCCACCCACATGTTTGCCCAGCGGGCTTCCTTATGGGGGCGGCGTTGTAGAGGGACCCGGTCGGCGCATTTCTCTAAAAACAGCACTTACATGGTTTAGCCGGAAGTCTGACTAAAATTTTCAGATGGCTACTTCGAAATTGGCTACTATACAATCACTGCGAGCTCTGGCGATATTTATTGTTTTTGCATATCACTTGAACGCGGAATGGATGCCGAGAGGATTTCTAGGGGTGGATATGTAAGTCTTAAAAACTTTTGAAGCTATGTCGTGTCCCAATTTTAATTTCATTTATGTTTATATTAGGTATCTTTTTCAGGTTCTTCGTTATATCCGGGTATTTAATGGCGCGTATCTTCTATGATAAGGGGATCTCTTTTGCCAATTCCATGGAGTTCTATAAACGTCGCTTCAAGCGGATTATGCCATGCTATAGGTATCAGTAATTTTCGAGCACCTCTGAGCGACAGTTTTCAGTCTCCTCATCGCTACCGTAGTCTGGGTCGGCCGGTCATTTCTAGCTGATGTGGACCAGGAAAACCTAAAAATCGATTCAATGCTTTCACTCGGCATAATTTGTAATTTGCAACCCTTTTTTACAAAAGTGGACTATTGGCGGATGGTGAGTTCAGAGTTGTCACTTCAGCTCGTCTTTATCTCTCTCTCTCTCTCTCTCTCTCTTTCTCTCTATCTCTCTCTCACCGATTTGCGTATTTTCAGATCTCCGAATACAAGTTCCTCGCCCATACATGGTCGCTAGGATGCGAGATGCAATTTTACCTCCTTGTCCCGATAATCTTCTATTTTCTACAAAAATTCGAATTCGTTGGGCAGCTGCTCTTTGGAGGACTCTTATGTGGAATTTCCATATCCGGGTTGTTGGTAATTTTCTGTTTTTAAAACCATAAATACTGAAAATTTTAGCTCCTCTCACCTGCTATCTCGTTCGGTTTCGTATTCTGCCGACTTTGGCAGTTCACAACTGGGATTTTTGTGCATCTGTATTTATCAAGAACGGAAGCGGAGGAATCCAATCCAGCCGAGTATGCAAAACTACTTGAGGCTGACGAGGAACGGCTGGATTTTTGTGGTTAGCAATTTTTCATCTGTAGGGTCTCTGAAGACATATTTTTTTTTGTTTGTCGAGCACTAGGGAATACGTAACACTGCTTATGAAGCGAGTTTTAGTAGCAGCACCTCAGCCGAAAAGCCGTTTTCTACCCTACCTCTCGCCGTTATTTTTTATAAGCTGTCTTCTCCTGGCAGCTGATCCAGTTTTGCCAATTTATATAAGTCGGGTGGTGGTCACAATTCTGACCGGAGCTATTATAATGCTTTCACAAAAAGGTAATTTTATTTAATTTAGAGATATCGGGGAAAATTCCATTTGAATTTATAGGACACAAGTTCTGATTTCAGCAGAATGCAAATTACTCACCTTGCAACCGTTACCGTACATCGGCGATATTTCTTACGTCTTATATCTGATCCACTGGCCTGTAATAACATTTACAAAAATATCTTTCTACGACGGGAAAGCTATAGATGGATACGGTAATTCTCTATGATAAGTAAGAACTTTTCCTACGTATTTTAGGTTACGGTATCATGATTTTCTTTACTTTATTTTTAACGATAATCGCACATCATTTAATCGAAACGCCGTTGAACGGGGATACGGTAGGAAATCCAAGCTTTAGAAAAGTACAACATTTTAGGCGTTGTTTTGTTTCGGAATTACGGTTCTGTTTTACTTGATCTCATTAGTTGGGCTATTTCTGCCCGGTCATTTGTTATTATCAATGCAGAAAGTAGAGGTGGTCGCGAGTCCTCAAGAAAAAAGGTTAGTAACGCAATTTAAATATTTTTAAACGTTCCATTATTTGTAAAAGTTCCATCAATTTGTGAAAGCAAAATGTTCAGATTGTGAGGCTCTCAATAAATCGCCAGATATGCCGAGGTGGGAAAATGCTTCGGAGGAGTTTCCAAAACTGGACCAGTTGGTAAGCTTGTCTCCCCTTTTTCCAAGCGAATTTAATGTTATAAAACCGAATTCGAGTAGAAAAAGCCAGGTTTAGTCAGGAAACGGCACCTTCGATGTGTTAGTCATCGGAAACTCATATGTCCAGCGCTACCGGCAATGGCCGGAAAAGGTGTTCAGGGGGCGATACCGGAAGTTCTATCAAACGCAGGTGACAAGTGAGTGTCTGCCAAATGAAATAACGGTTTTCCGTATTGTGGAAGCATGAGAAAACCAATGAATTTGAAAAACTTAACAATTTCCAGCTTGCGTGCCGTTTCTAAACTACACCGGAATCGACTGGCAGGGCCCTGGATGTGAAAAGTTTAGCGCGAGGATTTTTGATGCCGTTGATAGGATGCGACCAAAGATATTGGTTTTGATATTAGGGTAAGCCAGAAATCCGACTCTGTTTATAAACTTACTTTAAATTAAATTTAAATTTTTAATTACATGTAAAAACTTATAGACGAAAAACCCCTGGGTAACTGAGAAAAAAAGATTTTCTACATGCTATTCGAATGCTAATTTTTTAGTTACGGTCTCGCTAACGACTTGATCACAAAACATTATGACGAAATGCTTCCCACTGCCATGCAACGTATTGAGATTTTATCGTGAGTAATGATCTTCGATTCTCCCATCATTATTTTTTTAGGAAAATGACCGACCACCTGCTGATCACTTACCCAATGTACTACCTAGGAGAGGAACTTGCTCATAAAAACGAGAGAGTATTTCAAAGAAATCAAGAATTACCGCAAAGGAGGGAGTCTCAATTTTTGTATCAGGTTTTGTTCTGATTAAATGCTATATTAAATTCTAAAATTCAGGATTATTTAAAGCAATGCGGACCAACGTTAACGCTGCTAGACGAAGCTAGTAGAAATTGCCATAATTGTCGCTTTATCGATACTCAGTCGATGTTTTGCGAGGATGGGTGAGTTTAATAGTTCTCGCCGCGAAAATGTAAAATTTAGCTTATCGATAAATATCGATATCTAGCGGCCTGAACGATAGCTAACAAGTACGTTTTAGAATCCACTGTGACGTCATCGACTACGAATGTCGCAAAAATTTATACGATTGGGGTGGAAGGCACCCAACGGTATATGCTAGAAATAGATACCAGGTTTGTAATAATATTAAACAATTGCTGTAATTAATTACTAAATTAAAAATAACAAACGAAACATCTTCAGGCCACTCACCAGCTCGCCGTTGATCTCATCTACGAGGAAATTCAATACCGAGAACAGCAGAAAAATAACGAAACCGCGTTACCTGTACAAAAAGTATAAATCAAAAATTAGGAGGGGGTTTATGAAGAACATAATTACGGTTTATTAATTTTATTCCTTTTATTTTGATTGTTTGATTGTTTTATTTCTTATTGTTTTCTATTGCTACGGACGATGAAGCGGTGAGGCCATCGTCAGTAGCGCTGATGCTTGCCACCCTCACTACTTCCGGTTTCTTCCGGAAAAGTGATACCAAAAACTCCCGATAAGGCTTCATGTAGAAAATGGAGCACGAGAAGGAGATCACCTTAAAGGTTAAATTGGCATAACTTGATGGCCTCGGCTCACCGGAAACAGATAGAACCCGACGAATACCCAGTGCTTGAACAGATTTGATCCTACGAGGCTCCAGTCTTTCGTCAGGAAGGCGAGCAATGCAAGCGAGCAAGGGATGACAAGCACGAGAGCTGGGTAGATGTTCTGAACAATAAAAATTGTTGTAACAAAGGTTTTCTATCCCTCACGGAGCCACCAAAAGAAGCTGGAAGTCGGAGGCGCAACATAAACGATTAGGCGAGGAATTCACTACGCGACAGTTCTGTTTCTGTCACGACGGTGTGCAGTGTGTGCGCCTGGTACAATGAGAGAGACTACACTATGCACGATGATGTAGTCTAGGTCACTGCATTGGCTTGTAACAAATTTTGTCCCTTTCTTGGCCACGTTTTGGCTAGATGTCATAATACTCATCTAATTTTGACTAATTGTAAATATGGAAGGATGCAATAGCATTTGGTTTCTCCTACCTGCACAAATAACATCCGCAAGATACTTTGATGGGCCTTATAAGTTTGAGCAGACATGTGGCTTCTCATTCCGTTTAATTTCTTCATCATTACTAGCGCGGATATCATATTTAACGCGTAGCACACAATGAGGCCGAGGATCACGAGCTAAACACAAGTTTTCCTCGGTTGACATTAGACTATTCCAAAAGTCGGACGCTTGCAGTCTAACCCCTCCAAAAAGTATCGTCCACCAGCTCTCCTGGTCCATCGCGACGAGGGTAATATTGTGTTCGACATAATATTCCACATATTTATAATTGCCGCTGGTACGCATCTGGGCAAGGAAGAGCTGGAAGATATTAACAATTTATAAACGATCGTACTCTACCTCCGGATCCATTATAGACTTGTAATAAGCGAGTCCGAGCGGACCTCCAGTAATCAGGAGGCCCACAGATATTACAGGAAGTCCGATGTACCTAAGCGAACAGTGTTGCCATTCAAATAATCAGTAGCAACATCAAGGACCAATCCGTTAACAATACCATGTGAAAATCAGCTTAATCATCTTGTCATTCTCGTGAATAAAAAAGTTGCGCACGTGCAGGCAGTCGTTGACGCTCATAAACGTCGACCAGGCCGTGATGAAGACGAGGAAGAGCTGAATTTTCGTATGATGTTAGTCTTATAGATAATGGATAACTTAAATTTAGAAGCCACGACTCACGGTATGGACAGCGGCGTCGTGGCCCCAGCTGTTGACGAAACCAAAAGCAGCGGCACATGGCGCTGGAAATAGCACATCCGGGCACATGAAAAGCCCCAAAATGGCGGCAAAGACGAATTCAAGCCACTAAAATCCGAAATGTTTCAAATTTGGGAGTCCGAAAGAAGGTTTGCCGCGAATTTCGCGGAATTAACTGCATATGTAGACAAAATAATTCTTACCGCCAACTTGATCAGCACCCATCTGTACACCTTCATCTCGGGCGGCGAGCGAAATTGCAACAGGTAGATCCATAACAATTCTACCGACAGCGCGAACGTGCTCAAGCCGTGGTAGAACCATCTTATCCCAGTGGATTCTAACATTTAGGCAATAGTGTCCCAGGCGGAAGCAAAAAGAGCCGAAATCTAATGGGTAGACTTGCAGTCCTGAGCTGATTTTCACCTGCCTCCTAAGCGCGTACCCGAGCCACGCACCGGGTGGTTTCTTCACCCATGCTACAAGTATAACTTTCGCCTACGACCATACCACGTTGAAAGCACGGCAGCCCGTCCGACCTTCCAAGTTAAGCAACGTTGGGCTCGGTTAGTACTTGGATCGGAGACGGCTTGGGAATCCCGAATCTTTTGCAGTTTTTGGCTCTTAAGGAGCCAGGGGATAAGCAGTTGAATGTTGAGTGATCTTTGCAAGCTGAAGAAGAATTTTGATCTAGCGTCTTAGCAAAATCCCAAACTGTCAATTTTACTGATGTATGGATTGTTTTTTATATGATCGAACACTACTGAAACGGAAAGCTACGTCTCAAAAAGTATTGAATATCGCGCGGTTTATCGATTTGGTTTCTTATTTCATCAGAAGATTTACTGTATCGTTTCGTAAAAAACACAATTGCCTTGCCCAGTTTGTTTTGTAGAACGTATCTGAAGCACAAACAAGATTTATTTTAACTAGCAATGAACCCGTAAGAGATAAAGTGACCAGATACAAAATTAGAATTACACAATGGGCTAAAAAGAGACGCAAGAAAATAATGTTTCAAAAATCAGGAAGGAAAGATCGCATTTTGGGAAAAAATCTCAATTAGTTTTGGGAGTTTGAGGGCCCGGCCTGATCAGCTTGAGCTGGAGCTGCAGCTTGAGGTATAGGAGCCGGAGCAGCCGGAGCAGCTGCAGCTGGGGCAGCAGCTGGATGCTGGATGACGACGCCATCATTCAGCTCTCCCATCTCGCGAAGGATCACCTCCCACGGGTTCTCGTTTCTGAAAAGAGAAAATTTATTAAGGGAATCTGATAAGAAAAATTTAATTTTTGCCTTTATTTAATTGTCATTCTATTTTTCAAAAAATTTCCGTATAGCAGAATCACTTTCCCGAGCATAACATTCGAAAGACTTGCTTTCAAAAGTATAATTTTTCAAAGTTTTTGATATAGAAAACATAATTATCGTAAAAATCTTTTCCAAAAAATATTTTTTACTGGTAGAATGTTCAAAATTTAAGAAATGTGTAGCGGATTCTCAAAAACCACTCACTTCATGGCTTCCTCCTCTTCCGGTGTGAAGTCGTTCTCCAGCTCCCAGATCTCACGGATCTCCTCCACCGATTTCCCCTTGATCATCCCGGCAACAGTCTCGGCACATTTGTCGAGGAGGCACTTGATGTCCATGTAGTTGGCAGCCTGGAAAAGAGAAAATTTTCAATTTAGAAACCTCTAAGGCAGAAATGCTGAAAACATCAAAATTTCGAATATCCAGTTTCAGAAGGCAAAAATTTGAAAATCTCAAAGTTTGCAGCTTTACATTGTGAAATTTAGATTTTTTGGAAAAATGGACATACCAATTTCAAAAATTTTAGGAATTAGCATTCACGTAATAAAGTATTAAACAAGCCCAAAAGAACTTACACCAAAAAACGTCGAAGAGCTGCTCGGAAGTGAGGCCCCCCAAAAATTCGTTCTCCCATTTCTTCATCTCTTCGTCGCGCTCGTTCAGCCACCACTTGTCCTGCTCCCATGGCGGCATCGTCTTGTGCTGTTCGCACCACTTTACGACCTGAAGTACGCTTTTATAATTGACCAATTATTTTCTATTTCTTTTTCTTCAAGCTTGATCCCCGGATGCCAAATCAAAAAAATTTATTGATATGCGAGAATTAATAAGGCGGCACCTTTTTTAAATCGTTACAATTTTAAAAAGAAGTAGGAATTTTTTCTATCCGTCATAGAAAAACTTACGTAATGGAAGGCCTCGCTGGAGACGTTGATCAGCGGGATCGGCTTCATATTCCGGATTGACTCGTCATCATCGATGCCCAAATCCTGTAAGAATCAGAAGTGGAAATTGTGTTATAGAAAGAAAAGATATGTAAAAAATACTGACGTGGACCCCATTCAATAAAAATGTTGTTTTACCTGCGAGATCTGCTTGACGACACCAGAAAGCTCGGCGGCCGCTTTTTCCATGGTGAACTCATGGCCTTCCTTGGAGTGGAACTAAAATAAGGCATATTGATGAAATGGCTATACAATTTTAAATTAGTTTCAAATAATTTTGAAAATTGAAAATAGATTATTAATTAGAAAATTAGAAGTCAAATAAAAATAAAGTAAATTTGAATCAAAAATAGTCAAAAGAATAGTAAAAAAGATTTTTATTTTTTTTAAGCCTTTTGTCAATTTCGGAAACCATTTTTAATTAACTAAAAAAAATTAAAAATACCCCTGATTGAAATATCTTAAAGAAAAGTCTGAAATCAAAAATCATAAATTTTTTGGAAGTGTTCCAACTTCCGGTTTACGGGGGTCAATAAGCCAGGATAAAATAAGGCCGGATGGGGATGTAAACAACATACATAATTTAACCTACCCGATACAGGATCTCCTCCTTGAGACGCTTCGACGATCCGGGGGCTTCTTCGAAGTTGGGCGCCATGGTTCGTTGTTGAGAGGACTTGGAAGATGTGATCTGGAGCTTTGGAATGGGAATGGTTTTCTAGACGAAAGGCGATTGCTTTTATACGTTCGGGCAGATGCGCGGACGGTGTCTGTAAGTCTGCTCAAGGCGTTGCCAGGTCAAATGGTATCATATCGCAATAAGCGCATTAACGGACTTGCATGAATAAGTGTATTATCTTAACTTAACTTGTAATAAAGTAAAATAAAAATACGATACGAAAAAAATCAAGACGAAAGCATGATAAAAGTTTTTGCGATTAACGACGATGAAAGAATTACCGAAGAAGAAACATAATAAACATAACGAAGAAAGTGAATTCCAAGAATTTCAATAAAAACCCAAGGTGAAGGGGAAGATTCTAAAGTCAGCTTGCTAACAATCCAAGAAATGGCAAAAACAGACCAAATTTCGTGGAAGTCTCACTTCCCCCCTCCCTCTCTCTCTCTCGCCCTCACTCTCGCCCTCTCTCACTTCCCTCTCTCTCTATCTCTCGCCCTCTCTCACTTCCCCCCCTCTCTCTCTCTCTCTCGTTCCATTTCTTTCTTTATTTCTCTCGTCGAGGCGCATCCGGACTTGCAAACTCGAGCAGAAAATTTCTTTTTCTTCCTCAAAGAATTATCGCATACCAGCGTTGTCCTGAATTCCGATGGGAAATTCTTTGAATAAAAATTCGGGCTTCTAACCGGATATTGAAATCGGTGCCCCATAAATACCAAACTTTCTTATAGTTAGGATCGGGCTCCGCTTGACCCCCCGTTGCCTCCTTTCTTCCTCCTCATTGGCAGAAATTCTCAGCTTAAAACAATTTTCAGGCAGTGAAGTGGTTGCTGCTTTTCGTCTGTGTGTCCGTCGTCGGAGCCTTTTCTTGGGCCCTATTATTGGCATCGGGACGCGAAAAAACCGGAAGGTCAGCGCTTGGTCAGCCGTTTTCTTCAACTTTCTCCCTAAATGAGCACCAGTTCTCTACTGTTCTCACCATCACCTTAGGCGCCGTTAAAATTGACGTGGAATTTCTTAGTGCTGTGACGAGCATGGTTATCTAGTACGCAACAAGCGCCACTTTCACAATTCCTGACCCTGCCGAATTTTGAAAATTACAGAGTGCACGGCGCAGGAGGACTTTGTCAAATCCGGCTCGGTCTGCGACAGGGAGATATGCAGTGGGCCGGTGTTGCTCTATCCCAAAAGACTATTAAAGGAACACATGTGCCTTATTCAGAAGGACTGCGTCAAAATGCTCAGTCACAACGTTTGCTTGTGCAAGCCCGGCCTGGTCAGAAGGGTAGATGGTAGATGCACAAAAAAAGCAGAATGCACCGCAGCAGAGTTAGAAGACGATCAGGAACATTAATCATCGAATTAATAAAGCCCCAAAGCAAGAGAAGCACCCCTTTGTTGGAAAACCGAACAAAAAAAAAGCAGCTGACGTGATTTGGAAAAACTAGGATGACCTTCTCCTCTACCCTTAAATTATTACTTTGACGAAACCCAACAAAAACATCTGTGAATCGGTAAAACTTGGGTAAAGTCACGGATCCATATACAGCCTTTCCTCAAATCTAAACACATCTTTCCGGAATTTAATATTCGATCAGATCAAATTTTTCTTCTCCAAAAAGGTATCGCATCCCAACTTTGCCTTGAAGACGGATGTGAAGCCCGCAGAATCCAACTTCGAACTCCGCACCCAACCGGATATTGAATGCGCCTCCCGCATAAATACCTTGTATAGTTACGATCACACTCCAAAAACGTGCAAAAAGCCTACGACACTCGGGATTCCCAAGCCGTCTCCGATCCAAGTACTAACCGAGCCCAACGTTGCTTAACTTGGCAGATCGGACGGGATGCCGTGCTTTCAACGTGGTAACGGCTACCCAGGGACCATCATCGCCATTTCGACATCAGCTTTCGCCTACGACCATACCACGTTGAAAGCATCGGCATCCGTCCGATCTGCCAAGTTAAGCAACGTTGGGCTCGGTTAGTACTCTGGATCGAGACGGCTTGGGAATCCCGAGTGTCGTAGGCTTTTTGCAACTTTTTGAATTTTATATGGGTAGAAAATTTAGAAAGACACCAGTTTTTTGCAATTTCTTATCTTTTCGTCCTTTGCAGGAAAACGACGACTGTTTTTCACGAGCTTTTTCTTGCCAGACGACTGGTCAAAACCGGCTGCAGGCAGTATGCAGATTTTATCTAACGGACCATGGGAGCACGCCATGCAACAAACAATGGCTGGATGGCTTACCACTAAAGTAACCGCTGGGACTTGTACCACCTCAAAGAAACAGACTTCGAAGTATGACTTCGGAAAAACCGGCTGTTATTCAAGCACTTCGAGCCTTTGCTGTACTAATCATATTGTTGCATGCTTTTAACGAAAAATGGGTGCCGCACGGATTTTTGGGTGTAGATATGTAATAATAATTTACTATGTTTTTGATAAATTAATATATTTTTTAGTTTCTTTGTCATAACTGGCTACTTGATGGCGAAGAAATACTTTATTACATTGAATTCGTTCGAGAATATCCTGAATTGCTATAAAAGTCGGTTGAAGCGGATTATGCCTTGCTACAGGTGCGCTTCTTCTTGCTCATAAAATTTATAAAAAAAATATTTTAAGCTTGACGATAGCTACCGTGCTCTGGACTGGCTATTTTGCGCTTTCTAGCAACGATGTAAAATCGCTTAAACAAGAATCAGGCTGGGCCCTAGCAATTTTATCAAACGTTCAGCCATTTTTTCAAGACGCGGACGACTACGGCAAACTGGTATACTCTCATTACTCCGTTTTCAGGATTCCGAATACCAATTTTCCTCTCCTCTCTGGTCGCTGTGCTGCGTGACACATTTTTTCTTACTTGTGCCCCTAATTTTCTGGATATTAAAAAGCGTTGAATGGCGCGGGCAGATTTTGATGGGCTACCTTTTTGTTTGCGTATCGATTCTGGTAGTTATGGTAGTTCAAAGTCTATTTTTTCGCGATAGCAACGTATTGTTTAGTTACTCCCCAATGAAAAATCCCTCGCATTAGTCTTCTGTCGCCTATGGCAATTTCTCATTGGAATCTTTGCCCATACTTTCCCAAGAAAGGGGAATATTGCGGTTCTCTTGGAGGCGGAAACGGAATACAAAAAACTGTGCTTGCCGGAAGAGGAGGAGAAGGAGGAAGGAGGTCTGATGTATCAACTAAAAAATTTATTTTATTACTTTTATAGTTTTAGAGAAGCTGGTTGCAAAGAAGAATGAGGAAAATGGCTATCTAACCATCGGGCTGCTCCTGATCTGCCTCATTTTTACTTACGAAAGGCGGTTTCCGACTTTTATTTCTCGACTTGCAATCACGATGCTGGGTGGATATGTCATTAATGTAACAGGTTGGAAGTTTCGTAGATAGCTCAAAGAAAATTAAAGATTTGCGTATTATCACTCTTTCAGCGGAATCCAAGTTCTTCTCTACAAGACCTATACTGTATCTGGGTGATATTTCTTACTTGCTATATCTTGTTCACTGGCCTGTGATTTCTTTCGTGCAAATTTCATATTACGATGGGATAGAAATGAACAGTTCTGGTCAGTATTAGAAGTACTTAATAGATTTCCGCCCTTTCAGGCTATATGGTCGCAGTTCTTTGCATAATATTATTAACCTCCACCGTTCGACATTTTATCGAAAAGCCACTGCTTGCTGATACGGTTGTGTAAGCTAAGAAAACTCAATACTCGTTCTAGTCTGCAAAATCGTTCTGGTTTACATTTTTCTGCTATACCAGCGCGCTAGCTGCTTTATTAATGCCTACACAAACTACCAAAATTACGGGTCCGATCCTATCAGCTTCAGAGCGGACTAGAGGTAGGATGTAGGTAGCCCGTTTCAGGCTGTATTTTAAGATTGTGAAGCCCTAAATCGCGTCCCACCCCAGCCAAAATTGGAGAGTGAATACCATACCACATGGAAGAGTATAACGAACTGGTGAGGCGCAGAAGCTGTCAAAAGACTCAATTCTAAGCCTGGAAACGGTTTCTTTGATGTGCTCGTCACCGGAAATTCCTACTTACAAATGTATACACAATGGCCCGTCGAAGCATTCAAGGGACGCTTCCGGAAGTACTACCACAAAGCTATAGATAGTAAGTTAATGTTTCGGACGTGATCGAGCGGAATGAATGCTCAGGGTACTGAAAGTTTAAGCGCAGACAGCTAAAATCCCAGGAAAAAATGTGCGCTTTCTCGCAATTTTCCAGTGGAAAAATACTACGCAAAACGACTATTCTTGCCTCCGATCAAACCAAAAAGTGCAAAAGCCCACGACACTCGGGATTCTCAAGCCGTCTCCGATCCAAGTACTAACCGAGCCCAACGTTGCTTAACTTGGCAGATCGGACGGGATGCCGTGCTTTCAACGTGGTATGGTCGTAGGCGAAAGGGGGATGGGGAGGGAGGGTGAAGTGCTGGGGGTGAGCTAGAGATTAGGGTAGAGCTAGAGGTCCCAGACGACAGTCACCCCAGCCTAGGCAGTGGAGGTATGAGACGAGCAGATGCTCGCTCCTTGGAGGGTTGCCCTACTAGAGACTGCCATCTCCTCCTAGGATAGGACAGAAAAACACCCACCCCTACACAGCTTCGGTTTAATTACCCAAGTTTGAGGTTAGCATTAACCCCGAGACCTCCTCAAAAGAGTGTTTCGAACAAATTTTGGAACGCATTCCCCAGAAGGGAGTGCACAAAGCAAATTTTCACTGGTGGGCAGTTGAATCAGTCGGAAGTTTCGGAAGTCCGACCGTAAGAGTTTGCTGCTACCCACCGTGGGCGGCTACCCAGGGACCATCATCGCCATTTCGACATCAGCTTTCGCCTACGACCATACCACGTTGAAAGCACGGCCTCCCGTCCGATCTGCCAAGTTAAGCAACGTTGGGCTCGGTTAGTACTTGGATCGGAGACGGCTTGGGAATCCCGAGTGTCGTAGGCTTTTTGCAACTTTTTGAATTTTATATGGGTAGAAAATTTAGAAAGACACCAGTTTTTTGCAATTTCTTATCTTTTTCGTCCTTGTAGGAAAACGACGACTGTTTTTCACGAGCTTTTTCTTGCCAGACGACTGGTCAAAACCGGCTGCAGGCAGTATGCAGATTTTATCTAACGGACCATGGGAGCACGCCATGCAACAAACAATGGCTGGATGGCTTACCACTAAAGTAACCGCTGGGACTTGTACCACCTCAAAGAAACAGACTTCGAAGTATGACTTCGGAAAAACCGGCTGTTATTCAAGCACTTCGAGCCTTTGCTGTACTAATCATATTGTTGCATGCTTTTAACGAAAAATGGGTGCCGCACGGATTTTTGGGTGTAGATATGTAATAATAATTTACTATGTTTTTGATAAATTAATATATTTTTTAGTTTCTTTGTCATAACTGGCTACTTGATGGCGAAGAAATACTTTATTACATTGAATTCGTTCGAGAATATCCTGAATTGCTATAAAAGTCGGTTGAAGCGGATTATGCCTTGCTACAGGTGCGCTTCTTCTTGCTCATAAAATTTATAAAAAAAATATTTTAAGCTTGACGATAGCTACCGTGCTCTGGACTGGCTATTTTGCGCTTTCTAGCAACGATGTAAAATCGCTTAAACAAGAATCAGGCTGGGCCCTAGCAACTTTATCAAACGTTCAGCCATTTTTTCAAGACGGGGACGACTACGGCAAACTCGTATACTCTCATTAAACCTAAAAACTCGGTTTTCAGGATTCCGAATACCAATTTTCCTCCCATCTCTGGTCGCTATGCTGCATGACACATTTTTTCTTACTTTTGCCCCTAATTTTCTGGATATTCGAAATCGTTGAACGCCGCGGGCAGATTTTGATGGGCTGCCTTTTTGTTTGCGTATCGATTCTGGTAGTTATGGTAGTTTAGTCTTTTCACTGATAACGAAGTATTGTTACTACTACCCCTAATAGAAAAATCCCTCGGATTAGTCTTCTGTCGCGTATGGCAATTTCTCATTGGAATCCTTGCCCATACTTTCCAAAGAGATGGTTATATTGCGGTTCTCTCGGAGGAGGAAACGGAATACAAAAAACTGTCGCTTTAGCGGAAGAGGAGGGAAAAGGAAGAGGTCTGATCTGTCACCTAAAATTTATTTTATTACTTTTATAGTTTTAGAGAAGCTGGTTGCAAAAAGGGATGAGGAAGATGGCTACTTAACCATCGGGTTGCTCCTGATCTGCCTCATTTTTACTTACGAAAGATGGTTTCCGACTTTTATTTCTCGACTTGCAATCACGATGCTGACTGGATATGCCATTAATGTATCGCAAGCAGGTTGGAAGTTTCGTAGATAGCTCGCAGAAAATTAAAGATTAGCGTATTATCACTCTTTCAGCGGAATCCAAGTTCTTCTCTACAAGACCGATACTGTATCTGGGTGATATTTCTTACTTGCTATATCTTGTTCACTGGCCTGTGATTTCTTTCGTGCAAATTTCTATGTATTACGATGTGGATAGAAATGGACAGTTCTGGTCAGTATTAGAAGCATTTAGTAAATTTCCGCTCTTTCAGGCTATATTGTCGCAGTTCTTTGCATAATATTATTAACCACAACCGTTCGACATTTTATCGAAAAGCCACTGCTTGCTGATACGGTTAATAGTAAGCTAAAAACCCAATACTCGTTCAAGCCTGCAAAATCGTTCTGGTTTACATTTTTCTGCTACCATCGCGCTAGCTGCTTTGTTAATGCCTACACAAACTACCAAAAATTACGGGTCCCGATCCTATCAGCTTCGAGGGGACTAGGAGGTCGGAGGTGAGTATGCGTTTCAGGCTGTATTTTAAGATTGTGAGAGGCCCTAATTCGCGTCCCACCCAGCCAAAATGGGAGTGAATACCATAGGGCGCACGTGGAAGAGTATAACGAACTGGTGGCGCAGAAGCTGTCGAAAGACTCATTTGGCCTGGAACGGCTCTTTGATGCTCGTCACCGGAAATTCCTACTTACAATGTGTATCCGCAATGGCCAGTCGAGCGGTCCGGCGGGACGCTACCGGAGTACTACCACAAAGCTATAGATAGTAAGTTAAGTATCGGACGTGATAGAGCGGAATGAATCCTCAGGGCACTGGCGTTTAAGCGCAGACAGCTAAAACCCCAGGAAAATGTGGGTTTCTCGCGATTTTCCAGTGGAAAAATACTACGCAAACGATTATATCACGCCTCGATCAATCAGGAATGCAAAAGCCTACGACACTCGGGATTCCCAAGCCGTCTCCGATCCAAGTACTCAACCGACCCAACGTTGCTTAACTTGGCAGATCGGCGGGATGCCGTGCTTTCAATGATATGGTAGTAAGGCGTGGAGAGTGCAGAGAGGGTGAAATGTGTGGTGCAATGGAGATGCACAGAGTCTGAGGTCCGACGACAGTCACCCAGCCTCAGGCAGTGAGGTATGAGGCGTGCAGATGCTCGCTCCTTGGGGTTGCCCACGAGAGACTGCCATCTCCTCCTAGGATAGGACAGAAAAGCACCCACCCCTCCACAGCTTCGGTTTAATTACCCAAGTTTGAGGTTAGCATTAACCCCGAGACCTCCTCAAAGAGTGTTTCGAACAAATTTTGGAACGCATTCCCCCAACAGGGAGTGCACAAATACCCTTGGATGAACAGAATTTAGCATGCGTTCCGTTTCTCAACTACACGGGAATACACCGTATGGGTGCCGTATGCGAAAAGTACAACCGGAGATTCTTTATGAAGATGGATCGGGTGCGGCCCAAGATTGCGGTGTTTGTGTTTGGGTTTGTTCTTTAACAGCTAGGCTTTTATGTCATGAGCTTAAGAAAATCTTTACATTATCAAAAAAAAAAATGAAAACAGAGGAACATTTCAGTTTATAATTTAGATATCGAAATGTATGCAATCTGGCCCTAAAACATTATGCATCAATGCTGCCGCTTGCTCAAGAACGCCTCGAAGTCTTGTCGTAACGAGCAAAACTTCAAATTCATAACCCCTAACGGAATTTACAGGAGTCTAACCGAATACTTGGTCATCAACTATCCAATGTACAGCCTCAATAAAAAACTGGCCCATCGCCAGCAGCGTAAATTCGAAAAACACGGAAAACCGCCGCCAAGGAATGAGACTCAATTTGTTTATCAGGTATGGTATTTCCATACCTCGAAAACGAAATAGGTTTGTTCACCTCGAAACATATCATTAGCGCCTCCCCCGGTTGACCCCGAGGTGGCTGTCCAAAAGTTATTGGTTACGAGGCCCGAAGGCCTGTACGTACACCGAAATGTATGCTCCGGAGAGCGAACCGAGGCAATGGGGAGGGACGGGGGAAGAGGGCAGCGGCTGGGCCAGATGGAGGGCGAGTTGGGGAAGGGCAGCGAGCCGCGAAAGAACACACGGAAGGCAGGATTTCCAGGGCGTGCTGGTTAGGTATAATATTTACCTGTTGTATGAAGGTTTTTTGCGAACCTAGATGTCATTAAGTTATGAGATACGGAAGTACATGAGTAGAGCGTCAAAAAAATATAGAAAATTGTTAATTTTTGAACAATTAGGGCCTTTGAAAATAGAATTGATTGAAAAAGATTGCCAATTTTTAGCAAGCGGCTAACTGAAAAGCGCCAGTATGGGAAGTAACTTAACCCAGAAATGGCCGGTTGGGTTCGAAATCTCCATATTTGAAAGTGGGCGGCTTTTCTTCTATTTGCATCTCTTCTTCATCTTTTCATGCTTTATTCGTGCAACACGTTTATCTCTCTTTCCTCTCATCATCTGCCAAGCAAAACGGCTTTGCTGCTTGATCAGTCGCTATCCGGGGGAGATCTGGCTAGCTTTTGGTGGAAAAGCCGGGGTGGAGTAACAGGCTTTTCGGGGCGTTTTGATGGATGCCCGTCGGCATAACCAGCGCATCACGACTGCGATGGCGGCGGTATAAAAGATGGGTTAGTTTAGGTGGCGCTGATAAACTGAATTCTGAGTTTAAAGGGACCGTTAAGCCCGAAATTCAGCGTTTGCTAAGCTTTGACTTGCCATCACAAGCTCTCTCTCCTCTCTCTGCTCCTTCGCCAACGCTCCTCTTTCTCTATTTTCATCTGTCGCGATATATCTCTCCATTTATAAACTGATCTTTAGCCCTTGTCGTTCTCTCTGTCTTTCTGAGGTTTGTCCTCTCTCTCTCTCCCCCCTCTCTCTCTCTCTCTCTCTCTCTTCTTATCTCTATCGCCTCTCTCCTCTCCTTCTCTTTGTTTTCTCTTTCCAGAATGCAGGTAACAACCGTTCACCTATCTGTGGCCTCCACCCTCTCCGGGTTGGCCCTCCTTGCCGCCTCTTCGCCCTGATCAGCTCAGCGGCGATGTCGAACTACTGTCAGGAGGAGCTCGACAACCAGCATGCCAGTTCAGGTAACCTCGACCCCCTAGTTATGAAACCATTTTTCAGACCAGAGCCGTGACATGTGGCACGACATCGTCAGAGGCGCCGAAAAGCGACGCTGAGCACGTAGATATTTTTGTTAAGGGGATCGAGGTTTCTAGAGGGTTATGAAAGCCAGCCTGCCGCCTCCTCCGATTCCCAGCCACCAGGCACCAACGTCTTCGCCAGGCCCCGGCTGGTTCTCGCCTCCACCATCGTGCGCTTGTGACACTGAGAAACAGAAGCGGTAGGGTTAGGAACGTTATGAGCAACGTATCGCAGGTTAAAAGTGGCGCATAATTTTGTGGAGATAAGCATCGCAGCATTGCTTACCGTAAAGTGTTGTAAAGCGCGTTTTGTATCGTGGCGTAGCTTATCGGATGTTTTCGTGGCGTCCCATAACGTAGCGTATGGTCTCGCGGAATTTGGGATAGTAGCGCATACGGCGTTTTGTATCGCCTTGTCGGTAACGTATCGCCGTGTTGCATACTCAGTAACGCATCGGTCGCACCTCTTCATCGTGCTAGCGTAAACTCTTATGTACCTGTAACCCATCGAATCGCATTGAATTGTAGTGAGCAATAGCGTAACGCGTCATGGCATGTCGTTTCTTGACATCTTTTATCGTAGGATGGACCTAGCGTATTTTCTTAAGATCGTATCCGAGCATCTCGCAGCGTACGACCTCGTCTTGTTGAGTATCGAAGCGTAGCGTCAATAGTATCATAGAGTAGTATCATATCGCTATCAGCTACATCGTCGACTTCAGTTGCCATAGTGGACCACCGGACCCAAAGGATCCCCTGGGGCGGGACCCACCCAACGGACCACAATGGATGACGGAAAGGCGGGACACGATTCCGAAGATGTTGCCCCCGCCTACAATGATGGTGGACAATTGCTGCCTGGACCCCCTGGACCTCCCGGTAGGTTATCTAACGGTTCGAGCTTCCGGGAGTATTCTTGTTTTCTTGCAGTAACCTCTATCACAGGACCCGTCGGAGCCGGAGGCCACCCGCGGAATGAAGGGCGAGGGATGGGGCGTCCCGGACGTGCCGGTCGGACGGCACCGGACTTTCTGGCCAGATGGTCCCATGGGGCAACAGGGCTGCATGGACCACGGGCTAACAGAGAAAAAGGTACGTAACCACAAACTCGTACTCACTTAGTAAGAATGTGCCGAGGCGACTTTGTTGAGTTTCAATTACCAGTCCACGACCATCGCTATAATTTTGCACCTTTCCAACCACACCATTTCCAAGGAGCCGACGGTCGCGCCCCCAGGCGGCCCGTACAAGGGCCTCGCGGCCCCTGGAGGTGGGACCGTTGGGCACGTTCCGGAAAGGACGGACCCACCGGAGAGCCAGAGAGGGTTCGGACCGAGAAGGAAAACAGGGGCCCAAGGGGTAGGTCTTTATTTTGGCCTCTGAATCCGAAAAAAATGCAGAATCGACGGCCCACCTGGAGCTGAGGGACACGACGGTCGCGTTGGTCGGCGATGCCGAGTACTGCCCTTGCCCGCAGCGTGGTAGCGGTGGCTCTACTGCGCATTGTGAATTAAGAATACGGAATAATCAGACCAGAAAGATTCTACTCACAAAAAATCATCGGAATTTTAAGAATATCTGTTAATTAAGTCGAGGGAAGTTCACTAGCTCTTTCAGTCGGCGGCAAGAAGCAACGTAGCAATGATCTTTGCGATGGTGCAATCCGGAACTTTTGTATCGATATAAATTATTTATTACAAAGAAACAGAATTTTATTAACTGCACTGTACCTAATTTTACGACAAATACAAATCAGTGGTCGCGGCTTTCGGCGAGGCATACTGAAAAGTTCGGGGTCAGCGCGATAAGACTTCAAGAAATCACTTCCCGGCATTACTACGATGAAGCCAAACGTACTTTACTTGAGCTTGCTCATTACACTGCAATAGATTTCAAAAGAATGGGCCTTTTTGTAGCTTTTTTTAATCTGTATCTTAAAATTTTTGCTTTTCCCAACCGTTAGAAAGTTTGCAGTTTTCGTTAAAACAACACAAAATATCGATCTTCGACGAAAAACTCGAATTTTCAACCAGATTTCAAATTTCAAATTCACTTCTTATGAAGGTTGTTTTTGTTCTTAATATATTGTCACATTACATTAAGAACTTTAAAGAGGTTTGTGCTCTGATCAACTACCTTTTGCTCGTTTCCGATCGAACTAACTCCCTTATAACTCAGGAACCACCCTGATTCGATCAGCTGAAAAGGTATTGAGCGCCGAAAAAACTTCCCCAATTCAGCGATCAGTTGGTTTCCGCATTCTCTCATCGACCTGTCCCGCGCCTACCTGCCTTTTTCGGGCCCGGGTGATTTGCACCGATTTATGTGAATGAGAGGGGCAGGGCAGCGAGCAACATGACCAGAAAGTGGGCACGACCCCGGCAATGCACGATTGCAGTTTTGATCACTCAGATCGCTGCGACCTGGTCTTTTTCTCTTTATCTTTACCTTTTTCAAAACATTATCAAAATCAAAATAGACGGAAATTTATTTTATCACAATTCTCCTCTCCATTACACAACCAAAAGCCACTCTCACCAGCAAACCCCAGAGAAAGGACATTTGAATATAAATGAAGTGGCCTCTCCATCTTGGCATTTCAGGTATTACCAAATTTTTTTATCACCATCCCATTAAAATGGAAAAGCTTTCCAAAACGTCAACACATTATAGCAATCAATGATCTCCCTTTCCTGCTACCTCATGTTTCCATTTTTAATCGCTGATCTGGCGTGTGCTGGGGCGGATACCCCAAAATTACGGTAATTTGAATGCTTTGGTAACCAAGCCTTAGGGTATATTTAATAGCAGTGACATTCATATCCGGTGGCATTGCCTCGATTCTACAAAGCACTTTTGGGTTACGGTAGGAAAATCAGAAAACCTAGATTCCGTTTTGGAGCTTTTCAGATTGGCTATAATTCACGGCTCTTCGCTGGCTTTTCTGCCGCCCCTTTTGGCTTGGAGGTACTTTCAAAAATATGGATTTGACTAAAGTTTTAATTAGAAAACTAAAATCTCAAAAATTGAATGGATTTAGTAATCTCCCGGAAAATAAATGCACAGCCAACTCAACCACGATAGTTCCGGAAGAAGTCTGGAAAACCCGGTTGCTTACGGTAGGCCCCAAATTTTATGTTGTTTTTTAATAAAGGCATCGATAAAATTAAGTAACAAGAAATTCAACATAGGCAAAAATTTAAATTAAAATAAATTTTTAGGTCTCAGGCAGCTTACTCATCTCCAGCTTCGTTTTCATCATCATCGGCTTTATCGGGGCTGTCGGCTGGTTTTCAAAGCATGTGGGACCGATTACGATAGGTAACTCTGGACCTTAGAATATTTAGACGTTTTTACTAAGTGCCCCTAATGTCACTTCTCGCCCTCTCTACAGTACCCACCTTGGAGCGCCAATTAGGAATGCACTGGATATCATTAATGTGCGTTATATCTTCAAGATTTTCTTCTTTTTTTTGTCACCAGTTTTTATAGGAATAGTGTCTGGAAAATATTCAACCAGCCAATGAAATCTATTTTTGTAGCGAGCCTCTGCCTCCTGCTCCTCTTCGCCGTCCGCCTTGAGCACTTCCATGTTCCCATCCCCTACTACTCCTTCTCAAAGAAAAGACCTTTAAAAACGGCCCAGCTCCTTTGCAGCCCTGCTTGGTCAATTTCCGGTAGGAACTCCACGCTACACCAAATTACACGTCACAGTATCTCCTGGCTATTGGGATCTCGTGGTTTATTTTTATAGCTTGATGTTGGAGCTCTTTGAGTTGATCATCGGCGTCCCCAATCTCTCTACTTAATCGAAAAATCACTGAAGGGCTGGTGGCTCAAGCTCCTTGGGGTGAATGTACCCTATCCAGGTCCCCGAGAGAGAGCGAGGCGCAAAAAAAAAAAAAAAAAAAGTGAGAGAGACTAAGAGAGAGAGTGTGAGAGAGGGGCGAGACGATGATTTGCGGCCAGGAGAACTCGGCTCTCAAAAACTTCCTTCGACGTGCCTATAAGTGCTGGATTCTGAGCTCCGCCTTATCAGCCACAGATCGAGAGCGCGTTGGATCTTTATAAGATGAGCGCGAGGAAAGTCACAACAAGGAAGTCCACCCAGAAAGAATGCTGAATCGAGCGGTGATCGTCGAGGGTAGGTGATAGAGAGAGAGAGAGAGAGGAGAGAGAGAGAGCGAGAGAGAGAGAGCGAAACAGAGAGATGGAGCCAGGACGAGATAGAGATAGCAAAAGAAATAACTTTCAGGAATTGGAAGCTTGATCGCTGCCAGTCTAAACGTTCGAACCGGAACCACAACTCATGCGTGAAGCATTGCGCTCTGCCATTTGACCAAGGTTTGTCAGATGTCGAATTGCGCGAAAAGCTGAAATTAGAGAATACGTAATAAGAAAACTAAGAAAATAACAAAAATTAATAAATTCTTTAGGTGGCCTCCCGGATTACTGTACAGCCCGCTTGAAATATCGATCTCTGATGTGACTCTTCACAAAGGTATTTTCACTCACTTCTTGCCATTTTGATTCACTTTAAGTTTGCCGCCGTCCTGGCTTTTGTATTCCAGACCCACTTATTGGCGGTATGCTTTGCCTCGGAATGAGCATGATTGCTGGAGTGGCCTTGTCCAATTTAAGGGTAATTTTTGATTTTATTGGTTGGTCTATACAAAACTAATTAGGACGTATTTAGATTTAAATATTAGGCATTTCCAGGTTTTTTTTAGGTTGTAAATCTATTACCCACTCGGAAACTCAGCCAACATGGATCCGCCCTGCTCTGCCGGAATGGGTGGTACCGTTACATTTTGAAAAATCACCCGATCGATACCGGTAATTTCCGTTTTAATCCTGTATCTTCAGGGCTGATATTATTCCATTTTCAGTCTTATGATAGTACCCTATTTTAATTTCTAGAAAACCAGACGCCCGATCAGGTGCTAAACATGCTCCTGAGCATAAAAATGTTGGTCGGGGGGCTGCTGGCGTTTTCGCTGGATAATTTAATGCCAGGTGAGCAACGATTTTAAAGACGTTGCAAAATAATAGGTTATCAAAATATATTAACTAAAGCTAAAATGACCTGAATTTTGAAAAAGCGATCAAAATGCGACAAAAATGTGTCTTTTAGGTGCCACCCGAGCAGATCGAGGCCTGATCGATGAAGCGGAAGCAGACGGACCAACTGATGGGTTTTTACTACCTAGAATTATGGACCGGTAATACGCAAAATCGTTCCAAAAGTTTTTATCTATTTCTAGAGCCATCTCCACCTTGCCGATCCTCAGAAAGCTGCCATTTTTGCCTTCAAAACCGCAATATATCTCGGCCAGTCGAGACCTGGACGCCTGAATTCAACTGATCTCATCATATGTGCCATATTTAACTGGATAAAGTTATTAATTTTTACAAATAAATTTCGCCAACTGCATTCTTTATTTTGTTCGTTTCTTGGAATCTCAATTAAATTTATTTGCTCTGATCGATTTTTTTCGATTTTTCACGATTGAGAAAATGCGTTAAGGCCAAAGTGATCTGGGGGCAAAAGCTGGCATTCCAGACAACCTGCAGAGTTCCTTTAGGAATTCTGTTGAGCTTTTGAAAGTCCAAATCCGAGATTCCAATCCCCCTTTTTCGGCTGATCTCTTCAATGGACCAAACACCGTATCGGTTCCCAAAAACCGGGGACCCCCGGGCTGTCTAAACAATGTCTCACCACAAATTCTGATGTACTCTCCCATGTATTTGCCAAAACTCCGAAAAAGGGTCAAAATTATGCAGGAGAAATGGTTGCTAAATTAGTCAAATAAAAAACGGGCACCAATAAGTGATCGAGCGCGGTGATCGGCTAATTTGGAGCTGGGGATCAAGCGAACAGTGGACGGTATAAAAGAGGTGAGCGGCTGCTAGAAATCACTCAATTTCGGCGCTGCGGCTCCGCAACTCCTCAGTCTCAAGGTCCCCCTCTAAAGCTCAAGCTATGAATTCCTGGTTGAGCTTGACGACTTTGGCGGTTTTTGCTGAGTTTGGAACAGAATTGCGAGCTTTCAGAATCCTAAGGCGTGCAAAGCAGTTTTCGCGAGCTACCGTAACCTTAAAACGGAATTTTTTTTGTCTCAAAAAGCAGAACAGGTTATGTAAAACTACTGAATTTTCGGATTTGAAGTTTTTGGATGTGAAAGCATTTTTTTTGGGGTTTTTGTAGGCTAGCAAAATCAGGTGCTTTGCCTTTTACAGTACTTCAAACCATGGATGTTTGGCTTAACAAAAAATCAATGAAGTGAATGAATTCGTATGCCTAAGACTCTTTTAAAACACTACAACCTTCCAAAAAGCAGGTTTTTTTCAGTCGCCGCCGTCTACGCATGCAGTGACTCAAGCGCCAAGTGAGTAATTTACGCTATAGCGATCGACTAAGGCGCAACTTAAAAAACGATTATCGAATATCTAAAAAAGGAAAAAATCAACGTGTATTTCTCTAGCTGTGCCAACTGGGCGAACAACGGCTTCTGTACGAACACCTTCTACACGGATGCGCAGAGGGCGCAGTACTGCGGGTCGACTTGCGGAAACTGTGGAGGAGGCGGTGGCGGAACTGGAAGCTGTGTAGATAACAACTCCGAAGTTTGTAGTCTTCTGCAGGGCTTAGTCTTTCCATTTATATGTCTACACCGCCTAATTCATTGTTTGTCTTGTCGTAGCTAGGCGGAAGTAGCTAGCAATGATTATTCAGGATTTTTGAGAGACACAGAAATCTGTACTGATAATCGTGCTATCGGCATCAGAAGCGGTTAATAAAGCTTCTCGCGATTTCCCGTAGCGGTTTGCTTAATGGTTGACTAGATAAAACGTTTTTTTCAAATTATGATAATTTTTTAGCTGCGGCACCTGGGTCCAGAACGGTTTCTGCTCCAACTCTGCATACACCGACGAGCAGAAGGCACAGTACTGTCCGAGCTCATGTATGTTGCACTGCAGAATAACCTAAAATAGAACGGAATTAACTTTAGATGTCAACAAATTGAATAATAACACCGATTTAGGCAACCTCTGTGACGGCGCCGGGACCACCGCTGGATCCACTGCTGAAACATCTGCTGGTACCACCGCTGCAGGTAGGTTTTGGGTCCAAGTTTTGGGAAGAATTGAGTTTTTTTTTGTCTTTATCCAGCGACGAAATAGGATTTTTGTGCAATATTTTGTTCCAAAACAATCAAAGAAACAGCCAGAATCAATGCGTTTAGCTGGAGACACCTCAGCCGGAACTACGGCTGGCGGAGCTGCCACTACCACAGCTGGAGGAGCTGCTGCAACGACCACCTGTAGGTATTTCTGAGCCTTCAAAACTAGCTAGAGATTTCGAATACTGTTCTATTTGTGCTTGAATTAAGTAAAAATCACAAAATTCGATTTCTTTAGCCAATAATTTCTCGTTTTTCAGCGGGCCCGTAAGCTTTCTGAAGCGCTGTCCTGGGTCGTGCCGTGCCGAAATTCACTGCTTTTTCTTTTCTTTTCACAAGTCCATTTATCGGCAATTTCAATAAATTATGGGTTCAAAAAACGCGCACACGTAACGTTGAAAAGGGGAAAGTAAGCACCGAAACGTCGGCGAAGTGGAGTTCCGATAAAAATTACGCAAATTTCTAAAAAAACAAACATTTTTGGTACAATCACTGTGAATCCAGTTTAAGTTGAATATTTTAATTGGTCGGTGCCGACTCAAAACTAAATTTTTTTTAGCGGAGGACCCACAACAAAATCGGATCCAAACGTTTAAGGAATTAAAATTATAGGATTAAAGTCTTACAGGTTCGAAAAAATTACAAAAAGAGCAGGAAAGACAGTTCTTGGAATTTTTGTGCGTCCTGTGCGAAGTAAAAACAAAAACAAAGTCCGGGAAAGATCAATGGACAGAGGATCGCTTCGGAAAATCAAACAAAGGAAAGGGATAGGTAGACAGGGAGGGAAATCTCGTATTGTGGACAGACTCGTAGGTTGCACTATGCTAATGTCGTGGTTTAGGGGTTTTACAACACAGAAAAAAAATTAAAATATCTCTTTAATTCTCAATTCTTGAAGTCCCACTTGCCGTAGGGCGCTCCAGCGTGTATACCGGACAGTTGAAAGTAGCTGGGGTTCGGTGCCAACGAAGACTGTCGGAGCGGGAGTGCTAAAAAATCGGATATTTTGATTTTAATTCCGGAAAAGATCCAATTCTAAAGGGGCTCTGAAGCTCAAGATTCGACCCCTGTCGATCCCTAGGTCTCGACAACTCTCGCACTGTTCGGGTCTCTCGCCAACCGCCTTTTAAGCACCTCCTATCGATTTTCGGACTCTATTACGCCATTAAAACCGAAAAAGGCTAAAAAACTATAATAATGACAAATATGCCAGGGCTGATTGATCACTTCCTTTAAAGAAGAGCGACGCAGAAAAGCGTAAGCTCCTTTTCGTCTTGAAGCTCGGGAAAATTAGCATAAGCTGAACAAAAGAAGCTTTGCAAGACCTGATAATCACGTCCACTTTACACGGCGGACTCTAGGGTGGCCTGGATTAATTTGAAACGGTCAGGAAATGGCCTACCTGGCTGCTGGGGAGCATTTTCGGCTCGTTTCTAGAGATCCAAGGCAGTAAACGGCGGTATTCGGTTACCCAGAGAAGGGCAACATCGGCGGCGATGCGGACCTGAATTCACGGGGTGCGATGGCCTCCCCTCTCTCGTTCCCCCGCCTCTTTCTCTCTAGCTCACTCTCACCTCCACCTCTACTGCTCACACTCTCTCTCCTCTCTCTCTCTCTCATTCTGTCTGTCTCTCATTCTCTCTCTCGCTCTCTCTCGCTCACTCGCTTCCAACTCACCATCCACAAGAGCACCGCCCCGCCGGCTATCGTCTCCAACCGGATCATCGTGTTCAGGTACTGTAATTGAGTTTTAAAGTTTTTCAAAACCTCATGCTCACCTCAACAAGCAAACAATTCTGCGAGTTGACGACCTTATGAAAAAGCCAGATGTTATTCTGGATAATGATGGCTCCGGCAAGGAGCAGGGAGCTAAAAATTGAAGACCGTTTCCTGAGTTTGAGCTCCTGCTTACCAAATCAAGGTGTAAAGTACGATATGTCCTCCAAAAATAATGAAGTGGCGCAGCTTCTTCTTGGTGACGTTGGGCTCGTTGTGGAGTCTGAAAAAGTGTATGCTGCACTCTCTCCCTAGTGCCATCTCTCTCGCTCACTCCCTCTCTCTCTCTTTCTCTCTCTCTCTCTCTCTCTCTCTCTCCTCGTCTCTGTCTCGCTTTCTCTCTCAACTTACCGCTCCTGAATCGACGCTGCGTAGAGCTTATACGCAACAGTAACGTAGAAGAGCAGTACGGTCATCATCAAAAACGCCAACAGCACGATGGCGATGATGATCAGCGGACGCTGGCAGGAGAAGTAGGAGCATACTGTAATTTTTGACTAGTTCATTAATGCTTAATTTCCATACCTCCAGCTGCCTTCCTGGGGTCCAAGATCACGGTGGTCAGGGGAGCAAAAGCTGCTGCGTAGAAAATCGCCAACAGCCAGAGGACTACGAGACAAGCCACGAGACGACGAAGCGAGAAAGCGGATTCGAAGCCGTACGGGCGGAGGAGGCTGATCTGAAATTGGTGTTGTACCTGACTTAAGTATCCCAAAAACTTTGTGTTCCAGTACTTTTAAGGAGCGGAAAAACACGAGTTTTTTTCGCCTTGGAGCCAAAGGTTTTTAGGCGCGCCAAAGCATAAAGTACCAGCCTCGTATTTCTGGACCTAAACCACAAACGGTAACCGGTCGCCGAAAATACTCTGGCATAAGGTCCAGTGAAATGTATCACCTGTCGCAGCACAATCACCAAAATGTGGGACAGGCTGAGCTGAACGAAGCCGAAGGTCGCGACGTAAAGGAATAGGGCCAGCACTGCGAACGAGGCTGAAAGGTGTTTGAAAATGTATTTTCTGGTTAGACGAGCTTAATCCTACGTGGCCGAGTTCTGTATTTGTAGTTAATGGCAAAATACGGACAGCAAACAAGTCCGAGCTGCACTCACCCGAATTCCGATTGGCCATCAACGAGACGGCAGCTACCAGGACTGCCGAGAACAGGGTCGCCGACGCTACGGGAGACGATTACGCTGAAATGGAGAATCCATAAAGCCAACTGAATCAAAACCGATTATGGTTTTATAATACACCTTAGGGTCTATATAAACCTGATTTAAAACGTATTTCGAAACCGAAACCTATTTTTCAGGCCTTCTCAATCTGACCTCCTTTATAATTGCTATCACGACCGAACACCCCATTAATGCGTAAGCAAAATTATGAACCATGAACTTTGCACCTCGTTAGAAACTTCCGCAACCATCAGCTCCAATTTTTCAACACAAAACTAATAGCAAAGGGAGGACAAGCCCTGAAATTCCACCTGCTACCCCGGCCGCCGTCCTCCTTGTCTTGGCAGCAAAGTGATAAATTTCACTCCCCAAAACTTACGTTGATTTTTGCAGTTAATACGACTGTTGATACAAATGCTATACAACTATTCGAATCCAAAAATATTACTCTTCGGGATTTATAATGTCTCCATCATCTCCGAAGAGCCCGATCTCGAGCTGCTATACCACTTTTTCTTCACAGCCGAAATTATTGGGCTGATTTTTAGTTTTAGTATCGAAATTGTGGGTCTATGGATTGGATTACGATATGAAAGACGATTTAGTTGGTTGTTTATATAATCCTGAGCTCGAGGACTTTCCATAAAAATATGCTCTATGCGCTCTCGTTTTTCATTATTGAGCATGTGGTATCGCAAGTGGGGAGAGTGGTCTTGATGCTGTACCAATTTGAGGTTTTGGAAAGGACGAGTGGGTTTACAATTTTTTTAAAGGCAAAATCAAAGCTATAAAATAGTTTTTACAAAAGGCATTTTCCTCCGAACCATGATTTCCTTAGCAGTTTAGTGGAGGTTGTTCGAGAGCGCTCGGGGCAGTTTTTGCGTGGCAAACTAGCAGGGGTTCTTTTGGGAAGCTTTAAAAACGGTCCCTATTCAAATTCAGACGACTTTAAAGTTTTTTTTTAACGAAAGAGAGCCTAGCTGCTTTCAAACACTTTTAAAAATATCTTTGAGGCTGCTGAAAGGTAAAATTAGGCAAAGGTATCGCATGAAATTCCAGACAACCCCATCTACGACCTGCCGATCATCATATTCTCCGCATTCCGAGTCTATGTTTACATGGGCACAATGTCGATAATTTCGGCAATATTGATCGAAAGATGCTTTGCACACTCACTATATCCGAGACTACGAAGCAGTGCCAAGAAAGTGGATCGCTGCGGGAATTCATGCGAATGCGTTCTTTACCCAGGGACCGGCACCGTGCTGTATCTTGTTTGTAAGTCATTGAAATCGTTAATTATAGTAGCAAACGGCAATAAAGAATTACTAACTTTTAGTCGGCGCAAGGTTTCTACGCGACCTCTTCGTTGTCATGCTGCCGCTCGTATTTTGCTACCTGGGCAGCTGTTTTCTCGTGCGTTTTTATGATCGATGGAACAATCTTTCATCATGAAATATGCTACGCAAAACTCGAAGCTTCTTAGTCTCTAGCAAATCGACCGCAAATTATAATTTTTCAAAATATTTAACCGATGGATGTTTCCACTTTTCTCCAACTTTTCAATCTCGTTTAAGTCCACGAGCTACAAAGTTTGGAAAATACATGTAATACACCAATCTAATAATAAAAATAAAAAACATAGTCACATTGAAGCTCTTCCCGAGTTTTAAAAATTATTTTTGTGTCGCAGAGGGCGCACCCTGGGAGAGAGAGAGAGTGTGGGTGATTGGAGAGGGCGCAGACAGAAAAAACCAGTGAAAAACCGTAGAGAAGACCGTTTTAAGGAAATGTATTATACAAAACAAGCCCCCGTCTATCTAAAATTACACTTTTTCAATTGAAAAACGATAGATTTCATAAAAAAGACAAACCAGGAATTACAAATCGTTTGCTGACTTCATTAAATTAAGTAAAAGCCCCCATACAAACCCCTTCATTTTCAGTTTTTCCTCAAAATCTACTTCCTAAACGCGAAGAACCTCCGGACACTCCTGCGCACCTATTCCCTACGCAAGTATTCCCTGTCCCGGCGCTTCCAGCTCGAGGAGAACATGCGCTCCCTCCATGTGGGTCCAGTGATGGGCGTGGCCTATTGGTTGTGTGCCGGGGGTGGCGGGGCGCGCTACCCGGGTTCGACCCCCCGCCGCTGCACACGACCCTTGCAATGACGATTGCGGGAAACCCGCTCTGACACCTCTTGTGCTAGGCTGGCAACAGTCGATGATCCGAAGTTGTTTCTGAGCAAATTTCTTTGCTTTTAGGTTTTTGTAGCTTTGCCAAGCTAATAGGTCAATTAGCATGATATTTCGAGGATCTTTGGGTTCCTGCGGGGCTCTAAAAATAGCGTTAAAATTCTGAAGTTCAGGTTTTCGCAACACGATAAAATTAAATTCGTAAAAACGTAACCCAAACTTAGTTTCTAGATTCCGGGCTTTTTATATGTTTTTGCTGCATAAGGCCTGAAAATCTCTCTACAGGCTAGGGGGCATTCAGATTTTTTCGAAAAGAAGCAGAAATTTTTTTTCAGGACCCGGACAAAAAGCCGTTTTAGAATTTTATATCGTATTTTAGCTTGAATATGGTTTTTTATTATGTGCCATTTTTTAGCTAATTCGAAGAATCTTCTCTGCACACATTGTCATGTCCGTATTCGGGACCTGCGTGTTTTTAATGCCGCATATGTACTTCGGAACAAATTCGCCAGAATTAGAAGTATCACTGGCTGGGTTGGAGTGCTTCCAGGCAATGTGAGTCTGAATTTTAACGTGAATTATAGTATAGAAATAGCGCCTTCAAATCGTAGAAAACGCGATACCAATTCCGAGAAAAATTTCTTTCTTAAACGAGTTGTTCCACGTTTAAGCTTTGCAATAATGTTCAACACGGGTCTGATCGCGCTCGTCCCGTCTTGGCGCAGACGATTTGCCGAAATTCTGCGGAATCTATGCCCGACCGAAAATACCGTATCCGAGGAGCCGAGTTGCGTATCGACGAAAAAACGACCGATTGCCCACGACGAGACCCAGATCTATTTCTCACAATTGCAGAATGCGTGGCAATAAATTTAAAATCGGTCATGGCCATAAATACGGCTTTTGAAGCTGACAAAACTTCATGTCAATTCCTCAAGAAACTTTTCTAGCGTGTTTCGTCCATACTATATTTTTTTAAAAACTTTTCCTAGCTTGTCTATCGTAATGTGGTTGACAAAGGACTTCACGTTCCTAAAGGATAACAGCTGGCTTGTATTCAATAGACAAAGCTCGATTCTCGGTTTTTATCGAATCCTTGCTAGTTTTCTTTCTAATAAAAATGTCTGACAAGGAGTGCTTTTAGACATCGGCAAAACCTTACGAGACCTAGCTCATTCGATAGAGAATTCGATTCTGAACAAAACTCCGTTGTTCATTTTGCAGAATGGCTATCCCTGATTTTATCCAATTTTAAAACTGCACCCAAAAGCCTCTCTTTGGCTCGAAAGGCTCTTATGGTAAGAGACGGTCACTAGTATTTTAATTTTATAAAATCAGGAATAGCCATTCTGCAAAAAAGAACAACGAGGTTTTATTCAGAATCGAATTCTCTATCGAATGAGCTAGGTCTCGTAAGGTTTGGCCGATGACTCAAAAAATGCATCCTGTGAGAAATAAATGAAATTATAAAGATCCTTAAATTCTTATAATCCTCAAGGATCTTCGCCAGCTGCCTATCGGATCTTCTCTTTCTCCAGATCCCAAAATCGCCACCGGTTTACCTACAAATTTCGATTTCATAACAATTTTTTTTGCTGGAAGTTTTTTCGTTAATTAATGTACCAAAAGAATGACTGTAAACTTCCCTATCACAAAATTACCCAAAAACCTGCTTACAATGTACAAGCCTAATCAAGCGTTACTGCAAGCCCACATGCACCTGCTTGCTAAACGGCGCACAACTCTCGGTACAGACGGTCGGTCATAAAAAATTCTAACGCACTCGAAAACATTCGTGATGCCTAGATCTTTATGTCCGCATTCCCCCGGGCGGTCGTAGTCGCCAGCCAGGGCATGTGACGATCAAATTGTCGCTAAATTCATATAGACGGGGCCGGTGCGTGAATTAGGAAACGTCGGGGGCAAAAGTGTCCGAAAAATTGCTCCTTTGTTGACCATTTCTAGACTGGGATTCACTCTTGATTGGTAGTCAGCGACTAAACTGATTTTTTAAGAGTATTCTGTACTTCCTGACTAACCGATCGGATCTACAGTTTGTGATTCCCTTGAGACCGTCAAGTTAGAGTTGGAAAATTCTTCGCAAGGAATCGGAAGTGATGACGAAGTTAGAATAGTTGAATAGAATGTGTTTTAATAGTTCAATTCACAATACCACAGCACCAATTCTTTTCTCTTTCTCTCTCTCTCTCTCTCTCTCTCTCTCTCTCTCTCTCGTCTCCCTCTCCCTCTCCTTCTCTCTCACTCCTTCACAACGGTCCTTATTTCGAACTTTGGCTTTTCCACCTTTTAGTGGTATCATAGCCTAAAAACTCCTACGCAGCTTCCCATTCCTAAAACAAGCTTTATCCTGATTTCGTGAAATGCCAAATTCTACCGAGAATATGCAATCAGGCCGTGTGCTGCTGGTTTTTCACCTGCCCACCATCACCCTCAATTTTTTACATGTTTTTCGCCCTATTGCTGGACCCTCCACAACGATCGCTTTAATTTGATCGTGGTTTGCTGTTAGTGTAAAATTTTGTCTGAATGAATTGATAGTGCAAATCTTTGTAAAATTTGTATTAGTAAATTTTTTATTGCAATTTTTTGCGGAGGTCTTTGTTGAGCCTGAGTTTTAGATGATGTACAAAGCTCCCGGGTTAGAGCTGATGCTGTTCGGAATCTACGACCAAAATTTGTTATTACAAAATCAGAGTTTCTACCCATTCTGGCTCGCCTCACTGCTATGCGAATTATTTGGGAGCTCGATAACGATCGGATTGGGATTGGTAAGTCAAGTTGCCGATGTCCGAAAATATACGTAACTACGTTCGCGAATTTCTATAATTACAAAATGCCAAAAATTCTAGTGCCTGCTCCACGTCGCCAAAAACTCGCGCGTCTTCAACAAGAAACTGATCCATATCATATGGTTATTTATGGCCAAAAATATTATTGGGGAGATTGCTCGATTCCTATTAATGCTCTATCAATTTCGGGTTATTCCCGTCCAAGGTAATTTCTTAAGGTTTAAGGGGAGAGTATTAGCAAGCCCTCAAGAACGATATTTAGAAACTAGCGGGCCACCGATTTTAATTTCTACTCAAATCCGTTTGATTTTAGGTGATATTCTTGCCGATCTGCCCCTATTTTTCCTCTCCGCCTGCCGCACATTTGTGTACTGTAGCGAGGTGATGTTCGTAGTCGAAGTGCTGTGCGAGCGGTGCATGGCTATTGTATTTGTCCGGGACTATGAGTACATGAAACGGGTCTGGCTCGAATGGATTATATTCACGTATTCGAATTTGAACTGCTTGATCGTGACGCTGGCTTTCCATTTTTGTGGGTTAAAACGATTAAAAAGACCTTTACACTTCAAAAAAAAACGTGAATTAAAGTTACAAACAAAGCCAAAAACATTATTTTAATGCCAAAAGTCGATAAATCTAACCTTAATTGCAATTCTCTATTCAGTAGTAACAAAAATTTTTAAAGATTTTATCCACTTTTTTTAGTAAGCGTTCAGCAGCACAACTTCATGTTCAAGCTTATGCTCCCCTTGACTCTATGCTGTATAATCGGCACGCTAATTGTAAGCTCGAACTTTGAACGATAATGCTAGATTTATATGCTGATGTTTCTCTTGATCGAGCGGTTCAACAACAAAATTTCCGAGCGTCTCGAAAAGTTCGACATCAGGAGATACAGCCTGAGCACCAAGTTTCAGGTCGTGGAGAATTCGAAAGCGTTAAAGGTACGTATTAGTATTAGTATAGTCAAATGTTCTAGTTTCGACTTAAATTTAAGGATACTAAGGGTTTGAGGCAATTAGCAAAATTGGCCATTAACAGCTCAATTTACGGGATTTTAGATACTCCAATGGATATTCCTGGGCCACAGTATATTCTGCTTATTTGGCAGTTGCCTATTTACAATTCCGAACATCATTTTTGAAAATGAGACACCAGAATTGGAACTGTCGACTGCATGTCTTGAAGCAGTTCAGAGCCTGTAGGTCTTCAACTTCCTTGTGTTTCTCAAGCATCAACAAGCATTCGCCGATATTTTGCAGCGATTTTTGGCATCATAAACTTGATCAAGCCTCACTTTTAAGGGGACTATTTTTCTCAAGTTCATCAAACTTTTAGATACGGCGTCTTCTACACAATATCTCTACTCATCTTAATACCACCGTGGCGTCGAAAACTATTTGATTTGGCCCAAATCCGACGAAGAAAGTCCTGCCGCGTGCAATTTGCATATTCCCAACCTAAAATCCTTGCCGTTTCGCCAGCTGAATGTGATGAACACTTCAACCATTTGAAGGAGATTTGGGGGAAATAAAAATATTCAAAGAATTTATCGCGGCAATCTAAAATAACGTTACTCTCCTCTCTCCCTCTCGCTCTCCCTCTCTCTCTTTCTCTCCCTCTCCTCCTCTTTCTCTCGCTCTCTCTACCTAAAAATTGATCACTTGAGTCTACGCTAAACGTAAATGGCAAAAAGTTTCAATGACCAATTATCTTGGGTATCTCCCAAAAACACCTGCTGCTCCTACTCAGGCTTGATCGGACCCTGAAACTATCACCCTACTCAGGTCACCATTGTCTAGTAAAATGTTTTACAACATTTTTGGGTTCAAAATGCTACTCTATGCATTCTACGACACCGATTTACTTTATAAAAACGCTACCTATAAAACGCTAACCCAATGTTTCGTCATGGGCGAACTTATGGCGACAACTTTTTTGTTGACGTTCGGGCTTGTGAGTCATATTTTCATATCTTTTGGACAATAATGAGAAAAATACGTATATTTTCGTCTAAAAGGAGCCTTAGAGCACGAAAATGGAGCATGAGCTCAATGATTAAGGTACAAAACTACCTCTTAGATAGCCGTTCGAATCATGTACCGCTCGAACGCTTTCCATCATAATTTTATACGCCCTTTCGTCGTGTATATAATCCAATATATTTTGTCTCAAATTGGCCGCCTAATTTCAATGTGTTATCAGTTTAGATGGTTCGAAATATCAGGTGATTAAGGCAGTTGTAATTTTTTAGCGCTAGAAAAATTATTCGAATTATAAAGTAAGCTTAGCTTAGTCTTATTTTAAGCTTAAAAGCTTTAATCCCCCATTTCTAGGCGTTGTATGGCAGGATGCGCCGCTACTCCTCAGCTCTATGCTACGACTCTACACATATTCTGGGGGCATTCACGATATTTAGCACGATATTTATCGAGAGGAGCTGTGCTGTGTACTTCATTAAAGACTATGAATACGTGGATCGGCCCTTAATCGAAGCGTATCTGCACCTACAATCATTTTCGATGCAGAGCTTCTCGGTCATGGTGTATTCGTTTAGTAAGTGTATTTAGCATTTAGCTAGTATCTCCCAAAAAAGGAAAACCGGAAGCGTTGAGGTCGCGTCGGGGTGTTATAGGTGCTTTGCATGCAATCGTAAACACAAAGTGCGGTGGATTTGTAGCAAAACTCTTAGCCAAATCAGAGAAATTTACTTTTAGCTGGTGGCTACTACGATGCTTTGACGTTCAAGCTGAACCTTCCATTCATGACTCTCTGGCTTATTACCGTCTGGTTTGTAAGTCCTAATTTCCATTTTGAAATAGCCACTACATTTTAAGCTTTTCCGCAATGTCTACATCGAAAATAATCGTGCCCTGAACCAACTCTTCGAAACGTTTGATGCAAGAAAATATACGCTAAGCAGACGATTTCAGTTGGATGAAAACCGGAGGGTGTTGAAGGTAAGGCAGAGGGAATTCAAATGCAAAATTCAATTCAATTCAACCCTTTCAATTTCTCCCAAAATGCCCTAGGGTCACCGAAAAAATCTCTGAGCTATTTACCAGAGCGTAAAGTTCAACGGACAAATTTCCTTCCTTCACCTGTTCAATCATTTTTAAGGGTCATCCAATTTTTTCTAATTGGCTAACATTGAACGGAGCGTCATAGCGAACTTTGGAACATGAGAGAGAGAGAGAGAGAGAGAGAGTGAGAGAGAGACTGCGAAATGAGGGTTAGACAGGGAAAATTGCTGATGCTTTTTCAGCTATTCTACAACATTTTCATGGGTCACGCATTCTTTTGCTCAATTGCTATGTGCATCTTCACGCTTCCGCACATAATTTTCGATGACCCTCCGCAGAGGTCGAGCTGTGCGCGGCGTTTTTGGAGTGTTATCAGGGATTGTAAGTTTTTGAAGGGGAAAGAGAAGGAGAGAGAGCCAGAAAGAGAGAGAGAGCGCGAGAGAGCGGAAAAGATAGAACAAGGGCGAGCGATATTAAAGAATCCCTCCTTTGTTAGATACGGAGTCGTGTTTATTTGCGCTCTGATCGCCACAGTACCGTCATGGCGTCACGCATTTCTGCGAATTTTGGGACGATAAAGACTGCCGATTTGAACCAAGAGCTACGACGGGTCGGGCGACGCGAAAGTCACGTGGAAACGACGCAATTATATTTTCAAAATTTACGGCTGCAGTGGGCTTGAGAATAAAGAAGTTGATGGAGTGTAAAAGACTTGAAATACTGTAAGGGCATATGAAAACCTTTTATATCGAGAGATCACGAACTAAAAAGCGTCTTGGGACTTCAAAAATCTTGGAAAATAGTGAAACACCGTCTCGCAGGGGATAGTCTTGAAAAACAGGGTATTCGGGCGAAGGAATGGTTCAGTAAACAATTTAATGAGATTTAAAAACTTTGCCAACCTGTACTTCCGATTTGGCAACCGTCTACGTACGAGCGCCCAAATTAGGAATACGATGCTTGCCACGGAAAGTACAGCAGCTGTGATGGAAAATGCAGGAGCGACGGACAAGATGACGGAGCTGGACTAAAAACGGGGACAGTTAGACAAATCGCTAGGTATTTGTAAGTGTAGAACCGCATTAAAGTGCAAGTGATCAAAACCTGTTAAGACAGACCTCTTCAATTCGCCTTCTTCTATCATAGGTCGCCGACAACTCCTCCGTGTTGAACTGCCCCTGCAGCGGGCCACGATCTCGTCGTCGATTTCCATTATTTAGTGCTGATGACGGGGCGTCAATTTTTCATTCCTAAATTTAGAAGATTTTTCCGCTGCCATTTTTTGTCCTTAGAAAGTATTGTAAAAATCCAGAAAATGGGTCATCTTTTTTCACTTTAGAAGAGTAGCTATTGGGTGGCGAATTTTCGAATTGTTCGGCGGATTTTGGAAGGTTAAGCTTACCAAAATCTTCAAATAAAGGAGAGCGTTACTGTCAAAAAAAAAAAAAAAAAAATGAAAATGGCAATGAAAACTGCGCGGAAAAGTGGCCTTTTCAAAAATCGAAAATAATTTTTTGAAACGCTGATTTCCAATCTATCCTTTTAAATTTTTAAAAAATAAAAAATAAGGAATATGAATGAAGTCACCGTCCAGTTAAAATGAATGCGTAGTATTAGGTATCAGAATTACTAGAAAATTTAAAAAGGTTGGATGATTAAGAAAGACGAACAGAAAAAATACATCAAAATTTAGATAAACAAAACAGAATTTAGTTCATATTAGAGTTATGCCGGAAACTAAGTGAGTCACACCAAAACTGTATCGTTACGTAATCAAGCCGGAATCTGAGAATTTTTCGAGGCCACCCGCGAGTTGAGGGGGTCCCGGGGTTGGTTTGGTACCTGGCGGTGTGGGCCCTTAGGGCCAACGAGAATCGGACAGGCTCCCCCTTCTTTCCCCCTCTTCACCCTACTCACGACGTCCATAGGAAAAGAGTGGAAAAAGAATCGGGGAAAAGAAAGGCGCAAACATTCCCTCCTCATCGACCCCCGATCCCTCAGGCGCTCGCGCGCCCCCCACACCTCAACCCCCCACAGAGCCGACAAAACTTTTTTTTTGGGAATTATTTACCCTGAGGAACTGGGGAAGCGGAAAAAGCAGAGGTAGTGATTGAAAGAAGTAATTTTTTTTACTTTTTTAGAACGGAAGATCCAGAGCAAAAAGTGGAGAGCCCTAAAAATGAGCAAAAAATACTCAAGAAACGGACCGACGTTTGGGCAAAAAAATCAAAGAATACAAATGTACGTCAAAATTCAGCATCCGCAAGTCTAAATTTTTTTTAGGGACCCATCTTTCGAACACTTGAGGAACATTTTAAGAGATGAATTTTGAATCTTTAAGGCAATTGTAATATATAATTTTAATGAATTTTAAAACATTCAAAATTTAAAATTCGGAAAGAAAATCACGGAATCAGCAGTTTTCCCCATGTGAGTTCCCCTCAATTTGCATAATCGGGTTATGCAGTTTTGAGTTTTTGTGTTTCGAAACAGCAATAGGCCGTCGATTGAGATTGAGAGAGAGCGGCAGAGAGAAATAGAGAGCGAGGTGAGAGAGAGAGAGAGTGAGAGCCAGAGCAAGAGAAAGAGAGAGACGCTAGCTTCGTTGCTATTTTCTAAAGCTTACAAAATTTGCATAAAAAATTAGCATAAAATCTTGCTGAGCGTGGTGAACGTCAAAAATCAGTTTTTGTTTTATTACTCTCCACCTTCCCAAGATGCGCGGCGTGGCCATCGCCTTTGCGCTTCTGATTTCTGGGTACTTTCTGCAAATTTCAAATTCAAAGCGACTTCTTTGCAAAGATTAAAATTGTTCAGGGTCAGCTGCTTGTCGCTGAAGGAGGGCGACTTCATCCACGACTTCCTCGCCAAGTACAAGGACCCGCAGATACAGCCGTGCGACGACTTTTACCGTCATGTAAGTTCCCTCAGGCTTAAGCGTCCGCCTAAGTTAGGCGTAAGCTTGGGCTTAGGCATAGGCTTGGGCTTAGCTCAGACTTAGGCTTAGGCTTAGCTTAGGCTTTGGTGGCTTATTTTTCAATTCCAGGTGTGCCCCCCGAGGCGTCGACCCCAACGAAACCCCTGCCGGGGCTGCGGTGCTCCACTTCGACGAGCTTGCCCGGCCGCTGGTGGCTTCGCGTGCAGAGGGTCTGCAGCATGTCGAGGTATGGTTAGAGTGCCGTTAACCGCCCTCCCCCCACTCTAACCAAGACCCAACTTTTTGTATCTCGGCTCCATGTACAGCTACAGGTGTGTAAAATATACCAAAATACTTGCCAGAGCAAGACGGACATTTTGATATACTTCACACATCCGTAGATAAACAGGGAGCCGAGATACAAGAGTCGGGCGCCGGCCAGGGGGAGGGGGGGTAAACTGCACATAACCAAGGTTTTTTGAGTTTTTCCGCTTCAAAACTTGACTTGTACCGATTTCTGCTTTTTTTAGCAACACCCGAAGGACGCGTATGGCATGGTGTTGGAGCAGGTGACGAAGAACTACCAGCGAGCCGTCGAGGAGGCGCTTAGGGTAAGCCCGTGGCGATGCGCATGTCATGTTTGACAAAAATCACTGCAAGCGCGCTTCCTCTCACCATGGGTTTTCCGCAAATAATCGCTGCAGTTTTTGAAATAAGCGTTTTTTTAAACGGATCCAAAGAATTATCAAAAAACCTTTTTCAGGGTTGGGCATCCGTCCAGAACATGCTGAAGGTGGCCGGACTGATCCAAAATGGTAGAAAACCATATTTGTGTAGAAAACGTAGTGTTTCCGCTTACCCCGGAGCTTTGACAATATCGGGGGAGAGAGTTTATCCGGGCATCAACCGTTTTATAAGATCAGAAAAGCTCAACGACGATTGTATAATTTTTGGCAAAAAATCTAACTATTTATCGAACAAAAAACCTCAAAACTTATTTACAAATTATTTCAGGGAGAAAATTTGTGCTGTTTGCTTTTGCATGCATATCTGTAAAGTTTTAGCGCTTAAGAAAGGCGGAAACAGTAGAGAAACATCATTTGTATTCCTATTCGAAATATGGGGAAAAAAAATTGGTTTTCTCGCCATTATAATGTGAAGAGCTATCACCCATTTCCTGCAGGCCAACAATTCGTGCAAGGGCTCGACGCAAATAAGCTGCAGTCGACGGCCGGGGCGTTGCGGACGAGGATTCTGAGCGGATTGGTTGAGCCAAAATAGCGCTTTTTTCACAGCTCCAACCTCAGAAAGACGCCAAATTGAAGCAGAAGTTCAAGGATGACCGCGTGCACGGCAACTGGACGGCAATTTTGGATAAAGCCGTGAGATTCTTAGATTTTTTTCTGATTTCAAAAGCTTTTAGCAATTCCAACTTGGCGTCGGCGACATGAGCGCGGCGGATCAGCTGCTGGACACGTACGACGGGGCCGACTGGGCCTACAAACAATACCTGGCGTAAGGGAGTCTAACTTGATTTTTCGCCGGGTTCTTTGGTGCTTAATATTTTTATGCCTATCGCGTATTTTTCAGTGACACGAAGAGCCCGCCGTTTGGCAACGGTGACGACGTGGCGGCCCGATTCGACGAGTTCATCATGTTCTACGACACGACGATCAGCCCCCGTCTCGCCCCGCATGTCAAGCGCTTCTTCCAGCTGCTGGGTGAGTAAATTTTAGGGATTTCCGGAACCCGGCTTGCTTTTTGGGCAAAAATCAGTGTATTTCTAGCCGGCTTCGACACCGTGACGTCGCACTACGACAACAAAACGGTCGTCGTCCCGCCGGCTGTGCTCGCCACCCTCTACGCCAATCCGAAGCACCATGCTGCTTCTTTTGTGGGTCGATTTCTCTCTCTCTCTCTCTCTCTCTCTCTCTCTCTCTCTCCCTCTCACTCCCGCTTTCTCTCGCTCTCATTCTTTCTCAATTGTTCTAAAATCTCGCACGTTCAGTATGCCATTTTCGCCACCGAAACCGCCAAGGAGGTGCTAAAGATGCTGTTCAAGTCGGTGGACAGCACGCAGAAGGGTACTTCATCATGATCATGTCGTCTGAAAACTGCGATTTTTAGATATCTAGACGGGCAGCCGCTCCACTTCCGCGAATGTATGCGCCACTACTTCAGGGAGGTGAGGTGGTTCTCTCTCACGCTCTCTCTCGCGCGCTCTCGCTCTCTCGCTCAAAACGATTTCTCTCTTTTCCTAGGCCTGCATTCTCTGGCGCGCCGACTGCGCCTGCACCCGGTACGTTCCTGAGGGCCAAAGCATGTCCTTGGTGGGTACTTTCCGAGTTTCACTATGCTACGCACTACGAACGATCATAGGCTTCAAATCATACCATTTCAGTCTTCAAAATGCCCCTACATCTCGACCAGCGGCACCTTCGAGTACATGGCGTGGAAGGAGGCGCTGCGCCTCGCTTGGGAGCTGTTCGAGAAGGAGAAGCCGGGAGCGGTAGGGAGAGCGAGAGAGAGAGAGAGTTTGAGAGAGAGCGAGAGCGACTACAAAACAAACGACATACCTCTAGGCCGAGGACGTCTACCCGGATCTGAAAATCAACAGCCACCAGCTCTTCTACTACTCCCACGCTGTCAACCACTGCCTCGCCTTCCCTATCAGCCTTGAAGTGTAAGTACTTAAGCAGAATTCGGATGATACTGGCTTTTCAGTGGAGCAGGCCGCACGGCGAAGGGCATCGGCCGTGGGCTGAAGATAAACGCTGCGATCGGGGCCGACCCCAACTTTGCCAAGGCGTTCAACTGCAAGCCTAGGGACAAATGGCGCAGGTAGAGAGAGGGGTGAGGAGACGATTTTTTCAGTCCGGCCGTTGCCCGTTCTTCTTCGACGACAAGCTCTAGCTGTTCACCATCGATACCCAGCTCGACATCGTCACCTAGGAGACATGAACGACCGGCGCAACGTTTGCAAGTGTCGATGAATAAAGTGTTTTTCGAACCGGGCGACCTTATACACCTGTGAACACGGACCATTGAATTAACAGCCCTATTACGTACGAATAGTGACGCAACTAAGCGTCATAAAAGTCCGGAAAATCATGAGAAAACGAATTTGAAACACTTCTTTTCGTTTTGAACCAACTATCTTCGTACTACTGTCGTATCTTAAATTTATTCAAGCGCAAAACAAGCGAAAGACGGATGAGAAAAAGGCTTTTCGCAGCGGTGGGCAAGAAATGAGATACACGTACGGGTTGACGAGATTTCCGAACTCGAAGATGGCGGAGTAAACGGTCAGGACGGGGCCTTCTGGAACGGCATGATTGTATTTACGATTTCTGTTTTTTTATTCTAGCACTCATTTTCTCTCTCGCGCTCTTTCTCTCTCTCTCTTTCTCTCGCTCTGTCCCTCTTCCAACAATTATGAAAATCGGTTTTTTGCTTTTTCCTTCATATTTTCGGCTTCCTTTAATTTCCGGGGGAGGTGTGAAGTGAAGCACGTCGGAATCGCCTTTTTTTTGTCAGGAAAGGTGCAAGAAAATTCGAAACCAAGTCGGTCCTTTTTTTATCTGTCCTTTTCGTTAAGATCAACCCCGGGCATTTGGTTGATATTTGCGTTCTTCGCCACCGTTATTCCGATCTCCCCCCAAACCAACCACCACCCCTTCCTCCCCCGGCATCCTGAAATGCGACACCCACGCTTGACGGGCGCGAAATTCATCTCGCTCGCCCAGTAGAGGGTGTAGAACAGGATGACAAAGAAGTCGATTTGTTGGTCGAAGATTGAGATCATCGCGAAGGTCAGCTCGATCTCGAGGCGTTCGACGCTGCCTGGAAAATGTTGAGTGAGGTGGCAGCTGAAATAAAAATTGCATGGGAGTATTCAACGTTTTGGTTAGGTTGTATTGGTTAGCTTGAGTAACTTTAAACCTAAAAACACTAGCATCTAAAGTTACTTCTGACAATTAAATATAAAATTTTGGTTATAAAAATACTTTATCTAAATAGGTACTACTTATTGGTAGACCTACCAACGACTTGTGACGGCAAAACGGCGCTCGGGAGGTATTTCTGTGCTTTAGCACCCGATCACATGTCTCGTGCTCGCATAGTTTCTCGATGTTGCTGATCGTCGGGAGAACCAATTTTCCTGGAACTTTTTTCTGAGGATTTTTCATCATCCGTGCTTTCGTGAATAATTACGATAAGTAGAAGCAAATAAACTTTGAATTTTACATTCTCGATCAAAGTTATTTGTGCGCTAATCTAGCTCTTTCATTAAAGGGATGCCGACGGCATAGTGAATGAAATTACGCGCTGGAAAGAAAATGTCTCTGCGTCTCTCCCCACGGCGCGCTCTCTGCCCTGTTGGCTACTTGCCAATTTGTTGATGAGAGGGGGGGATCGACACATGCCGTCGGCAGCTTTGAACTCAAGACTCACTTTTCTTGCCTTTTCCATGCCGTCTCACGATCCGATTGTACTGCTTGTAGAGCATTATTAACGTGAACGTATTCAACGCGCATAGTACTGGCGCGTACACTAGCGTCTCAAAAATCATGTCAACACTGTCGAAAATTGCCGACACGGTCACGTCCCTGTACTCCACGGAGTCGATGGCGCCTTCTGAAACAAAAACCTTTTAGAAAGGTATTTTTGCAAGACTGTAGACCGCTTGCTTTAAAAAAAATTTTCTTTGATGCCATGCCTTACCATAAAAATAGCTCCCACAACACGGGGAGAACATTGGCAAAATTGCGGCCAGTGGGATGATCCAGGTTATAGCGACCAGCACCCACTCTGAAGAAACGATTGCAAAACTTAAAACAGGGATTTAGAAGACAGAAACCGGGCTACCCAATGATAAGAATGCATCGAAATGGCCATGGCTGCCCTGTCAAAGGCTAACAAAAAACTGGAGATCACGATCGTCCAACTGTTATACCACTCCGCTGCGTTGATCACGTTCGCCCAGCTGTCCTAAAGGGGTGGGACCGTTGCTTCCAGCTGACGTAGCGCAGGGATGACGCGTGGCTACAATTCTAGACTTACCTTTTTCATCAAAAACTTCCGAATGTACTCGTCCTCAGTGTCAAACAGCAACTCCGGAATATACGTTAAAGAAATCCTGACCACTGTCGCAAACATGTCGGTAAAGTTTTGGGAGAAGAAGAGCTAAAGTTTGGCTTAAAAGTTGTTTTGTTTCCAAAACGGCGGCTAGAAAATAGAAAAAGCATTCATTACCGAAAAATTTATCGTTGTTGTTTTTGGTTCGTTTATTAATCTATGAAGAATTAGCGATGATTTGCTGACCTCATCGAAACACGGATGATGTAGTTTTGGCGTCAGTACGATCACCAACAAGACCCAACAATTCAGCGATAATGAGAAGACGTTGATTACGAACCTAGAAAGCCCAGAAAAATCTCTTTCACACCACTACCGAAAATTGGTTGCCGTAAACCCGTTAATCGATTGAATTTGACAACAGCAAACTACCAGATTTTTCGTTTTCAATCAATGCAGTCGAAAAACTATTGACCGCTTACCTCGTCAAAATAACCCAGTCCATCAAAAAAATATAGAGAACGAGAATAGACACCAAAATTCCACCACCACCCAAGATGGCTTCAAATCGGGACCAACCCCCCTCTCGCGTATTGTTTACCCACAATTTTGGTGTGTTACCTGACCCCGGGCTATGGGGGTTTTTGGTTGCAAAAATGCTGTGGCTTATACGCTTTTTTCGTTCGAATTTGTTTACCATTGCAATACAATGTGGATTATATAATTCCGTCTTTAAAAAGCCCTTGTTCGCAAAATTTTTAAGTGATTGTCATGTATCTTTTTATTGGCTTCAAAATTGGTATTATGTTTGTTATGATATAGTTTTGTTTTGTTTTGCATCTTAAATAGTTTTTGTTTTGATGAAACGCAAATTTGCATACGACTAGTGCATTTACCATAGCATTTTTCCAGGATGCGAGAGGAATTCGTCAGATTCACCATTGTTCTACGACCCGATGGGGGATGAGAAAGCGGATGGTGGTGTTGGGCTTCAGGCAGGTTTTGGAAACAAATTTCAAATGTAAATTCATCCCATTCAAATTATGACTAGTTTTTGTAACAAACTGGCTAAAATTACAGGCGATCCGCTGCCGCCGCGCCCAGCGCTTCTACCCCTCGTGTCTGTACTCGCCGTTTCGGCACGGTATTTTGAATGGAAAGGTTAGGCCAAGGCCCGGCTCAACCTTCAGCTCGTCGAGACTTGATGCCATAACGCTATGCTCAACTCTTCTTTACAGGTAGCCCTGGTAACTGGTGGCGCATCAGGAATCGGCCTCGGCATCGCGCGGTCTTTGGCAAGCGCCGGGGCGATCGTCGTCATTGCTAGCCGGTGGGGATTTGTGGCTCTTTCATAAACCAAAACTTTAGAAAAAACTCTTCATATAAAATGCTTGATGATGTCTCCTAGTTCTACCGTACTCATTTAATGCGATTCTCATTTTTCAGAAAACTGGCCACCGACCGCGTCGCGCAGCAGCTGTCCGAGAGCAGCGACGGCACCGTCTACGCCATCCAGCTGAACGTGCGCTACCCGGACGCGTACGCGGACCTGTTCGACAGGATCGAGAAATTGTGGGAATTTTTTTAGACCCCAATTTTCCTAGCATAAAGCGACAAAGTATTTATCAATTTTCCAATTAATTCTTATTAAAAATTTCAAAAATATTGTTTTTCGACTGAAACGCAAACTTTTTTCAAGTTTTTAGATAGCTTTTTACCAGTCCGGGTAATTTTTTACAAAATTAAGCGGTACAATTCAAATAGGCGGGGGAAAGATTTAGGCGGGGGGCGGAACCCAACTTTTTTCCGCCCAAGCCCATATTTTTTATATAAATAGTGGAAGTGTTTCTAAATTGTTTATAGCTATCCCTAAACATAAAAACTTTACAAAACTTAATTAAAAATTTAATTTAGGTCGAAAAATAATTTTTTCGGCCCAAAATGACCAAATTTTCGACTTTTTCAAGCGTTTTTCTAACTTTTTAAAAAGTTTTTCCGATCCAAATACGCTGAATTTTGCTAAAAACAATGTGAAAACACTTTATATTTGATTACTATCCCCACCAGGGCCGGCAAAAAAAGTTGGTTTCCCCGCCAAAATCTTCCCCCGCCTATTTGAATTGTACCAATTAAGCTGAAAATACTCCAGATTCTCCACTTCGCTGACTTTACGACATATAATTCCAGAGCCGGCGCCCCATGCAACCTGTTGGCCAACTGTGCGGCCGGAAACTTTGCCGCCCCTCCGAGAACATTGACCACCGTGGATTTTGGGTAAGTTTTGTAATTTATAGCATCCGTTTTTCGCAAATTGAGTCAGATCTTTATTGAGCACGTGCGAGAAATTAAAGTATGTGAAAATAGGATTTTGAATCACCGCCCGAAAAGCCGGCCACCAAACGGCGACATTCCCATGCCCATCATGTTGTTGCCTAAAAAGACACCATAATGCCAGAAAAATATATGAAAAGCTGCGCTCTACCTAGAAATTGGTAAAATCGGTAGATTGTAAAGTTTTCGTTGCCAAGTAGTATTCTAAAAACTGCTCCACTTACCATACATCCCCTGGTTTCCGTACATTCCACCCATCCCGCCTCCCCGTCCGAACATCCCACCTCCCATTCGACCGAAACGGCCGAACCTTAAAAATTGGTCTACATCTCATCTCTCGCCCCCTCTCTCTCTCTCTCTCTCGATTACCAACCTCCTGGCCATCATTGGAAACCGCATCAGCCCTCGGATTCCGCCGATACCTCCGATAGCTAAAATGCATAATTCACCTTCATAAAATTTTGGAATAGTTTGTTTTTGTACTTGTCATAAACTTCATTAGGAAAGTAAGCTAACAAAGTAAGCCAAAAGTAAGCTAAAGTATGCTACGAACAGCATTAAAAACATAGAAACGACAAGAGAATGTACTAAAACTCCCTTATTTAATAGCCAATTTAGTAGAAAGCTAAAAATGCGGGTTTTGTTATAGACAAAATAAAAACTTTGAGAATTTTCTAAAATCAAGCGTGCCGAAATTCTATGAAATTTTCTTCATTTCATAAAATTGTCGAGCCTTTTAAAATTTTTTCCGAAAGTTTTGCGGTGACTTACAAACATATTTTGTCCATTCTACAATTCTTGAGAACTAAAATAAGCTTCAGCTAACTCACCTTCAGTTATGCCAACAGCCAGCAGCAACAAAAATAGGCAGGGTAGTAGGTGGCGCATCGTACTATATGACTTTGAAGCCGCGTATCCCGCTTCCTTCTTAAGTATTAAAGAGAACAATTAGCGAAGGCTTGGGGCAGGTGTTTGCCCCGAAAATGGCAGTCCGAATTATAACGTCGAAGTGGCTGCCGCTGCGTCACAGCTATCCGCTGAGAGTGTCCCACCCACTGCCAGAGATATTAGAAATTAGGCAGCGTAAGGGGGGCGGATCCGCTCGGAATTTGTGTGTGTGTCCACGGGCAGCCGTTTGGCGTTGATTTCCACGGGGGTGTGGATATGAGCGGGGCGGAACATACACCCGTTTCTCTGTCTGTCGTTTGGTGCATGGGGATGGCCGTGTTTGTGCATTTGACGCACGCGCCGGCGCGGGCACGCGGCTGGCGAGCGCGGGGGGCCTGCGCTTTTTCTGGCGGTTGACCGCGATCTGTATCGGCTGGCCAAAGGGGGATTTGGCGGATTAATAGGATAGTGAAAGGGGAAATAGGGCTTTCTAGCACTCACTCTCTCTATCTCTCCTCTCTCTCTATCTATCTCTCTCTCTCTAGCTCTATCGCCCTCTCCGTCTCTCTCCTTCGCTCTTTTTCTCTGGCTTGTGATTTTTTCACAAAACGTTCTATGCATGGAACATCTCGAGTGCCGAATTGATAGAGATAATTTTTTTTGGGATCGGATTCGCCAAATCGCTTCCTCTCCCCTCTCTCTTTTCTCTCTCTCTCCTCTCTCTCTCTCTCTCTCTCTCTCTCTGTGCTCTCTCTCTATTTAGTTTGAGCGATTAGAAATGGAAACTTGTCCGTCCGGTTCAATGGCCGTTCCCGAAAAATAGAACAGACTCGAGTTTTGGGATCGAAAATTGATGACTGTTTGGCTCGCGCGAAAGCGAGAGAGAGAAGGAGAGCGAGAGAGAGAGAGAGAGAGAGAGAGAGAGAGAGAGAGAGAGAGTCGAGGTGTTTTTCGCTAATTTCCGAAAAGAAGTCTGGGAACATCACATTAGAAAATTGTCAATTTCCTATCAAATAACGAAAAGGTTTGAATTCGTATCGGCTCCAGGCTGGCAACTAGCAGAGACCCTTCAGGAATACAAAATACGAGAAAATAAATGGGAACGAGGATGGAAATTGTAGGGGTTATGGTCCTAGTTGCTATAGACAACCAGAAAATTTAAAATAAATCGTGGATTTGGAACGGAGATCATATTTCAAAATCGATTTTTCAGCACACCTTCCAATCGGGCATCGTCGGCTCGGCCATCCTCACCCACATGCTCATCCAGCGCAACCGCCCCCTCAACATCCCCACCACCGTCCTAAACCTATCCGCCAGCTTCAACAAGTTCACATTACCCTTTTGATTTAGCTTTTGCTTTTCAGAACCTCGCCGCCCTTCACCGTGCCCTACGCCATGTCCAAGGCAGCGCTGGATAAGGTGGGACAGAAGAAGAAAGAGAGGGAGCAATAGACAGAGAGAACAACAGAGAGAGAGAAAGAGGAGAGCGAGAGCGAGCGAGAGCGATCGAGAAAGAGAGAGAAAATCAGGGAAACGCTTCTGAATTTTTAGATGACAAAGACGCTGGCCGGCGAACTTGGCCGAGATGGCCATCGCATTAATGGAATCGCGGCGGGACCCACCTATGAATCGGCAAGACTTTTATTTTCTTGCATCTTTTTTGTTTAGGCCGGAATGGCAAAAATCGCGACCGGCGTCGCCAACGACATTGACTGAAAACGAACCAGGCGGTGACGCCGATCGGGCGGATGGTGTACCCGCATGAGGTACCTCTCTCTGTCTCTCTCCCTCTCTCTCTCTCTCTCTCTCTCTCTCTCTTTCTCTCTCTTCTCGCTCTCTGCTCTCTCTTTCTCTGTCTCGATTTAGGCGGATTTTCCAGATCGGAAACATTGCCACTTTCCTGTGCAGCGAGTACGCTTCTGGAATCAATGGAGAGGTAGTTTTACAATACATTAATGAGAACAAAACAAGATTTTTGAAAAAGATAGTAAAATTTGAAAATTTGAAACAAGAGACTTCCAGACCTTCATCGTCGACGGCGGCCAATCGACCGTCGCCTTCCCGCAAAACTTCTTCCACGACGTTCCCAACGAGCTGTGGCGGACCATCAAGGACAAGAAGGTATAAATTTTTAGGGTATTTTCATGATACTGAATTTTTCTAGGCCTCCCGAAAGACGTGGACCCGGATGAATCGCCAAATTTGAGCCCCGAAAACCGGCTCCGATTCCTTATTAAACCATATTTTCTACCGTATTCGCGATTTTTACGTGTGATTCGTGCTGTGCTTGTCGTGACTTAATAAATATACAACGATGTTTAAGAGTGATTTGTTTAGTTTAAGTTTTGTAGAGATTTTTACTTTCAAGAGGTTCGGGTGCTTGTGCATTATTGAGGGTGGGAACCGGGAAAGTTTTGTCGAATTTGAAAAATCGATATTTTCGTATTTGTTGCTAAAATTTGTAAAGTTGTGGCGTTTACGAGCTTTAAAGCGCTCGAAACCTTCCCCCTGTTAGTGCAAAAGAACCAAGAACTGAAAAGGCGATAACTGCTTTTCTGGCTCATCGGTTTTTGCTTATCCATTTCTCACACACACTCTCTCTTTCTCTCTCGCTCTCTCTGGTTCTCTCTCCTTCCCCTCTCTCCTCTCTCTCTCTCTGCCTCCCGTTTTCTGACCACTAGTAGTCTCCCCAGGCGAGGAGACGCCCGTTTCCCACGACGCATCCGTTATTTAGAAGTGCCTTCCTCCACTCTTCAAAGCCGCCCAAAAACTGCCCTAATCCGGCTTATCTTCTGAAGTGTCCGGTCATTTCTCCACTTCTTTCGTGTCACTTGGGGTGTCCAGCACCGACTGTCCGGTGCCCCTCCGGCTATTAGCTCCCCGGGCCCCATATCAATTTTGCCCAGATAATCAACCCGCCCGGCCATTGTCCAGCCTAAATTCTTCACTTCCCGTCTGTCTGGTCGCGAGCCGGCGTGTGTCCTGGTCACTCTGATGGTTTGGTCCTAGCCTGTTTTCACTACCGTATTCGGGTGTCAAATGCTTTTCAAGGATCTTTCAAAGATTTTTTTGAGCGGCACGTTGTGGAGGTGTCGGACGTACCATGACGTCCCAGCTGCTCGTTTTGAACGGACCACCAGGTTCCGTGTCGTATACAGCTTCCTTTTCCGCCAAGTTTTTTTTGTCTTCACGCTATACGTATTCCATGTCGGATTTCTGAGAGTTTCTCTATGTTAAATTTAGGAGAGAGGGTGTTGGCTGAATGAGATAGGCCTGAGCAGGAGACCGAATGAATCAGTGAGCATGACAAAGTGAATGAGTGAGCGCTGAGAGAGACAAAGAGAGAGAGAGATCTGGGGAGCGAGAGAGAGCGATAGACAGATAGAGTGAAAAAATCGAGGGATGGAGTTGCGTGAGAGCGAGAGAGGTGCGAGAGAGCGAGCGAGCGAGCGCGAGATAAAGCCCCGCTATTCGTGTAAGAGGTGGTGTGAGAGTGAGCGTGAGACAACGATACGGAAAAATTGAACCAGCGATCAACAACGATCGCATGAAACCGGATTTTGCGAGATTTACGCTAGCTGTCATGTACTCTTACCTGAAGTTCTTGATTCAAGTTCGCGAGTTTCCGAAATTCCTGACAAATGAAAGTGGCAATATCGATCACTGTTTTGAGGTAAGGTAGAGCTCGGGCTTCAGATTCTCTAGTTAGAGTCAGACATTGGTGTCCGGCTTCTACTCCCCACCCGATTCTGCCTGTGTGCCAGAGCTAGCCTTTTTTGACTCCCCTTGACCTGACCTACTGCCTCTATGCTATCCCTTGTTGTCGTATAACAGTACGTTCCGGATCTGTACAACTTATACCTGTCCCCGGCCCCGATCAGCCAAAGATTGTGCTGATCGGCGACAGCAGCACAAAAAACAGGCGAGGGGGCCACGTTGGGCCGAACCCGCTGCATAAACAATGTCTCTCGCTCTCCTCTCTCTCTCTCTCTCTCTCTCTCACTCTCGCTTCCCTAGTTGATAAGCCAGAAGCGGAGGCGACGAAATGCCCCCTGGCGCACCCCAAGCCCGACCCAGATCGGTACCTCGCCCCGGCGCTCTAATTACATAAAGAACGGAAATATACCGGTGATACGAGTTGGCCGAGGTGACGAAATCGTATTGAGCGGAAGGGGTACGGTAGAAGGATAAGGGAGCAAGAGATAGGCAGTTAAAGGTCTCAGGAAGCAACACCTAAAGGGCCTTCGATTTGGCACGTTTCTCTGGTACCGACGGGTCGTAGTTGCCGCTCACCAGCCCTTTTCCGCTTGTTCAACTTGAGGGACTTTGTCGCCTATAGCTTTGAGCTGCCCGCGACGCATACGCGCACTTTTGTAGAAAACAGGCGCGCAGCGCATAGGAAACGGAGCATCAAAATCCCGACAGCTATAATCAGGAACACAAAATCCCGACAGACAAATTGTTGCCGAGATACACTCAAACTGGCATCACTCTGAATATGCCCGGAATGTTGGGTATCGATATTTTCTAGGTCTGCCGTAACGTAAATGCTGTCGGGATTGTCTATCTGTTGATATTTTTGCTTTCGGGATTATGGTTTTGAGGCCCTTAAACTTTTGAAAACAAACCAAAAACAAAAACCACAAATCACAAAAACCGGAAGCCATAAGACTTAATGCTTTCTTGAATCTCCCGGCTTCGGTATCGTTTCTGAACTACGACGGTACTTTTAAAATTGCTTTGCTGACTTGGCAGTTCGTTTTTGCTTCCATCTCCTACAGCGGAAAAGTTCATACGAGCTGTCATGTGCCTCAAACGGGATGCAAAGGGTTTTTCACAATTCCAAACACGAGCTTCGTTTTTACCCGTCACGAATTCTCCGAGTAATAATTCCCACGATTTCGAGCCCAATTCGCCGCGGCAAAACACGATTTTTCCATTAAAAGCGACTCTGTTGCCAGGGCTCCACCAAACCAAAACACCATCACGTGCAAATTTTGTTATGCTGCGGGGCTGCAAGTGGCCGGAAATTTTCGCTGATTCTGCTTTCCTTCTGCTCTTTATCTGCCGCCCTAAATGACCGCGGTGATACCGTATCGGGAGCGCTGCAGGACATTGCAGGTACTTGCTGACAGGTACTTTCGAAATGAACTGGATCGGTCAATTTTGCACCGGTTTTTGCCTACTGTACTTCTAATTCTGGAGTAGCCTGAATTCAAAAACTTGGGGTCCCAGCTCTGCTTAAAATTCTCCTAAAAATTTCAAATTTTTAGGAATTTAGTCTTCCTGAATTCTTGTGCAGCCAAATTTCCGCAAGGATTTCTGCTGATCTGTTAAGTTTTGCCTCGAATTCCAAGGCAATTTTACTCTAGTAATACGTCATTTGGAATCGAACATTCGCCTTTTTAAAGGGCCATTGAAGCCCGCTCCCCTCAGAGATCACTTGGATTGCGATGCCTTTCATGATCTTTAGTCCTGTCAATGGTATCTCTCTCTACTTTTAAAGGAACGTGGAAGGCAACGTTTTTTTGGCCTCAATGTGCAGGGCAATACTAAAGACAGAATAGGGCATTAATTATCCCCAAAAATCTTCCTCAAAGTATCTCACATAACTTCCAAGACACTGAGGACAATATCCAGTTTCTGACCCCAAATCTCGGGGATTTTTCCAGTGCTGCTTCGTGCCTGCGACCCAAAAATTTCCAATCACATTTCGTCGCTGTTCGCAACTCCCCCATCCCGATTTGTGCCCTATTTTATGACCCATCATTCTCCCAGGGCTACTGTAATCTCCGATCTTGCACGACCCTTTGCAAGCCGTTGTTCTGGCGCCCCGATTTCGTTGAAGTGCAAGATCCCGGAGCGTACAAAGCCCCCGATTAAACCCTCACAGAAACAGAAAAGCGAAGAAAGAAGTAAAACGAAATCAGAGGGTCCCCCGATCTCCCGTCGTTTCCCTGAAGTGGTGGGTTTTTGGGTGGGCGCTTCTGGGGTGAGATAAGGGGCAAATTCCCCGATTCTCTCTCTTTCTCTCTCTCTCTCTTCCTCTTTCTCTCTCTCTCTCTCTCTCTCTCTCTCGCATCTTCCGAAACCCCTCAAAGTTTTGCGCCTATCACTCGGCGGCACTTCACCGAAAACAGCCCGATCGGCTCGCCACCTTCGAAGTTTCGCGGAAAACCGATTAGGTCTTGTCGATTGATTTTTGATATATTTTGGGCTGTTATTCCACCCTTTATTTCAGCTTTGATACCGTTTGCACATTTCATGGGCTTCAGGGTCTAAATGACAGTATGTAAAATTGGGAATTTATGTGTTTCCCTTGATCAACGTTGGACCAGTATGTTTTCTGGTTTCAAAATAAAATGGCCGTAATCTTAGAAATTTATAATTGCCAAATTTATTTTTATGGTGTTTGCAACCCCACTAAAATTAGATTCCACTAAACCGCACAGTGATCTGCACCTAGGAGGCAAAGCGGTCATTTTTTGATTTTCCGGTTTTTTTTCTAAAGGGCCATCGAAGGTACGCGGTTGGCTAAATTTTTGACGGGAAATCCCGGTTCCTTAATTTTTTTTAATTAATTTTTTTTTTTTTTTTTTTTTTTTTTCGGCGCTTTCCTAAAAACACCCATTCTATTCGCGTGCTTCTAGAACGACCGGTTAATTCCTTATAGTCCAAATACACCTGAAGGCAACACCCACGTGCCGTTTGTTTTGCTTTTTCCCGGGTCCCTTGGGACGAAACCATTATTATTATCCAAATTATTTTTCACACCATTCTCTGCACAAAGGAAAAAGGGAACGTATTGGACCATCGGGGATTATAGGGGGGATTAGCCCGAAAGATTCTATGCCTCGACGACCACCAGAAGCTTCTTGGTTTGATTTTGCACGCATCAGCTCGGATTTTGTTAATTTCTCTTGCTAATTGAATTCATTTTGGGGTTTAATAATGTTAGTTAGGTTGAAGTATTAAGAAAATGGTTTTTACGCCTTTCGAGCTTCAAAATTTGGCTCTAAATGCTCTAAGTGTGACATTCGCATCAAAAGCTTGTCAAAAATATTTAAGCGAGCTAAAAATGCACAAAAAAACCCCGAAAATCGAGTTTTCCGTGATCTAGGTCTCGCCAGCTACGCGTAATTTCAGAAGACGTAAACGAAAGCTTTTGCACATTTGCGCCGCGCTTTTTGGTCATGCCCTTAGCTTTAAACAAAATTAATATAGTTTATTTTGTCGGTGTCATGACCTAGTCAAGCTTCGGGATTAATTTCCGGCGCTGCGTTGTCCTTTAATCTTTCCTAACTTACCATCTGGTCTCCTTTTTCACTGCATTGTCATTATTGCACATTCCCACCCACCGGCGCCATGCAGCACCGATGCTGATGGTGGCAAAATTTTCGCTACCATCAGCAGAGCAGCGGCTTTTCGGGCTGATACCGATGCTTTTATTAGCTGGCTAATCTTTACAATGGACGACGGTATCGCCTATTCTAAAACCGGACCCCGATCGGGTACGGCCAGTAAACAGCCCGGATGTGTTGTGACCTGGGCACGGTTTTCTTCCTTGTCTTCGTTAGCTCCTCCCACTGGGGTGATTGCTTGTATACGGTAGTCGCATTTTGCTCCCGGGGTTGAACTGCTTGGTGTCGTCCTAGCTTCCGACAGCATCTAGCATCCGACCTATCGCTTTCTGACTTGGAGAAGGTACTTTTTCTTACTTTTTCCAATTACATGCCAGATTCGAAACCGAGGCATAAAGCATCCTGGATGTTTTCTGGCACCATCCCTTTAAATATCGTATGCTAAGAACTGATTTTTAAGCTCTACGATAACTTTAGTTGTTACCGTCACTCTTTCCCTCTCTCATTCGTTCTCAGGCGCGCTCCCTCTCCCCTCTCTCTCTCTCTCTCTCTCTCTCTTTCTCTCTCGCATTTTCTCACTCTGTCTCTCTCTCGCTCTGTCCCTCATCTTGTCACTTAGGCTCTGGCTATCGCTTGCCTCATCTTTTTATCTCGTAGTCATGCTCCTCAAATCCTAATTCCTTGCCAAATGGCCTCTTCACGAGATAGAAAGTTGTCGAGACCTAGCAAGGGTCGTAGCCGAACCTGAGTTTTCCAAGCTCTTAAGAAAAGAACATTTCAAGGTTACGCGCATCTTTATTTTTCTTAGTTAATGCTTATTTGATTATCTCACTCCGTCCCTTACTCTTTCACCCTCTCACCCGCTCTCTCTCTCTCTCTCTCTCTCTCTCTCTCTCTCTCTCGCTCTTTCGCGCTCTCTCGCTCTCGCACTTCGTCTTTCTCGCTCTCGCTAGCACAGAAAGAACGAGCAGTAAACAAACCTCAGCATTTATTGACAACGTGCTCCTTCCGGAGCGACCTGCCACGCTCCTCCCCTCAAAAAGCCGGCCCCTTTTTAGGGGGCGTACTGTAGGATGGGGTGGGCGGTTTGATAGCGGTGCCCCGGGCTGCCAGATCGAGCTTGTTTACGCCGAAGAAGCCGCCCTTCGCTCTTCTCGATTCCTTGACGTTTGATCGGCAAATGTTGTTCTGGAAAAGTCCTCGCTGAGCTTTCGACTTGGTGCTTATCGATTCTGGGGTTATTCGGTTGGGTTCGTTGGGCGTATGGTTTCGTAGGTAGTTCCGACGTAGTCATACGGTAGGGGTTACTGCATATTTTTTTAGAAATAGGAATTTTATCAAAGCGCGGACACTGAAGTTCGCCTCGACTTAAGCTAGAGTTGGCAACAGGAAATTTGGTGAATCCAATCAAAGAAAAATACTTTCGTATGGGCGGTCTTTTATCCTGTCCACTAGCATTTTGTACTTGATGCTTACCAAAATTTTCAGATGGGTTTCCCTTCTAATATCTTTTTAGTCTATTTTTGGAAATAATCCTAGTTACGAAAATATTTGTATTTCAATTTTCTAATACGTCTTCTTTTGAAGTTGATCGCATCATCTCTCTCGCTTCTGATGTTCTTTCTACCGTCTTAAGCTAATTTTTCGGTTCTGATGCTGAATCAGATTATTTTTGGCTTTTTGGTCAAGGTAATTATCTTCCCTTTTTTGAAGTCTGCTCTGAATCATAATTATTTTCCGCTCCGCTCTCTCGTTTTCCTACGCTTTCCGCTAACATATTAAATCTACCATTTTCTTATAGCCCACAAGCTATGGGTCAACACGAGATCGAGCTGCCGATCATTTGTGCTGGCGTTCCGCAGCACTCCTATGCCTTCGAGGCTGCCGCGCTGCCGACAAAAACAGTAATTGTGTACGCGGACCGGGCTGAGGTGGGCTACCAAGCACAAGCCGAATTTTTGTTGTCGTTTGGATGTCTAGACGAAAGTTCGGACGCAGAAAGCCCCCATTATCAGAAGTATTGGGTACTTTCCAGGTCAAGCGCCACGTGCACACCCAGCTTGCCAAGGGCACCAATGAGATTATTATTCAGGTGGGAACTTGGAAAATTAGGTGGTTTTTGGTGCATTTTTGAGGAAAATGTAAAGGAACGGGAATGGCACTAGAAGTAAGAGAGCGAGGCCGAGAGCGGCAGAGGGAGCAAGAGAAAGAGAGACAGGTGGGAAAGAAGAGAGAGACGGCGGCCGAGAGCAGGAGAGACCGTGAGAGCGAGAGAAAGCAGAGGAGAAACATATATCGAGAGAGAGAGAGAGGGGGAGAGAGAAATAGAAAGTGAGAGAGTTAGTCAGTGAAAATAGCCACCCAGAAGCTAAACTGAAAGTGGAATTCAATGAAGTTGCCATTTTGCATTTTACCTCAAGTCAAGATGTCGCTTCTCCTTTAAAGCTCTCCCCAGGTCAAGAATTTCTGTTCAAAAGCCTAATTTAAGCCGAAACCCTACGATTAATGTGTCTTTTCTGAGCTTTTCGGGCGTTTTCTGTAGACGCTCCTAATACCATTGATAAAAACGGCCATTTCGCTGGCTCAATTCATACCGATTTACTAAATTGCCCTCCATTTCTGTGTTCTTTGCTCCCCCATCACGCTGACTCAAATGTCGAAATATTCGCGGAACGGAGCGAGAGATTGGGTGGCGCCACACACGTTGCCTTTCTTGCTTGCCCGAACGGGGAAGGGCCTTCGGATTCTGCTGTGCCATGCACTTTTCCCCCCCGGAAAGCCCAGATTTTTATGCGGTTCCTGCGGCAGGGCTTTTTCTGGTTTACAGCCACCTCACCCTGGGCTGTAAAAGTAGAAAAAAACTCTTGGGGGAACGTTGCGAAGGTCGCGGTTAAGGAAAAAGTGGACAGGGTTGGGCAGTGATTGGGGGTAGGCTTCCGAGGTGACAAAGAAGATTTGTTGAAAAAATTTCATAAAACTTTGAAAACGAAAACTGCAGGATCCTTTAATTCATAGCAAGATAGCAGAGATCCTTTGATCCTGGGGCCAGTCAGTAGAATATCTTTGAGGTTACTTCTTAGTTCGCATTCTAAAGAATTGAATATAGCGACCACTGCTTGACTTCTCGAGGTTTCAATGATGCGCATACCACCATAATAAGCAATACAATGCTGGGAAAACTAGCAAAGATTATTAAAGAAAACGACGTGGCGCCAAAGAGTACCCGGCATTTTTAACGAAATTTAATAATTGTATGCCACTTTTTCTCATAGAGCTCATTTTAAAGCTGCTGGCAAGGCGTCCTTGATGCTAGCTCGTAAAATCAAGGGAATTTGCTAAAATCTCATCCTTGCGCCCCCGCCTTCATAAAGATCCACTAGGACTTAATCAATCCCTTGCCGGTTCCTTTAACAAGGGAAGGTCGTTTGGGTCAGGTGTCAAATCGACTTGAAACTTTCCATTGGATAGAAAATCAAAATAAAGTGGAGTTTCTTAATCTCATTTTTTGCACAATACCCCAAATTAAAAAGTTATAGGCCTCTGAAGTTACATAAAAAACCAGGAAACGACCCGACAATTCTGACCTGGTCCTCATTGTGGCCTCCCCCTTTTCAAGCCCTTGCGTCGCCCGGACTGGCAAGCTGTTTGGCGCAGTAGGTAATGCCGTGGAGTACGAAACTTTTTAAATTTTTGTAATCGAGTTCAAGTTTTTGTTGCGTTAACTTTTTGCTTTTGGATTTTACGCCAACTAACCCTAATTTGCAGGAGCAAAAAGCAAAAGCAAAAAGATAGAACGGTTGTAGTCTCGAACTTTTGTCAAAAATTTTTCAAAAGATTGTGAGTCAAGCGCACTACCGACTGCGCTACAAGAGACGTGGGGGAGTGGAGACGAGAGAGGGTCAAGAAACCACCGATGAAGAAAATGTGGCAAAGGTGCCGTATTGGTGGAAAAGCCTGCGCAGAACTCATTTTTAGACTACAAACTTAAAATGCCTATAACTTTTAATTAGGGGTATTGTGCAGCAAACGACTTAGCGCACGTTGTTCCGTTTTCAATTCTCTATCAACTGGAAAATTTTCAGAAAGATTGGACACCTGACCCAAAACGACCTCCCCTTGTAAGACCATCATCTCGAAGAGCTCGAAGTCCAGTTCCCTAACGATCAAGCCCAAACTGGCTATCATCACCCCGTTCCGCTACCATACTTGTTTTCATTCTCTTTTTTGTGCGCCGTAAGCTGACACCGGAGATTTTCCTCGGGCGGCACCCTAAAAAATGACCACCCGGGGCGCCTCTAGGCCTATGAGCGGCCGGCCGGCAAGGTGTTGATAACGCTTTCAACGAAAAAGCCAGGCCCCTAAATTTTCGGGGTGAAGCGGAAAAAGCGGCAAGCAAGGGGAAGTGGACACGGGGCCAGGCTCCGGGCAGTACTGTTTTGATATCAGGTTGACAAGGGGGAGTGTTGAGGCTATGGTCATAGCTTCTGGGTATGGAGAAGCATGGGGGTCATAAAATAAGGCGCCAGGAAGTTGGGGTGAGGGGGGTCGCAAATTAGGAAACACGCGTGCGGAGAAGTTTGGCTATGGACAAAAATTAAAGGGTTTCTGAAGGCAACGATAATGATGTGAGATAGAGAGAGAGAGAGAGAGAGAGAGAGAGAGAGAAAAGAGCTAGAATGGAGAGCAACTTCAAATCAAATTTTTTCAGAACGTCTCTCGCGGTCATCGAACGCCAATCCGTACGAGTGGATGGCAACGGAGTACTCATCCAAGAAGTGCAGTACCAGGAGATGCCCATCGATACTCTGACCGAAACGGAACGAGTACGTTACACGCCTATTTGCAATGCCTTAACACCGCGCCATCGGATGGTTTTTGCTCTTGCACTTGATCGTTAGGATCCGCGAACATCGGCGAATTTCAGGTGCGCACGCTCGAGGACGAAAGTTCGACTTGGAATCCAGGAAGGCTGAGCTGGAGGACGAGATCGGAGCCCCTCAAAACGAGGGCGGAAGTTTTGGATGGAGTCGCTGGACAGGTAAGTGCTGGTATGAGCTCTTTCTCTTCTCTCTCTCTCGCTCTTTCCTCTCTCTCTCTCTCCTCTCTCTCTCACTCTCTCTTCCTCCCTGAGAGGCTGTTAATGAATCGTCTTCAGATTGCATCTTGGCTCGAACTCACCCCTTCAGCTCTCCGGATATGTCACCACCCATGGAGCGTCCAATCGAAAGGCGGCATTCTACAAGTAAGAACTGAGAGAAAGCGATTGAGAGGGTGAGAGAGAGATAGATAGAGCGAGAGAGAAGCGAGAGAGAGAGAGAGAGAGCGAGAGAGAGAACAGTATCGTAACAATTCTTGATGCTTTAGACCAAATCACCTGCCAAATCGGACAAAAGCCGAGCCCGGCCGCCTGCATGAACTTCCTGATGGACGGGGATTGCCTAAAGAATTTGGCGACTTTCTTAACTTATTACGGTATGTGAGCACGACATAAAAATATTGTAACAAATTCTTATAATTTTGAGATCCCATTGACCATGAAATTTAAGGCGAAACCGTCCGATCACTAAAAGCCGAAATGCGCGGGAAGCAGCGAGAATGCGAACGCTTGCATGAGCAAATCGAGCACCTGGAGCGCAGGATTGATCAGCTCAGGTTTTGATGGCGTAATCGATTAAATCCAGATCATCTAGGTGTGGCTACGAGTATGACTCGATCAAGCGCAACATCTCTATCATCGTCGAGGTGGAGGAGAACAAGGAGGCCGATCTTTTTGTGACCTATCAGGTAAAATGGTTCCTAGAGATGACTAGATTTTCTAAATACCTTAACTCCGCATTAAAAAAGTCCATTATCGTATCATACGTTGATACGTTGCTGAAGCTGAAAATTTAGTTTCAGCTCCAGTAAAAAGATCTCAAGCCAAAGTTCATGCTCAAAAATACGTTACAGGTCTACTGCGCCGGCTGGAAGCCGACTTACGATATTCGGGCCTGTTCTACCCTTGAGGAAGAGAAGGAGAACTCGACTGTTAAGGTAAGTGTGGTGCGTAGATCGTACACTAACTTTCCCTTTAGCTCTGCTACTACGGACTGGTCGAGCAGAACACTGGTGACACGTGGGCCGACTGCGACTTGGTGCTCTCTACGGCCTGCCCTACAGTAGGAGGATCGCCTCCAGCTTTGGGGACGCTAAGCGCCACTCTTCAGAGGCATCCCTAAAAGTGAGATATGATACCTAAAGAAACTTGGAGCAATTGGGATATGTTTTTCACTTAATGCGTTATAACACAACGCCTTAGCATCTTACCGACGCGCACGGTATATTGCTGGCGACTTCAGTCGCTAAAGCCAATCATAGCCTTAAGTTTAATCAATTGTACACTAATTACCGTATCCAATTCCAGCCTCCGCCAACGACACGGCTCGGCTCGAAGGAAGCCGATCATGAGCGCGGCTAGCGAGGAAGATATGGGCTTCGGGTCGTTCGACTACAACGAGCTAGTCGATGCGGCTGCCATGCAGAGACTGACACTAGCGCATATGTCTTCGGACTCCAACTCTTGCTCGTCCACCCCGTTGGAGACCCAATCGTCGGCTTGCTTCCCAACTGCGGGCCGGTGACAATTCCTGTCGAATGGGATTGAGCACAAGGTTCTCGTTGCACAGGTGAGGAAGATAGAGAGAGAGAGAGAGAGAGAGAGAGAGACAGAGGGAGAGAAAGAAAGAGCGAGCGAGATCGAGAGAACGAAAGCCAGAATGAGAGAGAGAGCGTGAGATCGAGCATGAGTGAAAGAGAGGGAGTAAGAGCTTCTCAAGTAGGTACTCAAGTCCAAATTCCAGGTCGAGCTCGGCTGCCTCTTCCGCCATGAAGCCGTCCCCTGCAAGAGCACCTCTGCCTACCTCTCCGCCATGGTCACAAACTCTTCAGGCTTTCCCTTGCTTCCGGGCAGCCTTTCCGTCTACATGAATAATAGCTTCGTCTCAAAGGTATGTTAAAAATAGATATATTTTTTTGAACTCCAAAATTCCCGTAATTTTCCGCGTCACCTCCTGTTTTCCAGAGCCACATCAATTTCGTAGCGCCCGGCGAGGATTTCCGGTGCTGCCTGGGGCTGGACCCCGCCGTCAAAATTGAGTACAAATCGCCGTCGAGGGTCGTGGAACAGGTAGGAAATGGGCGCTGAGTCATAGGATTAAAGGAGCATGAAAGTGAGCGGGAGCCGATAAGGAAAACTGCTTAAAGGAAGCCAGGCCAAAACCTATCCTCTTCCAGGTCGGTTTCATGTCGAAGAGCTCCCTCATCACACAGGAGCAAATCATCCACCTGCGCAACGCTAAAGTGAACCAGACCGTCCAGCTCACGGTCAAGGAGTACATTCCGAAGAGCAATGACGACAAGATCAAGGTCAGTTGGGTATTTTCAGCTTTTCTGACCCATTAAACGCGCTTAAATTTCTCATAAGTGCTTTCAATTTATTCGTGCGATTTTGAATTTTCCCAAGTGTCACAGTCTCTTTAACAAGCACGAATTTGAGTTAACCAATCTTCGAATTCTATCTGTCTGAGTCCCTTTAAAGAATTTTTTTCTTCAGGTCGCCATCGTCTCACCCGAAATCCGCGGCAAGGGCCAGGAAGCCCGGCTGAACAAGGAGCACAACCTTGAGTGGAGCATCACCCTTGCCCCCGGCCAATCGAAGGACCTCTCCGTCAAGTATACGGTAGAATACCCAGCCCACGAGAATCTCACCTACAAGATTTCCTGCTAGACCTGCGCTTTTCCTCGAAATTGTGATTGTTATGTCATTGACCTTACCTTCGAAATTCCTTTCTGTTTGGTGGGAGCATTGAATCTTTGAGGTCGGATTGTTGATGGATTTTGGCCAATTTTGTAGCTTATAAATTAGAATCGGGTTTTTGGAAGTGCCACAGCTGTTTTTGGGCTTTTAAAAGAAAGACAGGAAAAATGGCTTTAAAGGGATGGTGCCAGCCATTTTTTTACCAAATGAATGTGAAGCAATCGCATTTTTGTTCCAAAAATTAATTTTAATTGCTTTGAAGATTGTAATTTGCATAAATTGAGCTGCAACCATCCCGTAAAATAACGTGAAAATTAAGATAAATTTAACCATATTAGCCAGTAGAAACCGAATTAAAAACTATTTGAGCAGGAAATCATCTGCCTTAATTTTTGAAAAGCTAATTTGCATAAATTGGGGTTTTCCGTTTCTTTAAATCTTGAAAAAGATAGTGCTACGAAAGAATTACAGTAGTAAGTATATAAATTTAAATTAGTTGAAGATACATCGAAGTTGATTTTCCATAACAAAATTCCTCCTAAAATTCGAAATTTTGAAAATTCAATGCTCGCATTACCCTCCACCTCGACCCCATTCCAGATGCGCCTTGCCGAGGGCGTCCCCACCGACGAGGAAGAGATGGCCGTTTACCTAAAAGCCACCACCCAGGCGCTGCCCCAAAATTTCACTACTCCGCCCCGAAACCCGGAACCTTTTGGTGTAGGGCGCCCGCGCACCTGCACTCGGAGTTCGGTCCCGGAATGCGCACATTTGCATCGTCAGGCTAGGGTTTTCTAGTGCGTTTTAACGGCGTTGGCAAGGTATATTCGTTATGGATTTTTTGGCTACGCTTTTTCTATAATTTCCCCAATCGCGAATCCATAGTTGTGCCTTGCCAGAATTTTAAAAAGTAACTTCCGGTTTTTCAGTCTTGATTTCCCAACTTTTTCGATTGCGCGACTAATTAAATCCATAATTGAGCGATTTTCCCAATTTTACATTTTGTATTCCATCATCTAGCCAGAATTACCATCCCCCTATTTTCTGCGCCCTGACCTGATTTTTACACCTTTTCCGCGTGTTTTTTACTGTTTTTGCCTAGCGTTGAAGTCTGAAACTCGTAGCCATTTTAAGTATTTTTTCACAATTGCTTTTTGAGTGACTTTCGTATATTTTTGCTTTTCTGTGCCATCCCAGTTTACGTTCTCCATGATATACCGTGAATAGTGCTTTTACCGGTCTGGCAATTGTGGTACTGTAGTTCGTGTCTACTCTTCGATTTTTGATGCCCCATTGATTGTGCATTTTTCTATTTTATGAAACCTCGTCTGGGCTAATAAAATTATTGCGTTTAAGTTAACGTTTCTAAAGTCGAAACATGCTAAATCCAAAACCGCAGAATTTTGATAACGTTGCTACTGGGTTTTTCAAAGTACTGACGCTATTTTGTTATTTGGTATTTTGGATGAATCTTTGAGTCTAGGAAAATTTCATTCGATAAGCAGCGCGAGCTCCCTGGGGAATATAACCCTAAAAAAATTTGCGGCAACTCGTAATCGTGAATTATAGAGCTCCTCCTCGCTTTAGTTTGATCTCAAAATAACAAACGGAAATTAGGGGCGGCGTTCGTGTAAACAACTTACGTAGCGACTTTTGGCTTTTAAGTTTTCAAAAAACCATTTTGCCTGAAATTTTGCGCTAATACTTGTGTTCTTCTTGCAAGAAAAGTTGCTAATCATTGTTGCAGCTTGCACAAAATTTTAGCGCCTTCGTTTGTGATGGAACACGGTTTCTCAAAATTTCTTGGTATCTTGCAGTTAATCTAAGTCATGCATCCGGCAGGTGTTATAAAACGTGCCAAAAATAGTATGCGCTGATTTTTGAAACCTGTCGTTTTTAAATCTGAAAAGAAGCGCTACCTACCGTAAATAATTTCCGGCAGGCAGGCATTTTCATAATTTCAGGTTACCTTAAGCGAGTTTTGATCGCCAATTTATATTCGCTGATTTTGGAATCGTATTTACTTCTAAAGATGACTATGTTCCCAAAATAAAGAAGAACCGAAGTATCTAGTATTGATTACCTGAAATCACTTACCTAACCGGTTTTTAATGAAAATTAACTTGCAATGAAACAAATTTTTCAGCGTTTTTCTCTCCAGAAAAACCCACGCGTGACTTTCCCAAATTGCTGGATCCCTCCACAAAAACTACTCCGAAAACGCGTCGAGCTTTGCTTTTTGGGTGTTTGGGTGGGAACTGGGGTCTACGGTGGGATTTTGGTGCATATTAGCATGCGACACACCACGAGACATGCATGACAATTTACATTGAGATGGGAGTCATTGGGAGGAGACTTGTGATTTTGTATTTTGAGGAATTTCATGTATCCAATGCTACTAGGCTGTTAGTAAGCACCATTCCCGTAATTCCACCACAAAAACAGCCGCCTTCTCGACATAACAAAAAAAATTGGCAGTTTTGAATTCAGGTCGAAACACTACCGCTCGAGGCATAAACGACATGGACAACCCAATTCCGCCGGTGATCGGCTATACGTTGTATATTGTAATTGGTGCGTTTTGTAGCTATCGTCAGGCATTTTGTCCGTGACGTTTAGAAAGCTAGAAATTTACCATATGAAATATCTGAATGCGAATATAGTACAATTGCGATTTGGTGCTTCCGTACATTAGAAGTTGAACCAAACCTTTCCCAAGGATCGCATTTCTCTAATAAACTTAGATGGTTTTGATTTCCTTTTTAACATTCTAAAACATAAAAACTACACAAATCTTGCATAAAAATAAAAAAGTACCATTTTTCAACCAAAATTGGCTTAAAATTTGAATTTTCCTTGTATCTGGATCGTTAAATGGATTGTTGGTTTTTCGCTTAAAACAAAGCTAACATCTACTAAATTCATTATTGAAGCCTTTTAATATGTTACTGGCCATTTCTAGACCTCATGGCAGCGCAACTATGTAAGAAGATCGATCCCCCCACCCGATAATGTAAGAGAACCCTGAGCAAATGTCGATAATTCCCAAGTATTTATAGCGTTAAAAAGCTCTAGCCTGGATAAGAACCCTTGAGTAGTAATTTTTTAGCAAGTATCGTGATCGTACGCGACATTCCGTTTATTGGGATGATTTTTGGCAATCGACATTTGAGGTGGGTTAGTTTCATTAATGCATCCATTCTTATTACCCGGAAAACGCAATCATGATTTTTGGTTGTTGGTCTCATCTCTATCCGATTGATTACGACTGGTAAACATTTGCAGGAGCCAAAAAGAACTGGTGACGCTCGGCATTAGGTGTATAGCCGGATACCTCACACGCTATAGCTACCCTCATGGCAGGCGCTTTTCGTTTTTACGTGGCTCTGGGATGAAGCCGGTATTTTTAAAAATTTTAAAGATAAAATTTGTATTTTACAAATTGTTTTGTACAATTTCTCTTGTAATATTTTCTTAGGTGGTCAACCCATTCAAAATACCCAATGTATAGAATACGTATTTCCTGCATTATTCCTATTTTCATATCAATTAATGGGTGCGGCAACGCTGGCTGTTTCTTTTGATCGGTAACTTACAACTCAGATACTTTTTAAAAGAATTAATTACAGTACCTAAACGTTTTCAGGGTGATTGCCGTGATGGATCCGCTCAAGTATCGAAGCCTCACGAATAGCTTTAGTTTTTCTTTAATTGCGGGTAAACTCCGGTGCTTTTATTACCAAGTTTTTCGGGCACAACATTTTGCAATTTTGATTTATACAATTTCTCTTGGGAATTTTAACGAAAAAAGAAGAAAAATTTTTAAGATCCGCTATCAAGACCTTTTTCCAGGCATCTCCACCTACGTCTCCATCGTGGGCCGCCATTTTTGTGTATATTGTACAAACCGGAGAACACCAACCGTCAGCTCAGCATATTGCCTGACTTCCGAAGCGCTTATCCACCCCGGTATCTGGAAGTACATGCTATACTTCCGGATGAGTACGCTTGTCATTAGTAGCTCGCTGTATCTGCCGATTACTTGGAAAATCTTTAAGGTAATCTCCGCTTGGTTTTTCTGCAGAAGAGTTGACCAGAAACGCTCTGAGTCGATTACAAACTTTGCAAAATAACCAATAAAAATTAAGGCCATAGATTTAAGATCACCAGCGCACTAAAGGGAGGCTGGACTGGCGAGACGTATACACGGAAAATGATAAAAACGACAAGGACTATCGGTATAATCGAATTTTTTTCCTTAAGGTTTTGTGCTCCGTAGGTTGTACGATACTTTCCGAGTTTTTCCTGGTCGTTATCCCGGATATTTTCTTGAACTATAATCCCTTTGGACTCGCGAGATATCAGGTTGTGTGGTACAACTGTCATGTGGCGAAAGGTGGGGTTAAACCGGTATCGGAAACTCCTAGGCAAGCTAGCAAAGATCCTCAGGGAACTTAAACCGATTGTGACACGGAAATCAAAGATGCCTAGCAGTATTGTTGGGAAAATTCGCTATCATTCGTAATAGACGAGAACAACTCACTTTTAGGAGCCGTTAACGTCTTTCTCGTCACGCTACAACACGAGGAAATGACAAAGGTGCTGACGAAAAAATGGAGACGACGATCAACACTCGCTTCTACAGGTATTTTTTCGAGGCGCAAATCATGAATTTCGCAGAATGACGCACGCTATTTTCCAGTGATTGCCACTACCTCATCGCATCCGAAATCGCCGAGATCCGGGTCTACCTATTAAAACAGCACGGTTATTATTTGGTTTCTTTCTTTGGCTCATTATTTGGTCCCTCTAGGTCCGCTCTATCTCTCTCGCTCTCTCTCCGTCTCTCTCTCTCTCCCGCTCTCTCTTTCTCTCTGTCCCACTCCCTATCCCTTCCTCTCTCACATTTTCCTTAGTGTCCCGAATTTATAAAATCAGAAAATGAGTTTGTTTTTCGTAGAATAAATGTTTTTAGGAAAGTTAATAGTAATACATAATCGCGTTTATTTTTAAAAAAAGTCTTGCTTTAACTTCAGGTGGACGCTACGCCCGCTGCGGACGCATGAAGACGATCAGAATCAGCCTGGAACTTGTAGATAGGGAGAGCGAGAGATAGCGAGGGAGAGATGAGATTTAATCTAGAAAACTATGCATGGTCATTGGCATAATTAAATAGTGGGCCTTCGCAAGTCGCTCATAAACTGAAGGCGCTCAAGTCTTCTGCGGCCGCATGAACACGATGAGCACGACCCTAGGATGTTTTGATATAAGGCGCCGTAAATTTAAATCTCCAAAATTCCAAAATCTCTAAATTCTTGGAATGTCGAAATCCCGGATGTCGAAGTCACAATTTTCATCTTCTTCATAAAAATAATAACTCGGAGAAGTATAAAAAGTTCTACATTATATGAAATTTCGGCATTGCAAAACATCAACTAGGACAGGATATGTAATTTCGACTTTTTCAATTCCGATGTCCGGGAATTTGGAAAATCCGTTCCCTCAAAATTTGTGATCTTGAGAACGCCCTCCCACATCTGAGAAATGCGTTCGAACGCCAGGAAGCCGTCGTTTGTCATGATGCGAATTATTGAGATGTGCGTCCAGTCCGGCAAGGTCAATAGCCAGGGGAAGGCCAGCCTCCAGATATTGGAGAACCAGTCGACCATCATCTGAATGTCGGGTGGTCGAACTGATTTCTGGTGTTTACCATTTTTAGCAGCCGGATATCACCTCCTTTTTTGCCGGGCGACGCTTGCTCCTAAAATTAAGATGTTTGGGAATCACAGGGTTTGCTATCCCAATGCCGAAAATCAAAATGCTGAAATTCATGATCGCCAAATTTTGTATTGTTGAAATTTAAGAATGTCGAGATTTGAAATATTGATTTTTTTTTCGTAGAATTTGCGAGTTTTGACGTTGCGATGTTTCGGCATTATTAATTTTATGATGTGCATTATTAATTTTGGCATTGTCGACTCAAAGGTGATGAAAATTTAAAATTGTGATTGACATTATAAAAATCGACACTTAAATTTCGGCATCATGAAAATTCGGGATACTGAAAATGAGAAATCTGAAATTTGGTCCCTATGCGTTTCGACGCGACGAACTTTCCAAATTCAGAATTTCGGCATTAGCAACTTAAAGGTTATGAAATTTCAAAATCAGAACATTTCGACCGCATAAAATGCCTAGAACTCGACATTTTGCCATTATGACGAATTATCCGACCCACCATCCGCCTGATTTTCCAAAACGTGGTCAGGTCGACGGCGAAGGTGGCCCAATACACGTATCCAATGAAGGTACTTGCATACCGCATTATTGGGAAGAATTCTGGGTTCCAACCGAGCGTATAAACCATCCCCAGTTGACCGACACTGAACCAGTAGCCCCCACGGCAGACGTGGCCCGTTGCTTCATCCCTAAATGAGGTGATATCAAAGGAAGAGAAGAGAGAGAGAGAGAGAGAGAGTGATAAGAGGAGAGAGTGAGAGCAAGTGCGAGAGATAGAGCGAGAGAGAAAAAGAATTTTTAAGAACAAAGAAAAATATTAATCTTTGAATTGGGAGCCTACACCCTATCGCCGGAACAGGACAGCTGAAATCCAACTGGGATTATGAAGAAGAAGCAGATCTGCGGGATCGCCAGCCGCTCGACGCTTTTGAAGAAGTAGCCGTCGAATTGGACGGCGAAGAACCTGAAGTAGACTTAGGCTGGGTTTCGGCTTAGCTTATACTTCGCTTTTTGTTTAGCTTAGGCTTAGCTTAGGCTTAGCTTAAGCTCATGAAGCCGGAACATCAGAAACCAACCGATTAACCGTCAGCCCAGCCCACAAGAAGCGCACCGTATCGGAGACAACGATATGATAGCTGGTTATCAGGTTGTTGAATACAAACCCGCTAAACGGCGAATTCTCCACGTTGATGCACCACCACCTAAAAAAATACATGGTGCGTCGGGATCGGCAACCACTCACATAATAATACAGTGCACTTTGAAGCCGTCGAACAATGATTGTGTCGCCCGGATGTAGCAGGCAAAAAGGAGGAACAGCCTGGAGCCGAGGGACAGCTCCTACTTGCGGTAGATGATGTAGAAGGCATAGAGGGAAAGTGGGAAGCCGATGACGCCAAACTGAAAAATATCTTTTGTTTAACGGCGGGAACTCACAATGAAGAAAATGAGCGCGGCGTACGTGTCGAGCTTTCGATCACGGTCTTGAGGCAGTTCAACCCATTTCTCCAGCCAGGGTGAGCCGGGCGAGTGGCATCCTCCGTCCTCTGTGTAATATTCATAGTAGAGGTATTCGATGTCACTGGTTGGGCCATGGCCCTTGTAGATGTTGAAGAGTGTGCCGGTCATCTTCTGGACGTTCGGATAAAGTAATTAGCAGCAAAAAACCCCAGCAAATCAAAAGCTCGTGGGCCGAAATATCGACAGCAAAAATCCTGAGGGGCTAACTCCCTACGCACCAAAGTCCCGACCTAAAAAATACTGACAGAAAAACCCGGGAAAGCAGAATACCGAGAGACAAAATGCTGAAAGCCCGTAATTCCGTAATCTAAAATCCCGAAAGCGAAAATCCCGACAAAAATAATCCGCAGGGCCAGAATCCCTGCAGCGATATTCTCCAAAGCCAAAATTCCGACAACCAAGATCTCCATCGGCCAAAATACCGACGAACAAAAACCCGAATTCTAAATAGCTTTCAAAAAAGAAATGGGATTCAAACGAGCCTCAAGAATATTTCGGGATTTAGGTGGTCGGAACTCTGGCTGTCGGCATTTTAGCCTTTCGGGATTTTTCGGTCGAGCCTTTTCCAGGTTGTGTGTTTTGCGATCTTTGCCTGTCGGAATTTATAAATCAAAAATGATCGAAGCAATATTGAAAAGATTTTTGTTAATCGAGCACGCAAAGGTTTAGAGCTTGCAGCCCTGCAGCTCCTGAGACCTTTTAGTTAGAAACGGATCGTGATAATCGCTTTTGGCGGAAGCCACATATGTCGAACACTCTCCCCGATTGAGGTTGCCCCAAATTGACACGAAATTAGCCGATTATCGGGCGTGATAAAGAGCACGGTAGCAACGTTTTATTAGAGGGAAGGGCGTATAAAAATTCACGTTTGTCCTGTCGTTTGTCGCGTGGACGACACTGTTTCCCGCTGCGGACGGCTGAACACGATCAGGATTGCCCTAAAACGTAGTTCTTTTGCTAAATTAATGCTTTTAAAATGCAACATAGAATATGGCGAAAAATAATTTCAAAATTTTGTAAAAAAATTGTTACTAAAATTAAAATGCAGCTTTTTGAAGGATTACTTGCAGGTTCAACATCTCGGACTTACATGTGTACAATATACTCTAGATAGGTTGGAACATCGTTGACGAGCACTCGGGCGACCGATATGTAGTTCCAGTCATGGATCAAGTGAACAAGAACGGGAAGAGCCAATTTCCACAGGTTGAGAAGCCATTCCGCCAGCATCTTAATGACGTAAGTGGGAGAGAGAGAGAGAGAGCGAGCGAGAGAGAGAGAGAGCGAGAGCCTGAGAGAGCGAGAGAGAGACAAACCAATTTCAACAACCGCAAGTCGCCACCTTTCTTGCCGGGCGAGGCTTGTTCCTGAAATAACCGTAAGGCAACGTAAGACAGACAGACAGACCATTTTTTACGCGGCGCTACTGGATTTTTTGGCTAATACGGCCGTGCCAGAACCGCAACGCATCCACAAGCGTGGCTCTGCTGCTCACCATCATCCTAATCTTCCAGAACGTCATCAAATCAACGACAAACGTCACCCAATACAGGTACGAGATGACGATTTCCTGGATGTCGATGATCTCCCAGAAAACCGGGTTCCACACGTAGAGAATCGCTAGGGCCAGTTGCCCCGGGCTGAAGTAGATACCCCCGTGGCAGATGTAGCCAGTATGCCTGTCTCTACAAAAAAAATTTAATTGAAGACAAGTATATTTCTTTACATAATAGTTACGCTCATCGCGAACCGCATAGCTACCGGTATAAAGAAGAAAAGAATAATTTGAAGTAATGCCGTTCTCTCGACCGTCTTGTAGAAGTAGCCGTCGAAGTAGACGGCGAAAAATCTGAGGTACAACTTACGCAATGTTCCATCAGTGCCGATCCGGCAAGAAGAGAGAGAAAGAGACCGATAGAGAGAGGGAGAGAGAGTGAGAGAGAATGCGAGAGAGAGAGAGAGAAAGAGAGAGAGAGAGAGACAGAATGAAAGAGAGAGCGAGCAAAAAAGAACGAAAAGGAGTCAGAGATAATAGTGATACAGAAGGTGTGAGCGGGAGATAGAGGGAGAGAGAGAGAGAGAGAGAGAGAGAGAGTGAGAGAGTGAAGTGAGAAACTGATAGATTAATGGTCTCATTAGTGCATTAACGCGAAACAGACCAGCCGGTTTACCTGTTAAGAGCAAGCCCAGCCGTCAGCCACCTTAATGTATCAGCGACACCTTGGTGATAGTTTGAGATAAAGTTATTAAAGAAGAAGCCGCTAAATGGAGCGCGCCGCAAGCTTATGCACCACATCCTGAAAACGTGGATATTTTATTTCATATATCACAGTACCATGTTATAGTACGCGACCACACGCAATATCAGACTATCGCTAGATACTCACGTCATCACGCAGTGCGCCTTGAAGAAGCAGAAAAGTGATTGTGTTGCTCGAATGTAGCAGGAAGAGAGGAGGAAGAGCTTTGAGCCAAGAGAAAGCGCTTTCTTGCGGTAGATGAGCAGGAAGGCGTACGTCGACAATGTGAATCCGATCGTTCCAAACTGAAAACGGTAAACGATGTGTTTGCAAGAGATCCAATTGCGATCAAATTTAACGTTGCGTATGCTTTTCATGGCGCGCACAGCGACGTAGCGCTTCTACAAGGTACACAAATGTGCTGAACGTTTTGTTGGTATAGAGAAATACGTTTTTTTAGTCGCGTGTAGCAAGACGTAGAACGAACGGATTTACATCTACACCCCCATTGCCATCAACTTACCAAAATCCAAATCAGCATAGCATAGGTGTTAATCTTCGGGTCCCGCTGCTCGGGCATCTCCATCCAACGCGTCAGATAGGGTGATCCGGGCGAATAACAGTCCCCATTATCATAGTCATAGTCGTAGATTAATTGCTCTGATCCCAGCATTCGAATTGATAGCAGCGATCCGGTCATTTTTACAGTATTTAGGAATCTCGTCGTAAGTTTTTTTGCGATGGCGTTAGATTTAGTAGGACAAAGATATTGGGTACGCCAGGCACCCAAAAAAGGGGGTACACCCCCGGTTGTTCAAAAGGTTGGCATGTAACCGAAATTCTCGCCGCTAATCTAGTGATCACGGAGTGCGTTATAACGTGTATTTTCCGCCGTCCTGGCCCGAAGTGCCGAGCGGTGAACATTTAGGAAACGTAAAATAAGAATAGAAAATTTCAGAAAAACAGATCAATTCAGAAGATCAGAAAGGGCAAAAATTGTTCTCTTCGACTGACTGGGTATCAAGTGCAGCTACGTAACGCTCCAAAAACGATACTTAACCTAACTGCGAGCTCGAAAATATTTAGGCATGGATCCGTTTAAGGTATTGTAATTTTTTGTGCGTTGGGTATAAAAAGCGGCAAAGATCAAAATATACTTCAACGTCATTTGGTTATAAACGGGTCTGTCGAGACCTGGTCCACACGAGCACTCGATTCTGGCGTTTTTCGCGTCTCTCAATCCTCCTCTCTTAAAAACTCAGGAGACAGAAGTAATCTTTATTCAAACATGTCCAGTATTTTATTTTTTCCGTTAATTTGTCGATTATAACTTTGTCTGCATCGTCGAGATTGAGGCCACGCGAGTGGGTTGGTTGAAGTAGATCAGGATCGCGCTAAAAATTAAGATTCGAGCGATTTATCGTAGTGTCTTACGCATGCAAGACGTTATCAAGAAAACGTGGTACTTCGTTGGCCAGATAATTCGTCAGAGGATAATGTATGAATTTTAAATATGGCCAGAAAATATTGAAGCAAATGTAGAAAATGTCAGGAACGTGGGTAGCTACTATCTAAAAGTACAAAAATTAATAGCAGCATCTATTCTTAAGGTTACCATTCGTATTACATGTAGATCGATGTTCTTCTCGCCCAGCGAAACTTGTTTCTAAAATTTAGAACATCGTAGAACTTAAGGAAAACAGATGGCGATAGAATGATTTTTGCAAAAATGATAGGTTAGTTTGGGATTTTTTAAAGCCTGGTTTCTTTAAAAACTTGACTTACCATACTCCACAGTTGATAACAAGTTGTTATATCCATTAAGCATGCCAGAATGAAAAGCACTTTTGCGACGTAAGAGGTATATTTCGAAGCATCAAGAAGTGAGGCGTTCCAGACCCAAAACAACACCGGCTCCAAGTTGTTCGGGCTGTAGTACGAGCCGCCATAGCATTTGTAGTTTTGTTCGATGTTTACTACTAAATATAGAAAAATAGTCAGAATAGTAGTTACATGAAAATTCGTTTAAGATGATTAAACTTACAATTCCCAACTTGCGCAACGTTTACCCCGATTGGGTATAGAAAGAAGGTTAAGACGAATATACATGCGAGTTTATCGATAACTTTTGATGATGGACCTTCCAGAAACGCGGCAAATAATCTTAAAATATAACTAAACGCATTTTCTTGCTAAGCCGTAGTTAAAAACCTACTTGCCGCCCTGAAACCGGATGTTTTACCAAGTCAATCACATTCGGTTGTCTAAAAACCCGAAAAGATTACCTATTAAGAGCCAATCCAAAAGCTAAAAGACAGATAGCGTCGACTGTTGCTTTGTTATAAGCTGTTAGTGCAGTATTGATCAAATACCCGCTGAAGGGCTCGTATTTTGTATCGACGCACCACCAGCTGAAAGTACGTTTGATGTACAAAATTTTATAACCTAATTTGATCGACTTTAACATGTCAGTTATCTACGATTTAGTTTTTTTGTTTTGCCTTTCTGCCTTCGTAATTTTCAAAGCCGTTTGTGCGCTTACGTCAAGATACATAGCGCTTTATAGAACAGTATTAGGCTTTGCGTATTGAGACGACAAAGGCAGTCGGTCAATAAAAGCATTTGACACCAATCGATACAGATTTCCGGCGTATAATTAACCAAGCAGCGTACAAAATTACGACGGATGCAATAGCACATCCCTGAAAACAATTATGACAGCTTAAAATATTTAAAACAATTTTTCTTATTATCAGCTGCTTATTTTCAGAGTATTCCCGAAATTCATAATGTCGGGAAACCCTTGTGTCAAATTCATAATTAGGATTCTAGGCAAAAAAATGCTGTCGTGAGATAAGATAAAAAAATAGAAGATGGAAAAATTTTTTTGGCTAAGATTTGGCGGTTTCACCGGTAATATTAGCTATGTAAACTTCGACATTGTAAATTTCGACATTATGACATTTCGACATTATGAAATTTCGACATTATGAAATTTCGACATTGTGAAATGTCGACATTATGAAATTTCGACATTATGAATTTCGACATTACGAGTTTCGACATTATCATTTTCGACATTCTGATAGCAATTCAAAAAATTGTATTTTTGCGCGAATTCGAAAAGTTGCATACCATAAACATCGACATAACAATATGCGGCTCGATAAGATCATTTTTCGTGTCTTTCACTGGAAGTCCGCTCCAGGTAACTTTTGAACCGACTGGATTCGTAGAATAATACCCGGCCCTTGGGTAGCATTGGCCAACGTCATCGATTGAGGGCAAAGGCGTGGTGGTAGTGGTGGTGGTAGCTGCAGTCGTAGTCTTGGTTTTCGGCATCAAATCCGAGATTAAAAGCTTTTTTTAGCGAATTTTCGGAGCAAAATTTTAAGCTGAAAGCACACCTAGCTGCGCCCACGATCGAGCCAGAATTAATCCCATTTTCGGGGCAATCTTGCAGAGCTCAAGATGGAAATTGGGTTCTAGCAGGTCAATTTAAGGCACGGAACTTGTTGAACTTGTCAAAAACTATGGATTATATTGTTTTTATTAAGAACGTTGTACTCGACACCTGCCACCCCGAGGGAACCATCTACACTATCATATCACAGCGTTTTCTCGCAGCATCAAACCTGTTTCTTCCTACTTCCCGCTTTGTCGCCCTCTCACCCTCGCTCTAACTTTCTCTCTCTTCTCTCTCTCTTTCTCTCTCTCTCTCACTTTCTCTCTCTCTCTCCCTCTCTCTCTCATTTCCTTCCACAGTTTTCCCTGCAAAGGTCACGATGGAACAGTGTAATCATCGACTAATCAACGACAACACCAAAAATGCTGGCAAAATTGCTAATTCCACTACTTCTCCCACTCTTGGCGCTTTCTCAAGATAATCCCTTTGAGTTTGAGTTTTCCCCATATATCTACAAAATTTATAAGTTGCCGTTTAAACAGGTACTCTAGGTTTTGTTGGGATCAGTCAGTTGTTTTAAGGATAGCTACGCCCAAGATTGGTATGGTCAGGACGTGGCGCTGATCCAGGTACATTTTGGCTATTAGATGTATTTCGGGATTTATTTGTATGTTAAATTTTCCAAAGTATACCAACCAGAAGTCAAATTTTGAATATTTAAGAGCCCGCTCCTTTCACCAATAAAACAATCCAAACCCGGCCACCCGCTGCCCCTCCCTACGATCAGACCTTTCACGGTTAGCTGGTGGGTGACTTATTTTGTCTACGTCCTCTATTCTTACGATAGGAACTCGCTAGAGCTCGATTTTAAAATGCCTGGCATTCTTAATAAATTTTATCTTTGTTTTCCAGGAAGCACCTCGACGACACAAGCGTCAACCTCGAAAATAACCAAAACTTTGAGAAACGTATCGACACCAAAGTATGGTGGCCCAGTTAATGGCTGGCTTTTTCATGATAAATTTTGTTTTGTTTCTTTCTTATTTTCGACTTTTCGTGTTCATTCATACAAAATAAAACATTTTTGTTTGTTTTAAGATGGGCACACAAACCCCCTTTTTTTTAGATGCAATATCTAACAAATGGGGTAATATCTGGACAAAAACCAAGCAAATTTTGTACAATGTACGAATTATGATGCGATCAGAAGGATGGGATCTGGGATCGGATTGCAAAAATTCCTGACGTTGAGGGGGTGCATTAACAACAGTTACGTCGGATCGTCTGGATTTTGGAAACAATCTTCAAAACGCCGAATTTCTGGTACCGGTATCTCATCTGGGTCTTTTGCAGAATTGCTCGAATTCATTGCCTCGGAACAAAAGTTTAGCGGCACCGCTCGAGCCGTCGGGGCCGCGTTAAAATATCCGATGAGGCGCCGCCGAAATTAGGCAAATTAGGGGGTCGTATTCGCTCTATCGTGCTTTCTCTCTCTCTCTCTCTCTCTCTCTCTCTCTCTCCTCTCTCTCTCTCCCTCTCTCTCTCTGTCTCTCTTCTGCCGTGTATTTGTCTGTCCTCGCGCACCCTGCGTAGTGGTGTTCAAATTAGTTTCGTCTGGCCGAAGGGCCCAATTAAAGGGCGATGCGAAGCGCGCGCGGGCTGGGGCGTTGGGAATGAGGCCATACTGGGCCCTTCACAGAGTACATACACTGATTCTCACAGCACACCGGAACCATCCTAATTGATCCCCTGGGGCCAAAGGGCACTTTCAAGCAATTTGAAGCGAACTATGTACCTTTAGGATATTGATCTCACTTCAGAAACGGCTCTGAATCTCCATTAAATACCAATACCACCTTCTTTTCAGATTTATAATTTTTAATAAATACATTAGTTTATTATCTCACTCTCCTTTTCTCTCACTCACTCTCCCTTTCTCTCTCTCTCTCGTTCCTTTTCCCTCTCTCTCTCTCTCTCTCTCTCTCTCTCTCTCTCTCTCTTTAGCTGTGATAAGCATCCATACCAAGCCCAATGTTATTTTTGCGAGTTTGCAAAAATCTTTCTATATTTTGTTCTATACGTCAGCACTTTTCACATAACTTTATTATTAGCATTGCCCTTTTCCGTTTCCCGTGATTTGGCGCTCACCGTAGCCCCGAGCTTCCAGCAGCTGTCGCTACGATTAATTTGGATGGCAGCTGAAAATGGGTGCCCGAGGGGTAGCGCCTGATTCGTATTAAGATAGTCCAAGTAGGAAGGGTCGACTCGTATCTTCGGTATTTTTGGAGTTATATAGTTTGTAGTCAGCTGTTCTAGGAGGGATCAGTATTTTTCACAAAAATACGGTAAGAAGCCCTAAACCTAATTTGAAGTTAGCATTTACCGATTTTCTATGGACTTAAAGGACTTTTTGTCCTTTAAGCGGAAGTACACCATTTTTTAGCTAGCCAGTCCCTAAGTGATCAGAGAAGTGTGAAAGGCATTGCCTTCTTCTGTTTCTCCTTCCTCTCTTTCTTCTCCTTTTTCCACCCGCCAGCTTACTGATGCAAATTGGCTTTGTTTCCCCCGCTAGCGTTTTTCGAGCGTATCACCCGAGGAGTGGGGCGAAAATAGGGGATCTAACGATTTCCTTATGACATTCTAGTTGATCGAAAATCGAGGCTAAAGTTGTTGTTGTTGCCAGCAGCATTTGTCGAGACACAGTGTCCTGACAACGTCGATTCCTTTCCAGTTCCTTTAAAAACGGGGTTTGCTTATACTTCCGAAAATCCGATTCCCGAAAATTGGTTTCCCGAAACTCGGAGCCTCGAAAATCGGAGTCCCGAAAAATCTGAGTCCCGAAAAATCTGACTCCCGAAAATGTGGCTACTGGTTTTTAGGCTTCCGGCCCCAAAAAAAACCCAAATCACTGCGGGTATTTTCGGGACTTAGATTTTCGGGAGTCGGAGTTTTCGGGACTCCGATTTTCGGGATTCAGATTTTCGGGACTCAGATTTTTCGGGACTCCGAGTTTCGGGAAACCAATTTTCGGGATCCCATTTTCGGGAGTGTCAGCGGAATTCTTTAAAAACCGAGTACCATTTGCTGCCAAAAATAGCGCGACTTTCAAAAAATTCCTATAGAGCCGCTTGAGGAACGGCACTTCTCCCTGGATGGCCATCTCAACTGGACCCTATCTGGGCCCTAAACATGGCCCTCCAAGAAGAGGGGTGTATTTTGATTGGAGCACGCGCGTAAAAGGGACGACTAGCCGGGCCCACGACGACAACGACGACCAAGGGCTCTTCACGGAAATTGGATCGAGAGCCTGAGGAGGCGCTCCTCCTCCCCCTATCTTCAGAAGAGGTGCACAAAGGGGAGAAGATGCCGGAGCATACATAGAGGAGCATTCAGATGAGACGCGTAATCCTCCTCCCCCTCAGCTTTTCTCTCTCTCTCTCTCTCTCTCTCTCTCTCTTTCTCTCTCTTTCTCAACAACGCCCCATCTCAATTTACGCTCGGCGGTGGGATGGCACTACAATTTTATTGGCTAGAGGTCGGGTCGTCAAGAGGCGGGAGATCAAGTTTTATGGGGGGGGCAGAATGCTTTCTTGGCATTCTGGGATAAGAAATTTGCATACACTGATTTCCCTGATGTGCGTACAGTATCTACCTACCTCGTGTTTTTCAGCAATTGCACCTTACTTACTAGTTTTTCCGTTTCCAACGTTTGTTTCGTATGCTAGAAAGAGAGAGGGAGATGGAGAGAGAGAGAGAGAGGAGAGAGAGAGAGAGAGAGAGAGAGAAAGAGAGAGAAAAAAGAGAGAAAGAAAAAAAGAGAGAGAGAGCCAGAAGTGTAGAGAAAGAACCAGAGATAGAGCAAGAGGGAGTCGAAATCGAGTCAGAGGCGACACATAACAAAAAATTATTTTCGATTGCATCCTCGTCTCTCAAGTTGTTTTTTTTGGCTAGAAACGGCATTCCGATTTTTAAGTCTAGCGATCAAGACCAGTAAATAATTTCCATTCGGTACTTTCTGCTTCTATTTTCCTGCAAGAAAATGCACTTTTTTTTGGCGCGATATCCGTAAAGTGGGAACCTGGGGATGTTGTCGGTTGGATGCCCTTGCAGGGCCCTTTAGCCCCGGGGCCTCGGCGACCTCGAATCGGAAATGAGCGTCTTGGCCCCCCGAAGAGGGATTGAGAAAGGGGATGTAGTGGAAAAAGTGGAGTATAGGTATCCATGGATAGAGATCGGGAGAGAGATAGAGAGAGAGAGAGAGAGAGAGAGAGAGAGAGAAAATGAGGGAGAGTGAGAGAGGGAGTTAGAGAGGGAAAGCGAGAGAGAGAGGGAGAGACAGAGAGAGCGCAGAGTTCAGAATCGGACTTATCTGGAGCAAAGGGTTTATTCCAAAGCATGTCTACGTTTGCAGTTTTTTTGTACATTTTTAGTATTTTTAAATATTTTTCTGATGTATGTGTTTTTAGCTCCTGCTCTCTCTCCCTCTCTCGTCTCTCTCTCTCTCTCTCTCTTTCTGTCTCCCTCGCTCGCTCCCTTCTCTCCTTGTCAAGACGCCTGGAGTCTTGGCAGGGTGAAAAAAGGGCAGCGCTGTCAAGATTTTGATGAATTTGGAGTTCTGAGAAAATTTCGTTTAGCCTTCTCGATCTTCTTCGGTTTTATTCATCTGAAAAAGGGAAATCTTAAGCTTCTCACTAATTCCATGCATAACGTCAAACTACAAAAACCTATGAAAAAGTCGGAGCCGTGTTTTCTGCCCTGCGACTCCCTCGTTAATCTGTGAAATTGGCTTTTCCCAGCCGTGAGCTTATTTTTTAGCTTCTTATCCCTCAGCTACCCTCTTGGATTGCTAGAAGCTCGCTATCGCTGCACTTTCTTCAAGTTTCATCCATCCCTATCCTTAGCGACTAGTGAGGCATCGAAAAACAAAGATCCTCGTGAGCCGCCAATGGCAAATGCGATTGCTCCATTTTCCCATCCGGGACACGCTATCTCGCACGGCTTGCAGGGAGGGAGAGTCAGCTCGAGACCCTCGTTAGACACTTCATTCCTTGCGCGTGCCGTTGCGAAAACTAAAGTTATGAGGTTTTTGGGTTTTTGCGATATTACAAGTTTTTTCGTAATTGTTATCTTTTTTGGCGCCTTAGCCGGGATTTGTGCGATGAGAGAGACCGGTAGATAGAGGGACAGAAAGCAAGAGGGACAAAGAGAGAGAAATAAAGAGAGAGAGACAGACAGACAGAGAGAGAGGGGGAGATAGAGATAGAGATAGAGAGCGAGAGAGAGAGAATTCGCTTAAAAAAACATGATTTTAGGAATTTTCTCGAAAATCGTCTTAAATTTCAAGATTTTTCTTGTTACTTAAGCCGAAAATTTGGTTTTAATGACTCAAGTGCAAAAATTAGAATTTTTCGGGCCTCAGTCTGTTCCTACCAATCAATCCCCAACTATATATGCTCAAATATCGCGCAACGCAATCCGACCCGGAAAATGGGCGGGAAAGCGAACGCCGCCAATTTTGGGCGCCGAATTTGTTTGTGTCCTCCTCCCCGCCGTCCCGGCGTCAGCCAGCCGTTTCCGGGCGGTTGACTGGTCCGGCAGACCGGGAGGCTGCTGGGGGCTCGGGTGGCAAATTGAGGCTGGCCCATGGCTAGCCGCCGGGTTCGAGGTCGATTTTTTGCTTTTGCTTACCACTTTCTCGCCTTTTTTTTGGGGGAGGGGGGGGGCTCTAGCTGCCCCGCTTCGTGAAGACGGGTCGACTAGCCGAGAAAGCTTATGTGTGAAAAGAGCCATTTTTGGGTTCCGGCGCGATGTCTCGAGGGGGTCGCCCCATTTTCGAACACCTAGAAGCATCAGAAATCCGGGGGTTCTTCGCTGAAATTCTCTTTTCAAAAGCTAAAAAATTCAGCGCTCATGCTAGCTGCCTCTATATCTCTAGCTCATTCTCGCACTCTCTCCCTCCGTCTCTCTTGCTCCCTCTCTCTCTCTCTCTCTCTCTCTCCCTTTCGTTCTCTCTCTCAGTCCCTCGTACTCTCCTTCTCTCTATCTCGACCTGGCATTTTCTATCATTCTCTAGATCGCGCTCGCTATCTCTGTCTCTCTTGATCTCGCGCTCACTCCTTCGCTCTCGCTCTCACTCTGTCCATCTCTCTCGCTCCTCTCCTCTCTCTCTCGCATTTCTTGGCAAAACTCCAGACCTTTGAAGCGCACGGGATGTCATATATCATCATGTTGCTTTGTTTCTCTCGGCTCCTCCTTTCGTTTTCTCTTCCGCTTCAGCCCTTTTTTCGGGACCCTGCTAACTTGTGTGTGGAAGGGGGGCAAGCACTCCATTCAGCACATGCCCGGGGTGAGGATGGCTGAAATATGGCCCCACGCCGCGGCATCTTCTCCCATTCTTGGCACGCGCGTATATCCGAAAACATCCCAAAAACAGCGAAAATTCACGTTGTGTGGTTATATAGTAGAAGCAAAAAATAGATCTCAGAAATCTGCCTGAAGGATCCCAGAAAATAGGATTTTCGAAGTATTTAAGGGCTTTTTGAATTTCCCTTTTTGAACTGTTTAAAGGGCTTGTTGCTGATTAAATTTCGGAAGAATTTTTGCTGGCTCTCCATTTAATTTTAATGATGGATTTTTATATTTTTGCATGAGATTTGTTGAATTTTTTGCGAAAAACAAATCTCTTTGACGGTCTTTTCTGCCTCTCCCGTGTATATAAAAATTGGAATTTTGCGGATTTTATTGGTTGGCTCCCGGGAAATGCTCAAGCAAAATGTCAAAGTAATCAGTCGGTTCTTAAACTGCCGGCAAACTAAATATATATCAAGAATTATCGCTGCTAGTTTTCACGCTTTTCTTTCAAAACTTTCGAAAATTCTTTCGGTTTTTCGTTTTTCGGACTCGTTTAATTTTTCTTTCTTACCCTCCCAAGCCTCAAAACACGGCTAATTAGAGTTTACAATTTTTGCTCCGTTGGGAGTAGAGAACAAATCCGATTTGGGTGGTCCCAGTAAATTTCGAGTCCGCTTTTTCCGGCCGCCGGAATGGCCCGTTTTCCGGGTTGGCAGTTTGGAAAAGTGAGCCGGCCCGGCGAGTGGGAGGGTTGGCTGGCTGGCTATTCAGCCAGGCACCCACCCAAATTAGTGGCTGGCCGCCCGGCCGGAAAATAGCTGCGCTCGATCCGGGCGCCATTCCGGTAATCGACTCACGTTTTTGCGGTTTGCAGGAATTTATAGTGTCACTCGGAAATTGAATAAAGGTTTGAAGTTTTCCGAAGTTTTGAATTCTCAGGATCTTTTCTCCGTTCACAAATATTTTTTAACTTGCCGCACCTGATAATAATGATTTTTGGATTTGATGTTCTAAGGCTTGCAGGGTATCCCTAGAAAAATAGCTGACCACCGAATCATGGATACGAAAACTGCACCTGAAGACTAAAATAAAAAACTACGGAATCTACCTCTCCTGATTTTTTAAGCGTTGATTAATTTTGGAAGACGCGATTTTTAGTAAAATCAATATTTTATGATTAGCTTCCAGAGTATCTTGATTTTTTTACCAGGTTTGCTCTTTCATCGTCAATGCCGCACGATGCTGAAAAATTGATGAAGTTCTTTGAATCCGTCTTGCAGGAAGAATGAATTCATTAATTTGGCGCTCGTTGGAAACTGGTGGTTTTTGTATCTTTCCCTCTCTCTCCGTTTCTCACACGATCTCTTCCTCGCTTTCTCCCTCTCCCTCTTTCTCTCATCCCTCTCTCTCCCTCGCTTTATCGCCCTTTTTCTCTCTAAAATCAAAAAACTACAATTTTCTTCTGATGCGTCAGCTTCTCATCCTTTTTTGTCAGGTCCCGGAATTCAGACTAGACAGGCCAGCGTAAAAAAAATCAGAAAAGAGGAAAAATCCCATTCTCCCCGTTCCCAAGAATCAATCTACTCTGCGGTGAGTTGACATATCGTTTTGGGCATCAAATCGAATTTCCTGCTGCCCTTTTTCCCTTTTTGCATCACCCGGATGGGTTTCCCGGTTGGGGCATATCTCCGCTTTTCCAATGGATCCCCGGCCAACTCAAAGAGTAGCTCCGGCTCAAACGAAGCGGCCTTTTTATCTTTCACTCTTTCTCTCTCACTCTTTCTCTCTTTCACTCTCTCCTTAGCCCCGTTGCTTTTACTCTCTGCAGCATCTCGGGAATAAATAATTACTTTTAACCATCGCGTTTTTGGCTCTTTCTGACTCCGCTTCCTTGGCATTAGAGTTCGAATTCGGGGCAGCTATTCTTAGGAAAATAATTTGTATTCGAAGTAGTGGTTCGGATCTTGGGGTCTCTCTCTCGCTCTGTCTCTCTCTCTTCTCGTCTTATTTCACCTCTTCTGATCTTGAGAACCAGTTAAATCCTTTAAATTTTCAAAAATATAGGTCGTCGATAGCAATTTTTGTATTCAAGTTCCTAAAAAACTCTAAGCAATCAATTTCTTCAGCAAAGTGCAAACGGATATAATGTTTTGGGCTTAATCCGAGCGATTTCAAGAAAAGAGCACCGACCGGTCAGCATAGAGTCTGCAATTCAAAATAGCATCCTTGCATACATTTGAGATTTTTTTTGCGTACAGATTTTATAACGACTATGTTGTAGTTTGTATTTTTAGTTTCGCGATTTTAGATACCCTTCAAAAAATCGGCCTTTTTCGCACGCAAGGGCCGACGAGAAGGCTTTTTATGTTTCTCGGCTCCGGGAAATTTTGAGCCTTTTGAGCATCGAGTTTCATGCTGTTTTGATGGAGAAATTTCTTATTTTTGGTTCACCTATTTTTAGTACACATCCTTGAACTCGAAGCCTTTTGGAACATCATGTACATAAAGGGCAATAAATATGGCATGATGCTAACAAATTTTCAAAAGGTCGGGGTTTCGGCTACTGATCATGTTGGATATCTAATTTTATTAATTATACAAAAAATAGTCTCTCTTCGCTGTTTTGCTTTGCAATTGCAATAGAAAAAATTCTGAACAAATTCTGTGCCGTTGTGATTTTTGATAGCCGTAAGCATGGAAAAATATCGTAAAAATGTTTATTCACGATGCTGGAAATAGGTAATAAATTTATTATTAGCTCTTGGTATAGGCAATCGATAGTAAAGCCTGCTAATGTTTTTGATAATAATTTCTAGAAGCTTCTTTTTTATTTTTAATTAGCTAAATTGTTTTCTATTTCTGTAAATTTGAAGCCTGCAGATTGTTTTATGGCTTACAAGTTGTTTGTGGAGTTTTAGCGTTCGTAATTTTTAAACCTTTTGCTCTATAATAAATTGAATGTTTGTGATAGCTTTGGAAAATTTTGAAACGTATTTATCCCATCCGGCGATTTATTTCCGTTTTTTATTGGCCTCTCATAGCTTTTCTTGTCTGTACTGTTTGTTTTTCCCACACACAATTTTTTGCAAAAACAACGAATCATCGATATGTCCTCTTGCCTTGCCTCGATTCCCCCAAAAACCGGCCCTTTGCGGCCAAAACCCCGAAGGAAAATGGGAATTTCGGCGAGACGGGATCGACGAAATTTTTTGGCGCGTTTGCAGGATGGAGGCGAAAAACAAAATGCTCCTCCGGTTGGTGTCGCCCGCGCTCGCTCGCTTTTTGCGTTTTTTGCCCTTTTTGAGCGCCGCCAAATTTCAATGCAAAGCCGACGGGCGTGAATAGCGGTACATGCAGCCGGAGAGCGCTTTTTGGTTTCAATTTTGATGAATGAACGTTTATTTTTAATCCAATATTGATGTTCAGCTGATTTTTGGGGGTCGCATCCATCATTTTTAGTTAAATAAGAGGTCAATACTGAGGAATTTTTGAATTTAAATTCTTTCGACTAAGAATAAATTATTAAATTTGATTTTGCCGCTGTTTGAAAGCAATGCGGGTTAGTCTTAAATTGTTTAACAAATCAGAATTCATCCGTACGAGCCGTCGAGGGAAATTGTTCGTGCTCAGTTTTACTGGCTCTCCCTACAGACGTTTCCGTGTTTTTTTTAGTTATGTTTGTGCTAAATTTTTGTTTTTCTTGATCGAATTATTCTTATTATTTTATCGGAGCGTAACGTTTAATTTTAGAATGCACGTCGTCTGTGCAGATCCGCATACAAGGGCCCAGATAGCAGATCGCCTCTGCCTGGCCGATGCGGAGAATTCAGCAATTTGTGAGTGAAGCCTAAGCCTAAGCCTAAGCTTAAAAGCCATTTGAAGCGTGATCACGTCGTAAACAAATTTTTCAGCAGTAGCAGGCTCGGCCAACTCGGTGCATCAGTTTTTCGGCACGCCAGATACCCCTGATAATGTCGTGGTAGCGATCGGTAAGAAAAATTCGGAAAATTAAAAAACTGTTTTTTTTTAGAAGATATTGGAGAGAACAATCTGAAATACGCGTTGCGGTATATGCTGGCTAATGTGAGAATTTTGAAATTTCTACAAAGACAAATTTTAGGCAGAAAAACCAATCAAACTGGCGATAGTGATGGAAATGTGGGACGAGGTGCAGGGTGAACGGCTTGAACAGGCCAGTTCATCTACCTGTTTGTTGATCCCCCTTTAGGTAATTCGAACCGAATACAGACGGGCTGAGAATAACAACTTGACCGAGATTGACAAAACCAGGTTGGTCGTCTAAAAAATTGTTTTTGATAGACTAGCAGAGACCCTTTGCGGAAACGTAGAACTTCATCGATTTTTTTTGTTCGCTAGATTAAAAATTCCATTCCAGGACGTTCCCCGATTCCGCTTGGAAGTCGGATCGTCTGCGGGAGTTGGAGAAATGGAGAACGATCCCTTCAATTCAGTACGCAACGTTCCAAAATGGCTCCAATTTGGAGGTAAATTGAAAACTACGGTAATAATTGCCTTTTTGCAATTTGTAGTCCCAGCTCAAGAAATATTTCGCTGAAACGACGGTTCAGCAGGGCGACGATAGGAATGTTGCGCAGAAGCCACCGGTAAGTGGAAATGAAAGAGAGAGAGAGAGAGAGAGAGAGAGAGAGCCAGAGAGATAGTGCTAACAAGAACCAATAAACGTTCATTCATTTAGCTGCTCCACTGGACGGCCATCCCTTTGGAAGAAGAACTCCAGCTCATTTTGCGATTCAGTTTTTCCTTATACGGTAGGCATTGCATTCTAAATGTCTGAAGACACAGAAAAAATTTTTGAATCTAATTTTCTTCAATCTTTAGTTTCAAAACCGTAAAAATGGGTATTATATAAATTCGAATTTAGGGCCCCCAATGAGTGTCCTTCGGGCAGCAGCCGATGCCTCAAAAAGTGCCTTCGTCACGAATTATCACTGGACACATGGGATCTTTATGAACTGCGAGCCTGTGCGGGTCCACTTGCAACTATTGACACCTCAACGGCTGGAGATCGCTGCCCGGGTTGCTGTTGATGAGTTGGAAGGTAAGAAAACATTCTGAAATTTAACCGTGCATCACCAAATTTTTAAAGCTAGATTTTTCGAGATAAATTAACGGTCGGAGCCATTGAGCCACTTTTGAATCAGCAAATCCTCTTCTTCGCAGGGGAGGACGCCGAGGACCCGCTTCGAAGTGTCTGGCCCTACTTGTCGATGGTTACGAGGAATGTTCGAGAAGAATTGAGGCGACATCCACATATCCAGTACTCCGTGAGTTTTTCCATGCCACCTGGTCATGAATTCTCAATTTGCAATTAATTGGCATCTCTCCAATCTATTCGAAAAAAAGAGATTGAGGTAAGAGTTTCCTTTACCCCCCCCCCCCCCCCAGCCGAAAGGTCTCAAAGTTTTCGGTATTTTCGCTTATTTTGTCGGGATTTTTGCAACGCCATTCGATAGAGCGTCAAAAAAAAATATAATAAGAGTTTTAACCTGAGCCTACAATAATGTAAAATAAAAAAGTTATAGCCAAAAACTTCCGGCGGGGGGGGGGTAAAGCAAACCGTAGCCGAGGTTGAATCTAAAAAAATGTGGTCCAACCGCTGCTCCTTTAGATCGAACTGATCCCCTTCGGCAGCTCTTTATTCATCCCTCCAATTGATTGCCGAGTCTTTGACCTGACACTTTTCATGAGCACACTACAAAAATTCGGCAAAGTCGGCTTCCGGCTCGGGTCGATCATCCATGAGGTCGAGGTGAAGACGCTGTTTCCAGGTAAGTAAAGATAATTTGATGGTCTATTCGATTTAATTCGGTGATTCGCTGTATAGGCATCCTACGATCCAAGACACGATTTTTAGAATACGTTCCCTCAAACCTGCACGAGCTCTGCTCTCAGACGCCACCTTCGCCTAATCACTTTGAAAAGCTGAATGGCGGGATGTCGGCACAGATCCCGGAAAAGGTAAGGAAATTGCACAAAAAAAAAACTTATTATGTGACGGCCTCTATCACCACACCACGTCATTTTTGCACATTTAGATTTTTTTACAAGACTGTATTTCATAGATTGCACTTTGCGAGGAAATTTACGTTATCACAAAACGTGTTTTTGAGAAATCTGAGCAAACTGACTAAACTACTGACTGATACCTTAAAACTAAAAACATAATTTACCAAATTAACCACGAGTTCTCGAGTATTACCAAACGCGAAATATTACCAAAATCGAAAGCGAATCTAGAGTTATAACTATGCTGAAAAGAATTCATGTGTAATTTTAATATAGTTTAAAATTGCCAAAATTCTCTTCTCAAAACCGAAAACCCTCCCGATTTCCAGCAGGTCCGCAGCTTCAGCATAGCCGGGGTAAGCCAGAGTTCAAGGCTATGCGTTTTCCCCCAAGGAATATCCTCAGTTTTTCCGATCTCTGAATTGCATGGAAATGGCAGATACTTTTATTTTCTGTTGGCTTTCCGGGACCTGGTCCCATGAGTTGTAGAAATTCTCAAGATACTGTAGAAAACCATAATTTCTAGATGGGCTCCTTCCCGTCGGGGAAAGTTTCCTCGCCAACGACAAATTCCTGGCTGCGCCGCGTAATCGTGGACGGCGCGTGTCATTTGGGACGATTCTGTGTGAGGGAGAAGCGGTGCGGATCGATGATCAGTGAGTTTAAGGGAAGGGATATTAAATTCAAACACCCGAAGTTTATAATTAATGGCCAAACGATCAAAAATGTCTAAAGCTAATCAAAAATAGCTAAAATGTAAAATAGCTTTAAAGGGATGATGACTGCCAATGGTTAAAGGTACATTCCGTCCCCCGACCCTTCATAGCCCTTCCCCCCCTCCCCCTCGCTCGTCTCTCCCATGGCCGAATGGTCTAAATGGCCTGCCCGACGCCAGCGTCCCGGGTTCGGTTTTGCCGGACGTTTAGCACAAGATTTTGTCGGAGGATCGGAGGTTGGTTGAGCTATGAAATTCGGCAAAATGAAAATTCGGCGAGATTAAAATTCGGCGAAATGAATGTAAATCCTCCGGTATACAGACTTATAGCTTTAGGGGACTCTCGCGACTATACCCTTAGCGCTATTTCACAACTAGCGTTGGTGAATGAAATTTGGTGGTATATGTCTTTGTCTGTCCTCCGGACTTTTTATGTAAGGGTTCGGCTAGCCAAGTGCAGCCGTTCCCGGGCCCTATCCCAATTAGTACGGTCTTGCTCCCGTTCCACCTACTACGGCCAGGCCGAATAAATAGGGAAGGCCCCAGACCCCAATCGTGCAGTACTACAATAACTTGTGCTGTGCCAAACCGGTGATCTGTGCGGATCTCTATAAAATCTCTTTAACTGGAGTAATAATCAGATTCTAAGCGACCATCTTCTATATCTAATAACGTTCTTCTCCCACCACTGAGGGAGAGTTCGTTCATGGCCGGGAAGGTTGGTTTTCAACATCCAGTAGGTATCCGGCCAGGTAGAAAGCAAGTTTCTATTTCTATTTTTTTTGATCAAGGGCAGGAATAATGACATCACCCTTTAAAATCTATATAAAACCAAAAAAGCTATTTCTATAGCTAAAACCATTATAAAACATTCTCTTAAAAAGCCTAGCGTCCGAATATGTACTAAAAATCAGTTCTCAAAGCCTCCTTACTTTATCAGAATTTTCTAGTTCCCAGGCGAGACGGGTAAGTTTCCTATCCCCTCCATGTTTTTCTAGACTCTCTAGAATCGGGAATAGACCTCAAACTACAAAAAATCATGAAAAAAAATGACATTTATAGGGCCGACGCCCGATTCTGAGGGCCCCACAACTCTAGGAGAAGCTGTGAAATGAACGCCGTGAAGAAAGCCAAATTTGTTTTGTCGTTTAACTGCCGATAATTTATAGAATTTTCCGATGAAGGGCATTCCACTTGTACTATTATTTTTCTATAATATTTACCCTTGAATAAATCTAAGAAATATCACAATGTATGGAATGTAAAATGCTATCACATAAACGCAAAAAAAATTGTTTTACTTGGTTGAGACCCGTTTTCTGTTATTCCACGCGTAATTCCAGGAATAGCTTTTTGGGCGGATCTCGCGGAGTTGTTCTTTCTAAATAATTTATTATTGTTAAAACAAGAAAAGAGTTTATTTAGTCGGTTTTGTATACTTTTTAAAGAAACGTAAATTACTTGAAAATTACTAAAAATAATTTTGTAAAATTTGTTGTATCAGCGATTTTTGATTTGTCACACTCGATTTTTACCGGCGTGTTTAAGGAATTTTTATAATTTAATTAATGAACAAAAATTTAAGTTCTGAGCCTGACCTCGACCTCCCATTGCCAATTGTTCTTCTCCGCAAAATGTATGGCATCTTCCCGAGAAGCAAATGTGAGCATCATGCTGGTGTTCGATTGGGGGTCGCCGCTAAATAATTTTATCAATGACTGACTATCAAAGTCTCCTTAGATCTATCTATTAATCTTTCGTTAGAACTTACTTAGAAGCCCATCCCATCAACGGATTTTCCCAGCGCTCCCGCGTGTCGAACTCGATTTTCCAGACCTAAAAACATTGTAATCGACTAGAATCGATGCATTAAAAGTTTGGATGCCAATTTGCCTAATTTTCAATGATTTTGATTACTATTATATTTATATAATATAAATACAATAGCTTCAAAACGTTTTATATCTCTGACTCACATCAGTAGACCTGCCAAAATCCGCCTGCGAGGTCCCTCTAGCCGGGCGGTAGATACGTACAGTACGTCCAGCCTGTAAAGTATTTCAAGATTAATTTTCGCATTTCAAAACCATAAGAATAGTATTTTAAATACACTGCGCCGGTTGTAAATATAAAAAACACAGTCAAGCGTACCAGATGCTCCAGCGGTACCCCGGAGATACTAGCAGCTTCGGCGGCAGATTCGTGACGAACTTCAACAAACCTTTTCTAAAACTTCTGTAGGAATTTCAAAAAGGATGCCTAACCTCTTTCTCATCTTGCACTCCCAGAATCGAGTCGACGGTCTTCTTCTTGGCGTCCGGATGAGACGGGACCGGTAGGTCACCTGGGGTATGTCGGCTGGATAGACCCCGGGCGAGCAGAAAGCATTGAGGAATGGCTTTTGAGCGGAACATCTTAAACATTTAATTTCAATACAATCATCTGTAATACCCGAAGCATATCGTAATAAGTATAAAAAATTAGGTTTATTTTGAATTGTACGTCAAGCAATGCCTGAAAATTGCCTTAAAACACAAGTTTAGCAAAGCTGTTTTCCGCGTTTTTAGCAAGCTTTTGACCTTGAGGCAAAAACTGTAAAAAATAGCTACTTACTCAAGAAACATTTTTGTAAATTTGCGTCGGGGAAGCAAAGGAAAGGAAAATGCCATTTCTCAAACTGCTCTGCAAATTATTATTTCCAGGAACTTTGTATTCTAAAAAATAGCCAGAAATGTAATCCATTTGCAAGAATCCATCGTAAACTTGAAAACACGTCCCGATCGACCCATCGCATAGTGCAAAGCGGGTTGTTTTTCCTGAGCGGCGTGGGGCGCTCGGTCTTTTCATCGCCTCTTTCTGTGGAGTAAACAAGTTCGGCGTTGCCTAGAAATGGTCAGGGATGGTTTCCTAGGTCTAAAAATGAAAAAGTGGTAAACTAAATTCAAGAAAGAAATTCCGTTAAGAATCTCTCAAACCGACGGCACAACATCGCAATAAAGCCACCCCCTCTAACTGGAAGCAGAAGTATCGGATCGGAATGGTAGTTACACCATTCGAAAGCCCTTGAAATGGCGAGTTTGTAGCAATCCTCATAATCTTGTTTTTTATTGATTATGGCGTATATAGAAGCTATTTTGTAGAATTTTGCGGCTTTGCGGGGTTGGTTGCCACTAATTTGCCTCAGGTTCCTCCAACAAAATGGCCTGAAGTTACCGTTGATTAGCTGGAGACCGTTCCTTAATTTTTTAAATGAGTTATAAAATACGCGTTTAAATGAAAACATGGTTATTAAAATTGTTGCAAACTTGCCATTTCAAGTGCTTTCGAATGGTGAACATATCATTCCGATCCGATACTTCTGCGTCGAGTTAGATGGGCGTCTATCCCCTAAATCGTCAGAGGGAAGGCTTTGGCGCCGATTTTCTTGCTAAACCTATTTCCCAAATTGTTTATGCTAGGCATACGTATTCAGCAATCCATAATACGGCGGAAGAAATTTTTTGTCGTCCGTCGCGCCTAAATTCTTTTCATCGGGTCAACGAATTTCCCCCGTAAATGGTTTTTTTATCGGCATAAACACACGATGTGCTGCCTGGGCGGGTTGGAAATTAAGAGTTTTGTCGTGGCACCGAAGATACCGTGATAAGACGCGGGGTCGGAGCTATGAGTTAATCTAATCTAGTTAGGCTTTGTTTGAGATCTTTGTCGAAATGCTGGTCATACTGTCACTGATTTGCGGCCTATTCGCTCCAGCGTTCGGGAGGCGTGAATGCATCGGACTGAGCGGACAGCTTTCCTGCGCCAACGATTACAGGCTGCATGAGCACATTGAGGTTGGTATGGTTCTTGCCATAAAATTTTTTGGATGGCGCACTAGGGTCGAAAAATCGCTTTGGTTTTTATAGGGTCTACCCGATCCGTCAAGGTTTCGAAAATCAGAATCTCGAATTACAGAATCTCCAAATGCGATTCCCAAATGTTCAAAATCCCGCGTTTTCAGAATCTATAATTTTCAAAGTCTTCAATTTTTAGCATGTCGAATTTTCAGGATTTAGAAATTTGAATCGGCTAGGTGCAGGCAGGGCCGTAACAAACCCAAATTTCGGGGGGCGGGGCGACCCCAAAAATTTTTTACTAATATGACTAAAATGACAGCGCCGCAGGCAAAATTCCCCTCGCCCCCCGCTCTTACGGGCCTGGATGCAGGGTGTTAGCTTGCAATTCCTGCAGCTTGTAAAGTTGATTCATACTATGGAAATCTCGAGATTCTGAAAATTCGAGGTTATGAAAATTCGAGACTGAAAATCCGAGATCCTAAAAATTCAAGATTCTGATTATTCTTGAGTATTCAGGTGACCGTTTGGGACGCGGATTTTTTCTTGTTAGATTCGGTTGGGTATTACGGGTGGAACGAAGATGACATGATGGGGTAGGCTTCGGTTTGAAAGTATCGGCTTCCATGCGAAATGGCGTTACGCGAAATAAACGGAAATCGAAATAGGTGGCAATTTTTTCGGAATGCTGGTTTTCGAAAACCGACTTTCGCGGAACCGATTTTCAAAAATATGATTTTTCGAAAACATGACTTGATAAAATTGCAGAAATGGATTTTCAAAAAATGGTTTCCTGCCTTTTAAATTGAATTTTAAACGTTTTTGCCTACTTCAGAATCACCTACACCAACGAGAAAGGCGAGTTTCTGGTCTATGGCTGCGCGGACGACCCGGACTTTTTGCCGGTTCTCATTAATAACCGGCCGGATCCCTATTTGACGGTGCGGATCGCCCACTTGTGGTTTTCTAAGTTCGTTTACAGTTCCGCCACTACTGCAACTCGCTTCTTGGAGAAAAGGTGAAACTACAGCTGCCGCAGGTGTTCATGCCCACCATGCAAGAGGTTGGTACCGATCGGGCGGAAAGTTTCTGAGAGCCTTTAAAATCCTTTTTTGCACCTTCGGGTAAAATTAACACATTTTTCAAATTAATTTATACTTATTTACTAAGTAGTTTAGTTGGGCGTCATCCGACTGGAGCGGAACGAGACCCGCGCCGGTGGCCGCTTCGGCCGCGCCTTGAGGCATCGAAAACATGAGCATGTTGGATAAATCCTGATTGTTAAATTTGTACACAGTAAAAAATAATTAACTAACAATAATTACTAATATTAGAATCGGAAATAAAAATGAATAACGGAAAATACAGAAAAACATCTACAAACGAGAGTTTTTCGCTAGTTTCCCTTTTTTTTTGAGAAATATTTTGCATTTTTTCGCACCATAATAAACTAACAGGAAACGGAATTCCGCTCAATTTTTTAGACGTCGGTTCCTGATCACAAGAACCTTGACTTCTTTGTCCCTTTAAGGTCAAGAAAGAGGCCCGAAAATTCTAATAAAAGCACGAATTTTGAAAAATTTTGCAGATGATGTAATGGTTGCAGTCACCTCTGGACCGTGATTCAGCATTATTGAGCGTTCCGCATCCGGTCGGGTGTTTCGACCCTAGCTGGCGACCAACGCTTTAGCTAAGGAAACTGTTGAAATGATATCAGAATTTTATTCACGGCCAACCGATTCCGCCGAAATCTGTTCTTTATCAGCACATTGAGTCACGAGAGTGCTGCCTGGGCGGGCTGGAAAACCAGAATTTCGTGGGGACACAGAAAAAAACGGCTATAAGAAGGCCTCTCGGAGCTGAAGCTTCAGTTTTTTCCGAGTTCTCCGGCGAAAACAATGTTGAACAAACTGGTGCTGTCACTGATTTTCGGTCTATTCGCACCGGTATTTGGGACTCATGAATGCGTCGAGCTGAGGGGACAGCTCTCCTGCGAGAACGATCCCACCCTGCACAATCACGTTCAGGTGCGAGTTGTTAACTTTAGCAAGCATGCTGATTTTGCATAAAATCTACAGTTTTCATGGATTTTGGTTCTAAATTTACTAAATTAATTTACTGAAAAACGAAAAGTGCATGTTTTCTCGCCTTTCCAAGAGCCTTCGATAGATATCTGAATCGTTACAAGCCAACATGACTGCGCCCGGTAGTGGGTCGATTTTTTGGACACCCTGCACGTCCCCCCGCTAACGGTCCAATACCTTTTTTAAGCCAGTCGGTACTACGGTTTCACGCTGCGTGTCATTTACTAAGATATATTTGGCAATTACGATTCCCATTATTCAGGTGGCCGTTATGGACTCGGATGCCTTGTGGGGAATCGAGGGGCTGAACGACGATGATGTGATGGGGTAGGCTTCGGTTAGGCGACTTCGGTTCTAATCTCGCTTCGAAAACTACGAGCATGGCTTCAGAAATATTTTTCGTGTTTTTATGTTGATCGTTTTTAATTTAAAAATCCAAACAAATGATGGCCCGCCTTATACGTTAAATTTAATTTTTTTACGTTTTTCAGAGTCACCTACACCAACGAGAAAGGCTGAGTTTGAAATCTACAGTATT